TCGAGAAGGTAAATATTGAGGAGAAAGGATGAGTACATTTGAGTAGAGATACTCTAGTGACATTTATAAAAATGAATACGAATGGGAGCTTACGAGAAATCTCCGTACATTTACTATTGTAGAAAGCGTTAAAGTAGTCGGAAGGGAGTGAATAAGTAGGTATATATAAAATGAGTTTCGATGTATTTGTTCACCCACGGGTGCTATCTTCTTAGCTTGCTCAATACCCTCTTGAAATATTTACGCTATCGTGAAATTTCACAGGTTCGTCGTTGAATTTTTTTTATACATCTCACTATTCCTTTTTGCTTTCATTTGTTCTCTTCAACGACACTCTTGCGATTTACCATGAAATATATTAAACACATTTATCTTCTTCTCATGATTATGTATTTGACCTCATATTTTTTTTTAAAGTACCACATCGCAGAAATAAACACACAAAGTGGAAAATAGTTTCTTTTTTTCTGTTCGGTGGCAAAGCAAATAAAAACCCTGAAAATGTTATCATCTCTTGGAGTCATCTGTTTTGACATGAAATATTATCTGTGGAAAAAATTGCCCTATAAGTAAAAAGTATTTTTTAGTTTTTAACATGGAGAAATTATGGTACTGTTTTTAATCAAAACACCAACAGTTTATCATACAACAATAAAGTTCAACTACAGAACATTAAATAATGGTAAGTACACCTTTATAAAATCAGGTGACTAAAACAGTCATGAAAAATTATTTATCATTTTACACTAGATATTAAATAAATGACATATTGGTACATGATTTCAATAAATAATTGTCCACGACTATACATGAATATCAACAATGTTACTACTAGAGAAATTGAAGCATTATATATTTGAATAGATGTCCAATATATACATGTATAACATGATATCTGTTCAAGGATAAAGCACAAATTGTTCAGAAATTGCTATCTGTGTTACACAGCAATCGATTATCATCAAGTCAACACTCATGGGTCTATCGAGGATTGAAAAATACAGATTGTTACGACAAAGAGAAATATAGATATTTTTTTTCTCCAGACCTATTGTTATTCCATGATACAAGAACTACCCCTTATCCATTTATTATCCCAAGTGATGTGATAAAAAAAATGATTGAATGACTGGCTCAGAGAGTCACAGTGTACTACATTTGCTGACAGCTATTTGCCAGACACGGGAAATATTTAATAAGTTGTGTATTGTCATCAAATTGTTTCAAAAGATTGATGTAATCCATCAAAAAGACAAGATCCATTTTTTCCTGAGGAATTTTGTCAAGATTAATGCTGGAGATGAACATGAGAAATAGCATAAATCTAAAACAGTGAGAAAATTTCAATCTAAACAAAAAAATTCAACGATTAAAAATGGAATGTCTAGAATGCTAACTTTGAAATATCAACTATTGATTCTTTTGTCGTCAATAGATGCAACCGAATGCAATCAACCGCGCGGCTTACAGGTTGACGATTGCGGTGAACCACGAACATTTAGATTGATATGCAGGAAAGTGATATCAAGTCAAGAAGAGCAAAGCATCAAAAGTTTAAATGAAAGAAGGCTGACTCATCTGCGTAGATTTTAGCTGACTTTCAGATAGATAGAAAATATATTGTGGAAAGCATGAGTTTAGAGTAATGTAATGTTTAATGATGCAGCAAATTGTAGAACCATTAACTTTAGTAGGTGCTTGACAGAAGCTTCTCTTTAAAGGCTGTTGAAAGTAGAAACCCTGTTTGTAGATATGACATTGAGAAAAAAATTTAATTACACTTGAAAAGTATTTTTATCTTAATTATTGAATTATTTTCTTCTTGTTCTCAGTTTTAAATAATGAAGGACACATGTAGGAATTAATCTGTAGGTCAACATGCAGCTTACTCCTAGATTACATTACTATATTGTGTACGACATTGTATTATAAGAAATAACAGCCTTTGATGGAATATAGTCATCTGAATAGTGTAGAGGCAGTAGAAATATTTAGTAGAATTAATTCAATGAAAAGAGAGCAAGGAGAAATCCTAATGCTAGAACACATTTATCATTAACACAGCAAGGGTATATATAGACATGAAAAGAGACTTAAATCAGAAAAAAAAAACAATTCAATATAACTGATCACTAAAACCTCGTACATGCGGTAAGACTCTCATCATAGCTTGGGGTAGTCAGCTTATATTACTCGTATTAATCACAAAAAGATCGATAAAATCTAGGGGAAAACAGGGAAAGCAAATTAAATGGGGAGATGATATAATTTTATAATACTCATGTGTGTATATTTATTGTCTTAGGTCAGCTTATTAGATTGTTTCAATGTAGACGAAAGAAAGTGATGATTTTTTACAGAGACCAAAATGTTGTAGATGAGTAAATGAATATTGAACAAGCTCATATTAATCTAAATGATAAGACGAATAAATAGGAATGGATTGAAATTAAATTAAATGGGAACATAAACGAACTAACCGTATAAAAAAATATGGTTCTACAAAAGTTCCCTGAATGTTCCCAGGTGAGGAAGTTCCCCGACGTTCTCCTGGTGGGACTATGGGGAACGTTTAGGGAGAGAAATTTTTTATTTTTTTTTTGAAAATGGTTACTCTCTACTCCAAACGTACTTTAAATGTTTTTTAATTGCAAAAACACTATATATAATGAAATTCATGAAATAATGATGTATTGGCGAGAAATTGTAAAACATAAAAATGGGCATAACTTCTATGCTAATGATGCTACAGGGTTGATTGATGCTAAAATTGAAGAAAGTTCCCGTTTTACCCCATTTTAGGTGTGAAAAAATTAATTTTTTGAAAGTTTGACCGGATTCCGCATTTCTACGCATCAAGACGAAGAGAATGAGCCCTCAATCATCAAAATTGGAGTACCTTTATTTTTTGGCTAAAAAAAATGGAAAGGGGTACCACTTGCCATTTTTTGGGGTCGAAAAATCAAAGTTGTCCGATTTTCAAGTTCGACCACTCATTCTCTTCGTCTTGATGCGTAGAAATGCGGAATCCGGACACCGGTCAAGAAAATTCACTTTAACACCCTTAAAAAGGGGTTACACTAAATACAAAATACGAATTATCATCCCCTTGACTTTAAACCCTTATAACTCATGAACGGACGGTCCAATAACTGATTTTGAGGACGTTTTAAAAGGCTCAAAATCTGAGCTAAACATGCATATTTATAAAAAGTGTTGAAAAAATTTCTTTCACCCTTGTAGATGACTTGTATGGGAGTTACAGAGTTCCAAAGTCGAAGTGGGGTCAAAAAATCGACTACTCTTTAACTTCGGACCTCTATAACTTGTAAAAAAATCATCTAATAATGTTTTTAAGGGAGGGTATGGAAACTTCAGAATCTAAGCTAAAGATACGTATCTATAAAAAATGTTTCAAAAATTTCCTTCACCCTCAAAATTGCCAAAATAGTTGGCAACTTCTCAAAAAAATGTGATTTTGTTTTATATTTTAGCGCTTTTAAGGGTGAAAGAAATTTTTTCAACACTTTTTATAAATATGCATGTTTAGCTCAGATTTTGAGCCTTTTAAAACGTCCTCAAAATCAGTTATTGGACCGTCCGTTCATGAGTTATAAGGGTTTAAAGTCAAGGGGATGATAATTCGTATTTTGTATTTAGTGTAACCCCTTTTTAAGGGTGTTAAAGTGAATTTTCTTGACCGGTGTCCGGATTCCGCATTTCTACGCATCAAGACGAAGAGAATGAGTGGTCGAACTTGAAAATCGGACAACTTTGATTTTTCGACCCCAAAAAATGGCAAGTGGTACCCCTTTCCATTTTTTTTAGCCAAAAAATAAAGGTACTCCAATTTTGATGATTGAGGGCTCATTCTCTTCGTCTTGATGCGTAGAAATGCGGAATCCGGTCAAACTTTCAAAAAATTAATTTTTTCACACCTAAAATGGGGTAAAACGGGAACTTTCTTCAATTTTAGCATCAATCAACCCTGTAGCATCATTAGCATAGAAGTTATGCCCATTTTTATGTTTTACAATTTCTCGCCAATACATCATTATTTCATGAATTTCATTATATATAGTGTTTTTGCAATTAAAAAACATTTAAAGTACGTTTGGAGTAGAGAGTAACCATTTTCAAAAAAAAAATAAAAAATTTCTCTCCCTAAACGTTCCCCATAGTCCCACCAGGAGAACGTCGGGGAACTTCCTCACCTGGGAACATTCAGGGAACTTTTGTAGAACCATATTTTTTTATACAGTTAATCATGTTACTTAAAGCAACTGGATCAATGTTTGTTAATGTATTGTATGTGTATTTAAAATGATCAAACAGATAATAGGGTAAATGTATCAATTAGTGGCCCTAATTCCTGACAGAGGCTATTGAAAAATAAACGGGATGTTGTAATTATTGATTATAACATTGGCCAGGGGTCAATAATAGGAACATCAGCAGGTTATTTATTACATAAATATTTCATTCTAATCGCCGTAATTTAAAAAAAGTTATTTGAAAGCATTAAAGTTACATTAATACTTGTTGTAAATAAATAATAAATATTTTATTGATTATAACGCTTTAGTTAAATGTCGAGATATAATATTTTTTTAATGAAAATTTATTATTAAAAACTTTGACATCATTCAATAAAAATTAGTCGTATTACAAAGACATTGGAAAAGATCAAAGAATGACATAAATATTAGCAGCTATTTTATAGTCAAAATGATTTCCAAAATAAATCAGAAATCATGGGTCTTTAATTAGAAAAGTTACTCTAGATAAGATAGTATAATTTTTATTTAACTTTAGCCAACTTTTATAAATTATTTTCAACTATCACTGTAATAAATCGTTGACTTATTTATGTATCATATGAGATCACTAAATTGTACAGTTAAAAAAATCTAGTAAACACTCCGATACTTTGTATTGGAATTACATTCATTTTTGAATATAAAAAACGAGTATCTATAAAGAATGTTTTTTCATTGCAGCTGAGGCAGGACTGGCTGCAGCTGCAGAACTCAAAGCTCCCGAGGACCGTTCAGAAGAAGAAAAAATGGCTTTGTTGGGTAGACCACGACTAGGAGAGATTTGTACCGCCCAAATCAGGATTAAGGAATCTAAAGAATTTAAAAATACAGTCGATAAACTTGTCCAGCGAGCCAACGCATCAATTATCCTTGGTATGTGACTCATGACTTATTAAACTATTTCAGATTAAAGACATTAAAATGTAAACTATGCTATTCCCATGGCTCCAAGTGCTATTTTCAACATTCAGTAAACTTAATTAATCTTACATTGCTCCAAATGTGTTTTTACATTGAGATCGTAATTACATACGGTCTATATTGCAGGTACAAGCTCGTGGAAGGAGCAATTTACGGAAGCACTTACGGTGAGCGGAGGAGATGATGATGAAGATGATGAAGCTAACGGCGCAGCTAGAAATTCGTCTCCATCAGCTGGAGACTATCTCATGCACTCTCTTACAATCTTTTGGAAGGTTCTATTCGCCTTTGTTCCGCCTACCAGTAAGTACCAGTTAAAAGTTTTCAGTTTTCAATATAGAATTTAAAAACTTCTGATAGACTTCTTTATTATTTTTACGTTCGGCTAGTAAAAAAATGAACTTGGGGTAAAAGAATTTATCCACTATAGGAATTCTCAAAAAAATTTTAATTTTCATATCAAGTCAATATTAAAAAGGTTTTTATCTTATTAACAAATATAATTATTAGCTAAAATTTACACAAAAAAAAACTTTCAATCGAAACTTTTAATGTTTTGTTTAAATTTTGTTTGTAAAAAGTTAAATTAAACTCAATTTCATTGCTTCTGTTGATTTAAATAAATAGGAAAAATTTATTCAAAGGAAATACTTTTGAAAAAATACAATTAATCATTGTCTATCACTGATAGAAATGCATCAAGTATTTATTGCACCGAGGAAATTATTTTAACGATTTTTTGTTCACTATCTATTTTTTACAGAAGCATACGTGACTATTTTTATAATGTTTATTCAATAAAACTGCAAGACAGCCCATACGTACATATATGATTGAATTTTGCACATATAATGGTAGAGCAGAATGTATTATTTCCAGTCACGTCGACTTATGTGAAGGAATCTATATGTGCGTCGAAAAGTGTACTCTTATAGCAGTGATTGACACGCGCCCGGACATCCTGAACAATCTCTATGAACTTACCGTCCGTGTGCCCGAGGTTATTTCCGATTAATTCGTCTTCTAGGAATTTGTAGAGGAAACGTGAACAGATTTCTCGACAAACTAGTACTCACAGAGAATTCATGCAAAATGTTAACAATTTCAAATAATTTCCAGATGAATTTGCAAAACTTTTGAATAAGTATTAAGTCTTTGATAAGTTAATCAACTTCCTCTAGTCAACAATAACAGATGGAAGCAATTAAACTTAACTGATTTAATTGATTAATGCCAATTATTGAACGAATAAGTGATTTAACTGGCAATTTTGACAAATAATTGAAGTACAAGAAAATAAAATTAGCAATGACCTAGTATTTTATCTAGACCATCTAAAAAAATCGAACAAAGGCCAGTAGAATATTTTTGCTAATGCATTTCAAGACACGCATTAGCACAAGCCTTTTTCCTTTCAAACTATCAGTTTCGCGACTAGCTTTTAAAAAAAAAAGCCTAGGCACTTCTTTTTTTGTTGAATAGATTCTAAAAAAAATTCACTTTTACAAAAAAACATTCTTGCTTTAGTTAAAAAATGTATTCATGAAGGTCATAGTCATCCAAACAAAATATTCAACACCGGGACTTAAAGTGTCATAGATGATGTATAACCAGATTGTGTTAAATTCAAATTGAAGTGAATAAGTGCAAGTGAAAGGGAAAATTTTTAAAACCTTAATTTTTATCGTTCTATCAGTTGTTAAAAATTGAAGAGTATTTTTTGACAGACTTATATTCTAATTTTTTTTAATATCAATCACTTTTTGAACAAAATTTACTGATTAACTGTAATTCGATTAGAAGAGTAATAAAATGTTCTCTAGAAACTTTGATAGAAGTGATTCCCATTTATATACTCTGATTTTCTGGAGAATTTATTACCTGAGCTGTAATTTATTGCTGATACTGATTGAAATTAAGCATGTTTTATTGCAAGGCTTTAACCTATTTATAAAATTTTTTAATCATCACTAAATCCTCTGAAAATGGTGATAATATTTTTTAAGTCAATGACTGATTGAATTTCTATTACTTGGAAAGTTATGTTTATAAGTTGAAATATAAAATAAATAAACAATGTAAAAGATATCGGAACTGATGAGATAGGTATCTAGGACAAGTTTTAATGAATCAGAAAATTATAAGCAGAGTTTAATTAATCGTGAAGAAAATTAATTTCCGTCAGTCTGATTAGCACAATTTAATGGAGACAAAATGACGAGTGAAGTTCATTGGGAGATAACCATTCTATATAAGAAATCCAGCCAAGCTGAAAGATGCTAATGACCTAGATGAAAATTCTACTATTCGGTACTAAGAGATGGAAATATTATATGTCGTAGATAGGAGGATGAGTACAGAAGCTCCGAAACATCGTGGGATTTGTGGGGTCTATTGTCTGCTCGATGACTCCTGTCTCTCTCATTTCTCAGTGTTATAGCCTACCACTGAATTACGTATACCTTCTGCACACTTCCTACTAACGAAATACATCACCACTGACCTTCCTGAATCTCTAAGTTATCAACCTATTAAAATATGACAGAGAAAAGATATCAATAAAAGTTGATACATCAAGTATTCTAGATGCTATATTTTTTAAATTTTACTTGACGGGAAATATTAAAATATAGAAAAAAAAGATGAGATAGAAGATGAAGAACTCGTTCAGGTAAATTGATAGCCCACAAATAATGCAGAAGATGATTCATGTTTTGATAAAGGAAAAAAAGGAATTTTTTGTTAGGATTTATGACTGAATTCCAATGTAAAAAACCTCATATTTTTCCTTAAGCTTTAATATTCAAATTATGCAGAATATTGAACGCAATATTATTAAAAAAATTTGATCAATAATAGTATCAAACGACTCACTAAAAAATCCGAAGAATTTTGTTTCATAAAACTTGAAGTAAAAAAATGATAAAAATAACTCATTTAGTATGATTCCTGTGGACTCAATATTTTATTGTTTCAAAATTATTACCAGTAGTATAGAGGTCATATTCAGTGGGTGTAAAAAGTTTTAAAAATCAAACTAGGCTTTAAATGAAATAAAGTTGGGAGGAATGGAATATAATATGTGTGGATGACAGGCTCATCTAGGGATTTCGGAAGATATAGTTGCCAGTAAACACGTAGATGAGAGTTTTGTATTGTCTTCTCTATTTCCTTGAAAGCATATAGAAGTATGAGTGAGAAATGTAGCAACCTTATAAAGGTAGAATGAAGACTTGAATAGATAGAAACAGAGTAAAGGGGTTGCTGTACGTTCTGGGCTGGAAATACATTATATTATACCAAAAGCTGAGACCGTATAATGCGCCCCCGACCTGTAAAACCCGAGGACGAATAATACATTGGAAATTCTGGAACACATGCCACACACATTCTCACATTCTTGTCCTCCTCTTTCATTTTCTCCTTTTCTTTATCTCTTATTTATCGTTTTTCATTTTTTTGTTTTAACCAGTTCGAAGGCTGTAAAAAAAAAATATATATATGTACATTCGAACACGTTTACTACTCGAACGCCAACATAAAGCACGTCATCCTTTTATAGTTTCCACATCCTTGGAAAAAGATCCCTGAGGTTCTCTAGATTTTTTTATCACTTCAGTTACCTTTGCAAACAGCAAAATACTAACTTTGTGTGGTAAAACAAAGGTAATGTTGAAAATATTTTCTGCTCAAACACACACTTGTCAAGGTTACACTTTAAGTGCTCTTCGTTACTGAACATTAGAGATGAAGTACTTGCAAAAATTGAAATGTCAGTTTTTTAGGAGTTTTAAAAAAAATATTTTTTTTTGAAAGCTTATGGTTTTAAGAAACCATGGTAATTTTTTATTTATAATATTTTTAAGTATTACAGCAATTCTTTACCATTTTAGATACTGATATTTTTTTAAATCTTGATTTATTTATTTTAATAATATTTGAAAATTTCTATCATAACATCACGTTAATAATCTTCGTAATCTTTAGCATGTAAACATTGTCGGTATTAAATTTAAGCGTTGTTGACATAAAAAACTATGTTAGAAACTACATTTACATTCTAGTAAATTCTCACAGTTTGGAAGATCGATAGCTATTTTTTTTTCGTTTGCAAATTCACACTCCATTTTTAGTATGCGAGAGTTTTGCAAAAAATTTTATAGGTTTTGTAACTCTAGTGACAGAACTGGTTTGAATATATTCAGATAAAAATCGACGACTATGTAAAGTCAAAGTTTTTTTTTTTCTTTATGATAATAACTCTGTTCCAAGCCTTAGAGAAAGATGATAGTGTAGTTTTTCAAACTTTTCATGATATTGAATGTTTTACTTGGAGTATCTTGTAATCATAAATTATTGTTAAAAGTGAATCTGATAGAAGAAGAAGAAGCTGAAGAGAATCTTCAACAAAAAGCTAAATACGTATCATGGGTCCTAGGAAGATAAACTAATCGATATGTTATCACAAAAAGTGTTCGTTCAATCAGCCATCTAAAATCCACTCTTCTGTAGAATAAACGCGACGAGACTCGTACAAACACAAAAAGTTTCCCATGTGAACTTAAACCTGGGATGGAATTTATTCTAGAATTCTCTATATCATCTTCTTATCAAATATTTTGCATATCAAATTTACTTTTCGATTTTATTTTACCCTGAAGAATTTTACATTAATAAAGATTCCAAAACTGCAAATCTGTCTAAAAGAATTATGTGTCCAGCCAAAATGTATGCATTCGTAATTTAAGCTCCAGATAATTATATCTCGTACATATTTCATTGACTCCCATGGGTTGAAGACCTATAGAACAAGCGCACTTGCATAAAACAGTGCATCACGTTACTGTCAGAGTAAATTCAGCTTCAACAATTCATGCACATTTTCAAGATAAATTCAACGAACGGTAGTTTGGTATTCTAGCCTAGTTGGTGTAGCTATGAAATGATGAGAATAATTGGTTAAGTATAATTAGTATAACAAGCTTGACTTTCAGAGAAATCTACAGGAGATCCTTCACATGCTGAACGCGATACGTTATTGTTTACTTCACCCCTAGTTTCAAAATTACCCAAGTGCACTAAATTTAATTATGAATTAAGACAAGCATCATAATGTAGCTTGATATACATTGTTTGCAAGAAAAATAAAATCTTCCATTTTATAATTAACGAGTATACTTCGTAAAATGAGAAGGAATATTTTATTCATGGTGATTAGATTTCATTTTTAATATTGTGTGATAATAATGAATGAATGAATGAAGTAAAAATTTTTACTAATATCAAAAACCATGAAGGAGTAATGAAATTAATTCAGCTTAATACCTGTTTTGAAGTAATTTTTTATATACAAGGAATTTTTATTCTATCACAGTAATATTTCATTGAAATTGTTAAAAAAATTTAATTAACTTGAAGAAAGGAACAAAAAAAAAAGGCAATAGAGGATGAATAAATTTCATTATCATTTTTTATGATTACGAAAACAAAGACATTTTTTCAATAAAATTGAATTATTTGTTGAACAAAGTCTAGTTTTGAGCTCTAGCTAATAAATTAATCTTCCATTATTGTGAGAAAAAAAAAATTCGAAACGAAATCCCAACTGAAAACTAATCTTTCTATTCTTATTTGATATAAATGCCATGGTAGCATTATATAAATACAATGAATACTTTCTTTTATTTATTTTACTTACGGATTGATAAAGAATATACTCCAAAAATATTTTAGGTCAAGCTTTCAACTTCAATAGAGTTACGACCAACAACTGAGTTCGTTTTGACAATCGTAGTAAATCGCACAAAATTGTAGAATGTCATGGAAAAAAAACTGCTAGAAAATCATGAAAGAAATAAATGAAATAAATAAAGCAGTATAAGCTCTTAAAAATTTACCTTAAATTTGTAGATACGTTTCCATTACACTAAATCCTACAATATACGCAGTAAAATAAATTTTTAGAAACTTTGCCTCAACTGCTTCACCTAAATATTCCTGTAGACTTAACAGGCATTACAAGAAGGATAAAATTATTTAGACTAACGATCTAAAAAATTGATAATTCGATAGGACAAGTAATTTAAAATGCTGGATAACTATATATCTTAACTATCAAACCCTTGCAGGAACTATTAGATAAAATGAAGATAACATTTTATAGCTTTTCTTATATAAATCTTTCTTTTGTCTTCCAAATACTTTTTGTGGCTGAGCAATAGTCACGAGCGTAAATTCAAAAGCGATGTAATAAAGCAAGAGAGATGCTCGGAACGACAGTGGAAACTGGTACTGCCTTCTCTATGCATCAGGATGTGTGTCACGTGTGGTGCCATAATTCCTCGAGGGGTAGCAAACTAGGTCATGTTCCTCTAACAAAAGCTGGACGACCAAGTGGACCTGTTAAACATACCTAATCGTCTGGACAGTTTACTCCCAGGCTCTCATCACACTAGGACATTACAAATTTGATGAGTTTACCTGAAGAAAATCAAAAAATCATGAATGTTTATGTAGCACTTTAGAAAATCGTTCAGATAAAAATTTAGTGTTTCAAGATCATAGTCACTGGTAATTTTTAATAAATAATGATAATTCAATTATCAGAAAACTAAAATAATTTATCATACTAGCTAATTTTTATTAAACATAAAACTTTGAATAGTTTTATCAACAGCAAACATTTTTCAAATTATTTCTATCAAGATGAATAAGTTTGTAAAGTATATATATTGATTAATTTGTATTTAATTATTTAATTGAAAATCATAGGAAAAAAATATTGAAGTATTTCTCTGTAAATATGATAAAGCTAAGTAGTTGCAAATAACTTTGATTTTTTAAAAAAGTCATGAATCTTATCTGAAGACATAAACATTGTGGTGTCAACAGAAGCTTTTTACAGTTTAAATATAAAAAGAAGCTTTCAATTTAGATTATTACTGATGTTGGGAATAAATGATAAATAGTCTTTTGGGAACAGTTAATGTGTATTGAAGATCGAGCTCCAGATACATCTGAAATACAATACAATCGGATATTACCTTGGTCATGAACGACTAAATCTTGATTTATGTTCCTAGATGCTTGTCCACTCAGATTTGAATTTTATTCTGTGTATCACTACAGTCTGACCCAAGGACTTATCCACTTTAGACCTTAGATGTGATACATTCAATTTAAAAGTCGTTGGGGTACTTTAAGCAATAAATATGTTGACGTGCATTTAGTATCACATCATGCGTTGGTTTTAATCTCACTCAGTATCATAACAAGTATAAAATTATCAGCAAACTTAGAAACGATGGTGTTGAATCATTTTAATCTGGCTTAAGAGCATATATTTTGATAAAAGTCATGAAAATGCTGCAGTATATTATTAGATTTCTCTCGCATATGAAAAAGAAATTGTAACAATAAACTACAACATTTAATTAAATTAGACTTAACTGCATATTCATTGAGGAATTGTGGTTCAGTATGTGCCTCATTGTAATTTCTATAGCCTCCTTAACATTATTTGTAAGTGTAAATGTTATTTTTCAAAGAAAATACGATGCAGGTCATGAATTGCTATTTTCAATTTATGTGTTTTCATAGAGAATTAATTAAGGTTTTATTAATTTTATAATAATTTAATTTTGTTCAGAGTAATTAAATTCAAGGACGGGGTAAACAGATTATGAATTTCAATTTTTAATTAAAATAGTTTTATTATGAAGCACCACACTTTTTTATAATTAATCAATCTTTACTTTATGTGACCTAATGGATAATTTTTTTAATTCTATTTTTTTTTTTTTTTTTTTTTTTTTATATGATAATTTTTTCAATATAAACAACCTACTACTAAAACATTCATAAAAATTGTAATAAAAAAAAAGGCAATATAAAAGTGCACTTAATTATAATTGATTAATCTTAATTGCGAATTTCATGATAAGAATACTAATAAAAACGATATAAAAGTGAAATAAAAATAGTATAAAATTGATATAGTAATTACATCAACGATTTTAATTACAAATTTTTTTAAAAAATCAATAATGAATGAATAAAAGTGATTAAAGAAAAAATCTGTATATTTCAATTGTGTTTAATAAATATTAATTGAAATAGAAATTGACATTAATCCCGTTCGAAATTATTTAAAAAATTCAATTGGTATTCCTTCTACTCATTATGCACTATTATGCGGTGAACATAAACTCCATTTCATGCTTTTCGAAATGAATGAAAGCCTGTGGAAATCTCAAACTCGAGTTTCTACGAGCAAGCTCACGCAATGCTTTGTTATTCGCCTGACTGAGATGATTGTTCTTGCATAATCTTCAACCTAATGTTCCTCCCTACTACTGAAGTTTTTTAATTTATTTCCAACGAGCAATTCAGCATTAAACAATTATATATTCGAGTTAACTAAAGTTTATTTTAGTTTTAGTCCAACAAATATCAAAAATTGCTAGAATAATGTTTCCATCTATATGTATGTTATACATGTATAGGTAGATATCGTGTCAATTAATAGCTCACCACTGAATGATGAATATTTTAAATCTGAAATCAAATGAGAATTAAAACAAAAGCTTGAAGCGATTGGAATAAACTTTTTCATCGCATCTATGGAAAAGTTGTTATCTGAACAAATCGTTGAAAATTTCCAAGCTAAACACAGTTTATTTATTCATTTTACTTAAAGGCATTTTAATCTGACGAAGCTGTAGGAAAAATAATTCAATGTCTTTATCTTCTTCACAGAAGCATTGGTAATTGGAAATAAAAGCTTTAACTAAACTGTATATAATAGCAACTGTTGATAAATAAATAAATTTATACAAGATATTGAATGAAATAATAAAACTGGTTGAAAGTTGATAAAACATAGTGAAAATTCTTCAGAAAAGTTAAAAGATAATGATCCAAAAGTTTACTGAAGTAGCAATTAAAAGAGAAAAAATGAGTGAATGAAAGCAGAAATACCTCCAGGGAACTTTCGTGTCTACTTAATTGGCCTTTGAAAGTCAGAATATAATTTTAGCACTTGACATTTTCCATCACTTCTTTACCTACTACTAGAAATAACTTCATTTCAGTTAACTTACCTGTTGACGAGTTGCTGATGATTGTTACAGATATTGCTGGTGGTTATCTCTGCTTCGTAGTCAGTATATTTGGAATTGGAATCGTAACAGCCGTTATCGGAGATGTAGCATCATATTTTGGATGTACTCTTGGCATCAAGGATTCAGTTACAGCTGTGGTTTTTGTTGCTCTCGGCACAAGTATACCTGGTAAGTTCATTTTTGTTAATTACATTTTACAATCTACCCTGAGAGAAGGAATTAAAGTTGAAACAGGTAAATATGTTTCCTTTTTAACAGAGAAACAATTGTCGTTAATGAATGCAATAAAAAATAAAAAATTAAATTTTCCTTTCCTCATAATTAGTTTGAAATTATATTATAGTTTTTTTGAAGGTTGTATCATAGAAAAAAGTGACAAATATCTTTATCGTTTCCTTTTTCTCATTATTATCACTTATTTAGTCTTCAACAGTTATTAATTATCTATTAGATTAGAGATTGATTATGATCTCAAGATTTATTATCCCAAGTTTATGATGGTACCTCATTGACGCCTACTAAGCGATTGAGTGCTGTCAATTCTCAAGTGTATTCTCTCCCTATTGTATTGATTGCTGTTATAACAACTGAATCTTCATCAGTGTCAATTTATTCGAATGTTCGTTAAAAATCGCTTGCTTTTAGTTAAAAAAGACGTTTGCTTTTTGACATTTTTCCAATAATCTCATCAAGCCTTACACTACTTTTATATATTTTTACACTGTAATTCATTTTGGCATCAATCATAAAACTAAAAAACATAATTATTTCTCGCAAAAAAGTTGATAATCTCCTGAAAACAGAATAATAATTAAATAAAAATGATTCTCTTTCTATCTAGAAATATTTTAATTAGTGATAAAAATCACATGCATATATTAAAAATGAATTGAGTTTGTAATATATTTTGTTAAGCAACAGTTGTTAAATCCAGAAACGTAATTTTACTAATTTTTAGTAAAAAATTTAAATGCATTTATTCGCACTAGCTATGAAAAAAGTACAGTAAGAATAATATATGCATTTCCAAGTAATGTAAATCTTTACCTTTTATTAAAATGATAAATGTACTTGACTTTCAACAGTGAGGTTTCCTCATATACTCCATGGCTTAAAAGAAAAAGGCATGTCATGCTCGAAATTGCTTGTCGAGCTCTCTGAGCCACCAAAAGCCACCAAGAATTCTCAACTTTTTTGTTTATTGTTCTTTTTCCTGCTTTCTGCTTTGCTTGACAGACATTTCGCTGGTCTTCACACACGACTGTTAACTCGTTTGTATTTCCGCTTAGCATGTCAATTACCTGAAAAACATCCTAAACTTTACAACTGTCCACTCTTTGAAAGAAACGGATTTTGAACTGATTTACAAGTCATTCGTACTTTAAATGAACAAATATAAATGATGATTTCATAATAGAGAATAAATACATGCATTTTCTTAGATGAAAATTTAATATTCTTTAAAACGATCATGGCTGAGCGAAGAAGCATGTGATATAGATTGCACAAAAGTCGATACCATCTTTGTTATGAAGCCATAAGTAATTAGTTTACAACATTTATTAGCTGTAAAAGGCGTAATATTTAACGTTGATGGTAAACTATTAGATATATTGTTTCTTAGCGTAATTAGCTATAAATTTTGTAGACTGGAGGTTTAATATACGAGGTAATTGCATGGAAACAAAGTAATTTATAATATTAGAGTTACTTCATTTAAAAATTATTCTCAATCTTTGTCAATTTTGATCTAGACATTTTTTTCAATAAAATTAAATAATTTATAAGTTGAAATTAGTTATAATAAGAAGTTAATGGAAAGCTAATATTATCTATTTATTAAATAAAAAAAACTTCTTATCAATAATTGCATCAGTCAATGTTGACTAAAAATTTGCACAGTTTCAATTAAAGATAGTACTCAATATAGATCTTGGGTGAGACTCATATTGATCACTAAAAGTAGTAGTAACGCAGTTTAGTAAGACAATATTTTCTTGGTCTTGTTTAATGGAATGTTTTTCAAGCAATCCTTTTTCTTTAAACACTCTCATTGTTTTTCTTTATAATGAAATAGACCATTTATTTTATAGCTTTTTTATCTTTGTTTTATCACGCATCCGGTATATCCTTTGGAAATAAAAGATGTCAATTTATTGTAGATCTTTGTTTCTAATGAACCTGAAGACAATTTTTATGCTAACCAGGTTTTGTAGCTTGATGTTGTAAAGTTAAGAAAAACTCTGAGCAAATAATCTCAATCGTCTCTAGGGTTGAGGTCATTTATCCACAAATATTTGACGTGATAGTAAGAAGTTGAGATTTTCGTAATTTCCATGTTGCAAAATTTCAGACACGTTCGCAAGCAAAGTAGCTGCCTGCCAAGACAAGTATGCAGATGCTAGTGTCGGAAACGTTACTGGTAGCAACGCAGTCAATGTCTTCCTTGGCATCGGCGTCGCGTGGAGCATCGCTGCCATTTATCATGCCTACCATGGCAATGAGTTTAGGGTGGATCCTGGCAAGTAAGTATATTTGTATGATAATTTTTAATTGAAGTTATTTGATGATGAAGTTTATGCCTAACTAATTAGAGAGAGAGAGAGAGAAAGAGTTATACTTTATAAAGAAATGAATAATTAATTGTTTTAGAATAGCTCTGTATGTTGAAGAAAGTTCAATGATAGCAATACTGGTACTCACTAATTGATCTATTCTTTTTGAAACAAACCAGTTTTAGGATTATAACGTAATTTTTACATCTCACCTATCCAATAATCCGATCATAAATTATAAATTAAAAATCGTTTCATCAAGCACTCAATTATTATATGAAACTTTAATATCTATTTTATTTATAATCAAATAATTTGATTAAACTTAAATCCATGAAAATTTTCAAGAATTTAGTAAATGTATTCCAATTCAAGTATTAATATTTAAATGTTAAAATATTTTAAATTGGAATTTCCATTTATGTTAAATTGAAAAAAAGATACATCACTGATAAGCTTATGTTTAAATTTCATGAAATGTTATCAACAAAGATACTATTTATTTTTATCATCAAGATTCTATTAATCAGAATTAAATTAAATAATTGGACCACTTAGCCCTCAACTAAATACGAGCTTTCATCCTTGACTAAGGCTTGTGATAAAGCTTTAGATATGACGTATTGCAAAATAGTAAGCGAAAATAAATGTTGAAAAAATATTGTATAATATCTATACTTTTCTCTCTCTAGTTAGTTACGCAAGTATAATACGTCATTAAAGCTGACTAAAATAGTAGAATGTGAAGGTGGGTAGTAAAAAAAATCTTGTTATCCGCAGCTTGGCCTTCTCAGTGACCATCTTTTGTTCTGAAGCCTGCATTGTGATTATGGTTCTGATGTTTAGACGATCGAAGGCTATCGGCGGTGAACTCGGGGGTCCCGTCAGGGCTAAAATCTGCACATCAGTATTTCTCTTTTCACTGTGGCTTTTGTACCTCATCTTGTCAACCCTCGAGGCCTATGGAGTAATCAGCGGCTTCTAAAACCAATTGCCCTGGTGTGTCAGAATACGGCCTATAAATAAAATTCAACTTACGTGTATTCAGACAGACGTAAAGTAATGCGCCTGATGCAATTTGCTTCACGTTTCCTATTATATATATCTATCTTTCTGTTATGTTTATCCGTATTATTTTCGTCTGGTTCTGAATTTTACTCAACTGTATATTTCCTTGCTTAGAAAATATTACGATGAAATGCTCTTAACAGTGAAACGAGTACCTCCTCGTTTATGATGCCATGTGGAAAATACAGATTCAATTTGTCCCTTTTTCCAGTCTGATTTCTCGTGACTTTCTTGAGCAATAGCAATGCAATACTCTCCGAAATTGCATTTACCACCGAGCATCGTAAATGTATAAGTAAAGGGCAAATCTGAAAAAAGAAAGTAAAGATTTTTGAATTATTACAGTTGAAATTTTAAATTGTTCGACAGTTTTGCCTTAACAATAAAATATAATAAATAGTTATTGACAAGAGTAAGTAAACATTTGAATTTGAAAATTTTATCATAATGTTTATTGAAACGTTATTAAATTATAAGTGGAGAAAAAAATTTATTTCTGTTTAAATGAAAACAAAATTAACTCATTTTATCAAAAACTCATTTTTTTCTCATATTATTAATAACTTAACAATCAAATATATTTCAAAAACATCCTAAATGTAAATGATACATACATGTTATATATTATAAGCCATGTTATACGTATACAAATAATGTATTTATTTAACTTAAAAAAGACGAGTTTCTACAATAATTAAGTAGAAACGATGAATAATAAAAAATTAGCAAATTTCGTTTATGCAAGAGATTACACTAAGAAATATTGCTAATTTTGTATGTGCATTGTATGTAGTTGAAAATGTTAGCTTCATTTAGAAGCCTTTAGTGTTCGTAATTGATGACTACCTTGATAAATAATTACCTTGTCACAATTGACTTAAATTATCTTAAAATAATAAAGACGCGGATGGATATTGTTTTTACTGTGTAAACTTGATGAGTATAGAATGTTAATTTACTTAGAGATTACTATCTTCAACGAATAATATGAATATATCAATACTGAGAATTTTTAAGTATAAAAGTTTATTGATAAATTCAGTATTAAGATGTACGACCTTCCTTCGAATGTAAAAGCTTTTCTTGTTCTTCACTGCCTTTGATCGAAGGTCGCATGCTTGATTGTGAGCGTGAATCAAGGGATGAACTAATTATGTATTCAAGCAATCGATCATTTCAAGTATGTAGGTGCGATTATATTGATCGGCGTGTTTCTTTGCATTACTATTGGTGGATAACATAAATTAAAAGAGATTGTAATAAGTAATTAGCATTAGAATATTTTTATTGTAGCGATAATTGATCAGATAATTATTCAATTTATGTAATAAGTTAATTACAATTGTTTTTCATAGTTAATAATTTATTTGATCAATTAGTGAAATATTTTATTATGATTTTAGACATTTTTTTCTATTCATAAAAAAATGATTTATGATTAATAATAATTATATATTGTTCTATTCACTTCATCAATTATTCTAGACAATTTTAATTATTTTGGAAAGAATTTGATTGTTCGATATCAACATATAAAATTTTTTCCTTGATAAAATCATTTTTTTTTGAAGAAAAAAAAGTTACAAATCAAAATTTGAAGTATGTCGAAAAATAAACAGATTTATATTGAAATAATGAATGATTCATTCGGAATGAAATTATACCTGTCTCATTGGAATACTATTTAATGATAATTTATGTTTATATTAAGTACAGATACGCTATGACACTAGAAAAATGCAAATTATTGGATACACAACAATGAATTTTTTATTTCTACATAACAATCATTAAAAATAATTGTGTATAATTTAACATTAATGTGTGTGGAAAATATCATGAAATTAAATGCTAGATCAAGGATTAAATATCATCCTGTTATTTTTCTTTATCGTTTCACTACTGTAATTAATCTTGATGGGCTAGAACAGAACATGACTGCAAACAAAATTATCATTCTCACTTAATTTTATTACTTTATTATTCTTTGAAAGAAAAAAAAAGTATTTGTTTTAAATTTGATTATACCATCAAAGAGCATATCCGAAAAAGATCGCTTCGAGTAAATATAAATTAGAAATTTCCTCAAACTCTAAACTTTTCACTATACAATTCGACACGTGATAACGTGAGTCACAAGGAAAATGAAGTACTTTTCTCTTTACTATGAGATTTCATTTGAAATTTTTCTTGAGACTTTTTGTATCAAAAAGGATCAAAATTTCTAACTAAAATATAAAATTGGAAGAAAAAACCAAAAAAAAAAATTTGACAAATTTAAAGTAAACAAATAAATATTAATAGTTACTAAAAAAAATAATCTTTGATCTCTCTATATCTATTTCTCTCTAAAACTCTAGTCAAAAGTTGAATCTACTTTACGATAAAAATAAAATCATAAAATAAAGATGAAAAAGTAATAATAATAGTTGAACAATAGCTTTGTCGCCAAAAAGTTTGTGATTTTAGTACAGTTGAAGTACGTTCGTATATACGTATATTAAAAGTCTCAACAAGCAAAGCGTCAAAGTGATAATACCATAATCGAAAAGCTCGTCAATACGCTGGAGATTTTCGATATCTCAATGCATCCATAAAATAAGTGGAATAAAAAGAAAATCCGATAGTAGGTACACAACTATAGAAAAGCATTCAGATCCACGTAATAGAAACGGAAATCTATGAAACGGAAGATTTCCTATTATTTGTGCATTTGTTGCATCCTTTTTATTGCTCGCCGCTATACACTGCAAAAATGGAACAATAAATTTACAATTTTAAAAATCTCGTAGTCTAAAAGTTCGAGTCTCGAAAATTTATATTCAATTACTTGAAGAGAAAAAGGTCAATTGTAGTACAATTATTTTTCTTTAATCGTGTAGCATTTAATCTTAAATATTAATGAAATGACACTTTATTATCTTTACTATAAACTCTGTGAATTAAAATAGTAATTAAGCTTCATATAGCATTAAATTAGTTATTATCTCAAAACGTGAAAAAGATAAAAATTTTATAATGTTATTAAAAGTTGAAATTTTTATCAGTTTAAAAGGCTAAAGTTTACAAACTTATCAAGAAAAATTTTTTTTCAACGTGTTGACACGTCATGTCATGTATTCCAACTGCCTCTTGAATAGTTAACTTTCAACTGCTCTATTTTTTGTTAATTGACTACATTTTTTTAAAAAACCCTTTCGTTTTAAAACATTGTTAAAAAAAAGAATATAAAATACATTTGATTTAATTAAAAATAAAAAATGAGTATAAAATACATCAAAAAGTTTCTGGCAGCTCTCAAGGATGTGCATAAATGTAATAAATGAAGGACATACAAAATAAAATACTCTACTATTATAAGTAGTTGGTGGATTATTAATAAAAGACAAAAAAAAACAATTCTTGACGACTCAAACTTTTCTGCTAGAGGGTATAGAACATGAGAAATTGTCATAATCACTTTTCTGTATTTTCTCTTCACTATATCTCTATTTCTTACTCTACGTTAGATAGCTACATATGCAAGGGAAAACCACTTACTGGCTATTTTTCTCCCATTGCTTCTATTTCGAAATATATTAATCTTTCGTAAAAATCTACTTGTTTATAGCCAGCCCCTTATTTAGAAAATTTTTTCAATCTAGTTCAAAGTGTCTATGCTAATAATTATCAAAAAAAAAACGAAGGAATTAATCTACACTTTTTCTAAAGTTATTTAATAACATAACAAACTTTGATAAGGACCAAGTGGACTATATTTGTCTTATGACTGGCCAAGAAACATATTTGAGTCTTTATTGATTAGTTAAATTCAAGATATCGTAGTTTGACTGAAAATATTTTGAAAACGACCAATTATTAGTCAAAATTTGGACCAAGTAGATTTTGATCAATTAGTTAAATTAGTTGATAAATTATTCATTAGTCGTAATAAAAAAATAGACCTTCTTTTCTTAATGTAGATTGGTTGGTTCTTTTATATTTCACGCACAAATACTTTACAGTGCGTGTACAGTTGACTGAAAAATTGTATTGTTTATTAAAAAAACAATGAATAATTGTACGCTTGACTTCCAAAGATTTTTTTCTGAAAGACTTGATCCATCAATGGTGGGGCTGGCTACAAGATTCTTTTGATAAACGAACAAAAAAATCTCGGTGTTTCTAAAGTCTGTAAAAGAAACCGAGAATAAATATTGTACTCTCTATACACTATTTATCCTAAAATATATACTTAATACTTACTTATACAACAAATAAAACAAAATCAGAAATATTTAGAACAATATTACTATCATCTTTACTGTCTTTACATCGTAGACAATGTCTTAAGATACATAAATCTTGAAGCATTTAGAGCTTTAAGACATTTATTAAATAAAAACGCAGAGGACTATTTAATAATAATGTTTAGCTGTTTACTGTACAGCTAAAAATAATTATAATAAAATATCTTATTGAATTATATAAGTAAATAGATAAATAAATAAAATACTGTAAACAACAATCGAACAGCTGTTGATTGAAATAACGAAAGTTGAATTTCGATTGCTGTAAGTTAGGTTAGGTCAACGAAATAAAATATGATAGTTGATTTGAAAAAATATGAAAAAATAAATCGTCTTTAATGCGAAATAAAAATATGTAGTGAATGTGTTCCTTAGAAATACGTTTTAAAATTAAAGTAATATGCAAATGTAAAATAAAAAATACAAAATGGAATGAAAATGAGACAAAAGTACCGAGTTGAGGACAAACTAACCTGGATAAAGGATTCTGTATCAATTACAAAGAAATTTTAAGTTGTATGATGAGTGATATACATGTTAAAGCATCAGTAGATGTATGTATATACATTGTTGTGTTATTACATATAGTATATAATCCCATATACACGTGTGTGTATACAGGGACTCTAGAGCAAGAAAGTGGGAATTTAAATACATCCGCTTCTTTTGCAAATATTTTTCCTTCTCGTCCGTTTGGAATTGCCCAAATTGTTGCTATATACAAACATTATATATATACATAGATATATATATATATATGTTTATTGTTGGAATAACTATTTGAATTATTTGCCAAATTCTCTGAATCATTACTTTGGACGTATTGTTTATAGCGAACCATTTGATAGAGCTTTTGTAGAATCATTAAACTCCTTTTTTAATTTATTCAATAAAAAATATCACTCTTCATTTTGTACAAATTTATATTATCTTTGTACATTATCTCTCAAAACCAAATAGTAAGTTATAAAATTATTTATATAACAATATATTATTATTTTAAATAACATTTTTTTCTTTTGTATTATAAACAATACACATCTACTCTAAAATGTGAACTTTGTAATGAATCTTTGTTCAAAAATATATTGTCAAGTAATTAACAGATCATTCTACGCTTAAATAGTTGATAATATTATATAAATTATGATAAATTGTAATGATTATTATTTGTATTCCTTTACTCGCTCTTTGGAAAATTGTAATTCATTAATCAATTAAGTAGATAATTATTCATTATTTGTTTCAGTTGAAAATCTAAGAAATCAAAATTACTGTATGTCAAAGAGAGAGAAAGGGAATTAATGTGTTAATTGTTGATATGAAAGTGGAGAATGGTTGGGTCGAGAAGTCATGCCCGAGTTCAAAGCTAAATCTTCAAGATAATTTGCTCCCATGATACTCGAGTTCTTCAATCACAGACTATCGGCATTATTGACATTTCTATATAGCTGAAATTTTACACTCTATAAATCTGGTTGAACGATTCAACTATAAAACGTGATCAGAAAAAATAAAATGCAAGAAAATAATATATAAAACTACAATCAATTAAAAACTCGAGTTTTATTGGAGAGAATAAAATGGATATTGAAAAAGAAAAATTAATTGTAATTAAGTCGAAAGTGCAAAAATATACATGAATTAAATGTTGTTTACACAATTCATTATTTTTATTCATCAGTTGGAAAAGTCTGTAATCAATACTATAGTGACAAGCACAAAGAAGACGTTATTTTTTTTGTTTTCTAATCGATTTAGTTGAAATTGAAATTGGTATTACAAAAGCTTTCTTATTCATAGTTCAATTCTAGTATTCTCTAATTTAATTTGCATAATAGCCATTTTTTTCTAACTAGAACTTGGGAATGTATATTATGACGATTGAATCAATTACATGAACAACGAAATTCATCATATTATAATTAGTTGATTTTATGCATCTGACAGAGACTAATTGTTTTACCAATACGTTTTGTCAATAGAATCAAAGGCCTATGAAAGACACCTCAATGAATGAAAACCAATAAACTATTTTTGTTCTGTATCTTCCTTTTCAAATTCCTGATTATCATCATATCAACTAAAAAAAAAAATATCACAATATATCATTTTTGTTAACTTATTACGGTTACCAAATGATAACTTAATGGTAATTAAACATTCAATCTAACTTTTAATCAGTTTTTGGGTAAGTACTTTGAGGGAAGCATTTACTTGATAGCACGTAAGTATTGTTGAACTTTGGTAAATCAAAGTGAACAAAAAAATGCAGAAAATTTTGTTTCTGATAAAACTAGTAAAACCTTCTCAAATATCATCAGTATCACATCAGCTAAGCTTGGCAACTCAAATACTAGAGCCCGAGATGTTTCAAGAATATTGCCAGAATTCAAAACACTCGTGAAACTAGTCTGTTTTAGTTGGCACTCGTATCTGATGAGATGCTTTGTTCACTCTTTGCTCGATTTTTAGTATCTCTTAATTTCACCTTGTTATACTTTTAAAGAAGACGTCAAAAAGTGAATGTTGCAATATAGAAAATATCATTTTCAAACTACGCTATGATAAAAATTTTTTTACATATTATCAATTGAATTCAATGAAACGATAATTTATTGAGTGATAATGCCATCGTTAACAACTCTTCTAACTTTCCTCAACATTGTTAGTGCTTTAACAAGCATCAGCAATGCAAACTCAAAACACCTGGATGAACCAAAATGGTGGGAAACTACATTAATCTATCAGATATTGCCACAAGCTTTTCAAGACAGTGATGGAGATGGTGTTGGTGATTTACAAGGTAAGTTATTGATTTTGTGAATTAATTATTTTTTCATGTTATAACGTTGTCGTTTCAAAAGTAAATTGCTTAATAATTGAACCCCAAATTCAAGCAGCAGCTAATTGTAGAATTGGCAAAAGAATCTCAATGTCTGACCTTGGCAAGATATTTCTACTTGCCTACTTCAAGAGAATTCAATTCATTATTGAATGGAAAATTTTTTTAATAATGAACTTCCGAGCAATCAGGGATTCAGATAGAAATAATTACGTATAATTATCTGAATTTTATTAATTAATCTGAGAAATTTTTTATAAACTTTCTAAGAAAAAGTAATTTCAAAGGGTTAAAGTTATCTCAAATTATCATTTTAAATTAATGAAAAATCTCATTTTAGGTATTCTAAATCAATTGGATTACATTGAAGACCTTGGGGTTGAGACCATCTGCTTAAATCCAATCTACTCTTCTCCAATGTTAGATTCAGGGTACGATATTTCTAATTACACAGACATCGACCCTATTTTCGGGGGTTTAGAAGACTTTAACGACCTCTTAGAAAATGCCCACGAGCGTGGTAAGATTTTCATTAATAGTTAAAGAAGGTGCAAATGTCAGATAAAAGTACATAAATATTTATATCATATAATCAATTTATCAGAAATTAATGATTTATTATTGTAGAGATAAAAGTCATTTTAGAAATAGTACCAAATCATTCGAGCAATGAACACGAGTGGTTTGAAGCTTCTGTTAACCGTATTGATCCCTTCACTGATTACTACATTTGGGCGAATGGAACCGTAGATGAAAATGGCACAAGATATCCTCCTAATAATTGGGTACATTCTAGTTATAATCCCCTTTAATAATCAATGAAAAAAACTTATAAATTTTTTTTAATCCAAAGACTAGTATATGGAATGACGATGAAGGCTCAGCCTGGACCTGGAACGAAATTAGAGGGCAGTGGTACTACCATAAATTTCATGAAACAGAGCCGGATCTTAATTTACAAAATGAGGATGTAATTACAGAAATAATGGTAAAATATACCTACAAAAATATTTACATTTATTTCGTTTTCTTCATTATTAATATTTATCTATCTCTCTTTCCATGTCGCTGGATTAATTTATGAGCTTCATGAAACCAACTAAATGGACAGACTGAGATAGATTAATATAATCTGTATTTACAGATGTCAAGAGAAAATCGTTTTCCATAAAGTTATCAATTTTTAATAAACTCAGAACTTAAAAAAAAGTTCATTTTCAAAAAAAAAACATGAAAAATAATTTTTTTATCATTCGGTTTAATTTAGGATATATTGGAGTTCTGGTTGGAAAGAGGTGTAGATGGATTTAAAATTAATGATGTCCATCATTTCTATGAAGATTCAGAGTTAGAAGATGAATCCGAAGACTCAAATGACAAATCGACATATATATTGGGAAATTCTCAGACTGCACTTCTTCTTTATCTCATTCGTGAACATGTAGATGACTGGGCTATTACTAATAACTCTTCATCTAAGCTACTCCTTGCTGAGAGCCAAGACTCTGATGTAAACTTGATATCTTATTACGGAGATGATGAATTTCCAGGTGTTATTCCATTCAATTTCCGTTTTATCACCACAGCAGAAGAATACGATAATGCTAATGAAACTGAATTTTTAATAAAGAGCTGGTTGAATTTATTACCAGAGAACGTGTCTACCAACTGGCCGGTAATTATACAGAATATAACATGACACAGAAAATGTCTCAAACGTTTTAATAATCGTCTAATGGATTCCTTTTCATTTATGAATGTTAATGAAATCTAGAAGTTTCAAGTATTGTTATACCACCAAATCTCTAGCTGGATTTAAAACGTTATTTATTTAATCGATTCAAAATTTAATAATTTCCATGAAGTAACAAGTACTCATGAGATTAAAAATAATTACTTTTAGTTTAGATTACGTAAGAGTAGATATTCCTAAAACATTTGTTAGATTTCCTGATATGATAAACTATAATAAACTATTTGATCTCGATTGAAAATATCTTAAGCTTTAATCCAAAAAAATTCCTTAATGCATTAGTACTTATAGATTTTAGCTCCCATTCCCATAAGTTTTGATGGGAATATGAGTCAGAATTATTTTAATAAGAATGGATTTAGAATTAATTGCTGAAGAATACCATGTTTCATGATTAAGTTATAAGATATTTTGGATCAAGATAAATTTAATAGTTCAATTTAATTCATAAGAGAATAATTAACAGCTTTCTGATGACGATTATCCAAGAGTTACCACGAGATTTGGTGAAAACCGTGTAGCTGGTCTTACAATATTAACAATGCTTTTGCCTGGACAAATGTACACTTACTATGGAGATGAAATTGCGATGAATGATGCCAAACCACCTTGGAATGAGACAGTAAATCCATTGTCTAATTCATTGACGCCAAACTTCCTCGTCGAGTACTCTAGATTCTCCGCAAGGTCCTCGATGCAGTGGAATAATGGAACCTCAGCAGGTTTCTCAATAAACGAGACAGTTTACCTTCCAGTTAATGACGATTATACCACAAGGAATGTCGAGAGTCAACTAGAAGATCCACTGAGTATGCTGAATATTTACAAGCGAGTGGCACGTCTCCGCAAAGATCTTGTCTTTCAAAGAGGACAATGGGAGCTTAAAGCCTTAAACGATGATGAAGTTTTACTTCTCAGAAGGTATAATCATTTTCATCATCCATTTCATATAAAATTAATAAAACCAAGAACATTTTGACATTGATTTTCAGGGTCAGTAAAGTCATTATTTTTGTTGTGAAACTAAACATCAATCATAATCAAATTTTATACATTTACTCTCATTAAAACCTATATTGTTTAAAAACTTTACGTGATTAATATCTTCACTATATTTTTTTGACAGATTTATAGAAAATCATCCGTCTTTTTATATTATTTTAATTAACTTTGGAGATAATGAAGAATCAGTCGACTTGTCATCTCTATACTTTGGTCTTGACGATGATCTAGAGATTATTCTATCAACCAGTGATGCTTATAATTACTCGAGCTTTTCTCCAGATAATGTAAAACTCATGCCTTACGCAGCTTTAGTTCTCAGATATGACTGGGATAATGATACGCTTGATAATACATCTAGTAAGTTTAAACTTGTATAAATAAAAATAATGATAAAATAAATAATATTAATGCTTCTTAAATTCTAGGTAATGAAGATGATTGGTATAATGATTTTAATTTGACGAGTAGTGAAGAAATTGACTATAATATTTCAACAACAGAACATTTATCTACTGATAGTGATGAAGATTTTATAACATCAACAGTATATAACATGTCATCTGAAGAATGGCATACAACTGAAAGTACAATGGAACAAATAGACGATACACCATCGAAGTCTTCTTTAACAAAGGATAATATAATAATTATATTAATAATAAGTACAAGTTATATATTGTCTTTTATCTATGACAAAGTTTTTTAAAAATGTTGTCATTCAAGGAAAGTTATCAATTAATTTAAAGTTTTAAACTTTATACATATATTTTCGCTAGAATATACTTTATACAATAAATACATTCCTTTATTTTTTCGAAATATAGTATGAGTATAATTGTTATTATTAATTGATAATGAACTATTATTTTTAATTCATTTTTACTAAAAAAATTAAAATGATTGTTTAACAAAATAACTTCACATCCACAGAACGAGTTATAGTTATTGTAAGTTTTTTTTTTAATGGATTACGATAGACAAACACGATTTAACAATTAATTGAAAATTGACTCATAATAATCTATTCCCATAAAAAATATAACTAAACATTTTTCATGGAGGCAGTATAAACGTATAAAAATATAACAAAACATTAGGAAAAATTTAGGAAACCTAACTTTTTAAAATCTGGCACTAACAATCATTCGTTTTGACATTCAGAAGTACAAGGGACTGACCTTTCTTTTCAAGAAAAGGATTTTTTTCTACAACAAATCAAACATTTTCATTACTATTCACAAAAATATATAAATCCTTTTGCATAAAGATATAAAAATAATCAATATGTTAAGCTCGTCATTAAAATCTAAAGCTTACTTAATCGTTAATCCATTTACATTGTAATTGAGAAAATAACTCTCAAACAATGAACAAAAAGAAAGATGTTTTAATTTAATTAAGTTTTTTTTTTGTTAGAATCAACTAACTAATAAGTGAAAAATAGAAGTGTTATTGAATTGACTTGAATACTGAGAAGATAAAACTTCTCTTTATATAAAATTTAATTTATAACTTTCAATTATTCAACTGAGATGAAAAACATTTTAAATAAAACGTGAATCATCTTTATTTAAGGCCGGTTAAAAATTTTCCGGCTTCTCGACGACTTTGAAGATATTAGATAGCTCATCCACTAGAGTTTCATAACGATAGGCAACTCGAATATCCGGCACATTTGTCCTTGTAATATCGTTCCCGGCAACGCCTTCCTTTGTATAATTTGGTCCAAGCCAGTACTGCTTACTCTGAATCATGAAAAAAAACAGTTAAATCCGAATTCCCTATTCATAGTCTTTTGATTTCAAGGACAATAATTATCAATTCAAAATAATTCTTATTCTAATTAAATGAGTCACACAGTCAACTAAAGAATCATTCTTTGCTAAGAAGTAAATTCAAATTCAGGTCAATTTTAAAAAGATGACTTAAACTTTCTGTCAATATTTTAAAAAAGGGTTTGGTCAAATTTATTTACTTGGAACGTAATTAAATTATTTTATTCCAGACTGATTCAATTTAGTGGCCAATCGATTTAGTCATTTTAGACTGTTTTACTAACAGCTGCTTTTTGACATACAAAATCTTATTTACTAGAATAAAACCTAAAAAGAGACTGAGATGACTAAGAAAGAATCTCATGAAATTCATTTTTATGTGCAATAATAAATGAAAATTTGATTATTGATATAAAATCTATCATCTGAAACTTCAATTTTCATTTTATAATGAATAATATGATAATAAGTTAAATAATTCATGGAAAAATTAAAAATTGAAAGACATTGAATGATAATAATACCTTGTGTGGAAATCCGCTCATAAGAACTGAGTTTCTGGCTAATTCACACATGTCGCAAGAGCTAAGCTTCCAAACTTGTGCTGCAATACTGTATTCTTCCATCAAAGGTTCCTATGAAAATATATAAACAGTATTATACCACATGTACCTATATTATAATCACTAAATAAATTTTATCAGCTTTTATTTATTTAAGCATTGGTCCGAACCTTTGTAAAATGAAATTGCAGAGGGTCGTCAGTAGAAAGACTAACACAAAGTCCACGAGCAAGATATTCAGGCAAAGGGTTTCGATGATAATTGAGAAATAGTGAATTGTTACTCAAAGGAGACATTGCAATACCAATTTGAGCTAGATAATAAAGGTATTGTAGAACGGGTACTTTTCTTAATAAGAGTCCATGTGATATATTTTCTGCCATCATAAATCCACACACTAAGTGCTGAATAGGTCCTGCTTCTCCGCAATGAGGTCGTAATACAAAAGTATTAAATCCTTGCTCACTACATAAAAAATTCCAATTTAAATCATTTTACTGTTCCCACATAAATATAATCAAGTAATTCTCTAATATTTATAGCACAAGCTATGTAAGAAATAATAGTTTAAACTCAAGTTTTATACCAAGACCGAAAATAAAAATTATTTTTAGAAAAAAAATGTAGCTTGATAACTTACGCTCTGAAGTGATTCAAAACTGTCATGTTGGCATAAGTATAGTATTGATAATAACCATAGGGAGGATTTTCAACATCGTTCCATTCTTCTGGTGGATAGACATCTTTATCAAATAAAGGATTTTCTGGTTTACTTTCATCATCGACCGAATCAAATCCAATGACATATTGAAGGAATCTATGTAACTCAGGATGGCTGTTAGGATCATTTGTTACTTCAAATAACGGAAGAAATATATTATTGAGAATTTCTTGAAAGTTTTTCATCAATTTATTTAGCTTAAAGATATCACTGTAAAAAAGAATAAACCATTTTTTCAATATGCTTTCAACTAGGAATAAAGAATTTCACTTTTCTATAAATAATTGAACTCACTAGAGCCGAGGTATTTGAATCAGCCAACGAACATTGTCTGAATAAACGTTACTTTTAATTGCCCAGCTTGCTAATTTATCCCATTCTTCCGGACTCTTACCGTAAATTGATAATCGTAATTCAGCATTCTGATACTTTGATTCTTCAAGATCACTTGCAACTTCTTTTATTATTCTAGCAAAGTATTTTCCATCAAGATAATTATCTGTCTTTAAAAAGACCTCTCGAAGACGACTCTCGCCAATGGGATTATATTTTGCGTTGAATTTATCAAAACGATGGAAAGTATTTCGATCCTGAATAAATAAAAAATTCATTGATTAATTCAAAAGTAATAAATTACTCTTCTATTGGACATTAATTATAGCAATTATCTCATTTCAAATTATCATAATGAATACTCACCGCATGAACATCAAGCATATCAACACTGAGATCATAAGTAGTGAGATTCATCGATTGGAACACCTGTCTCAATGTCATCATTTCTCCACTCTTTGAACATGTGACAACCTCATCTGCATGATTTTTTAATGTTTTCTTGATGAATCTAAGAAGGTGTTTTTGGTTCATACAAGACGCTGCATGAATATGGGTGTCGACCTGTAAAACAAAAAAAATTACATATTATTTAAAATTTTCCAAACTTTATTATTGCAATTTTTTGTTTGCTGTTGATGTAAGTGGTTGTAAATCATTTTGTAATAACATTCAGAGATAAAATATGCTTTTTTATAGGAAAGTTACTGGTATAGACTTTCAGAGTCATATTCATTTACGGTTTGTTTAATTAGTCGTCAACAAAAATATCACCACTTAATGAGAACTCGTAAAGTCAGTGGTAACACGATAATAAAGCGTATAATAAATGAAAAATGTACCTTTCTGATATTATAAAAATCTCTGTGTGGGACAGCTTTTTGACTTGCGAGCTCGCGCAGTTCATTGAGCAGCACATGTAGCTGAAACTTGGATGAAAGGTAACTAAGCCGTCTGTAGCAAAAAGATTTAAGAGGACCGTCAGCAATCATTGCACAAAGTAAATTCATATCCGCAACAAATGTAGCGAGATCTGGGTATGTATATGGTAGAGATTTTCCATTTTTTAAATCCTCATCATTAGCAAAAAGATTGAATACACCATTGACTGCAGATATTTTGTAATTTTTTGATGGTGGAAACTCACAATCCCATGGGTTGCCTCCTGAAGCAGGTGCATGCACTGGATGATCTAAAATACATACCAATTGACGTCAGAGAAATAAAAAATAAATATACACTTTCATTGAAAGAAAAAAATTCCTTTTATCATCTTGAAATGGAATAAAGAAATTCCATAAATAAACAAAATTCTTATCAGAAAAAAATTGAAACAATATTCACTTTTTAAACTTATAAGTTTATAATTATTGTAATGATTTTTCAGGCTATTTTTTTCTATCAATTCCACAATAAAATTAAAAGAAAATCAACAAGAAATCTTGGTGAGAAAATTATCATCTTTGATATACAAGAAAATCTCAAAGAATGCTCTTTGATGTAATATTGAGCCTTTGAGTAGAATATTAATACAGACAATGGTTAATCTTTAATTGACGAATAAAATTTCAAAAAAAAAAACACGATGAGTGTTAAAACTTCTTCAATCAAATACATTCTTTCACAGAGTAGTCACATTACAATAAAACATAAAGATTTCAAATAATTTTCAAAGAGACAATTTTTTAATTTTGAGTTATACACATCTCTACTTTTAATATAAGATTTATAAGATAATCTAATCGTGTCTTTACATCACTACAATATTGTCATATACTTCTTTAGTGTCTGTATCAAAGAACGAGCTTTTTAATACACATCCCTTTGAAAATTCTTTATTCTTTACATCTCTCTAATTTTAACCATTACTGTAAAGTAAAAAAGCAAGAGGAGACCTTCGGAGTCTATTTGCTTGATAAGGGCATCAATGTCCATGTCGGATCTTATCTGAGACAGCTCGACTTCACTTTCTCTATGGTCTTGAAGGATGAGGAATAGCAGGAAATTAATAATAAATGAATAGTTTTTTTTCTCTTTAAATTTAATCAAAGTAAAGCTTACCTGCTATTGCCTTACGATCATCATGATGTACCTCTTCAGCAGTACTCAATGGTTTTTTATCAATATTCCTCAAGAATCTAGAGGTGGTGGTTGGAAATGACTGCTTCGAATTATTCATATATTTTTCCCGAATATATAATGCTTGAACAAGCATTTGCGAAGCCCTCTGAAGATCCTCCAGTGGAACCTTTTAAATGACAATTATTACAATTTATAATATTAGATCAGACACATATTGATCAGTGCTGACCTTCGCTAGGTCAGTGTGACGCGGTGAAATTTAATGTGTCTTTAACTGATAGTACCACGTGCAGCTGGTCAATAAAAGACAAGTCAAGGATTAAAGGGAATATCAAAGAGTCTATCTGTTTTTAGTAATGAAGAAGTAAATAATAAAAAATCATCGATACTTGGATCGAACAAAAAATTATAATTAATAACAAAACTTTTTTTGAATTTAATATTAATCAAATAAATTAAATTTTTAGTATGGCACGTGAAAAATTCTGTCCAGAAATAATCATTTAACATCCAGAATTATCCACTAGTTTGAAACAAGGTCAATGGTTTTGATTCTAGGAAGGATTATCAAGCTATTTTCCAGTGATGCAGTTTGCAGATAAACCATGTTACGATATATTTGTATATCTATATAGATGTATGTTGGACATAGTGTAGGAATGACGTGCGGAGTCAGGGTGAATTTCCTTCACGTAATGCAGCATTCTTGAGGATTCCTAAGTCTCAGGGTCAGCCAAATTTAAAGTAAAAATATATTTGAGATACATTTTTGTAGAAATGCATGTGACAGGAATATCATACTTACACCAGAAGTGTCTTCACCGGAAATGGAAACTCTCTGGAAGTGCGGAACAAAGTCATTTTCTTCCAAAGTAAAAGAATGGTCAGCATCATCTACTGTTGGTCCTAAAGATGGTTCGTAATGACTACGACGCTCTTCAAGATCCTTTGCTGCTCTAAAGTGATAAAAAAACAAAAAAAAAGTATTCCATGATAAATGTTTTATTACTTAGAAACAGAAACTAATGGAATTAAAATAAAGAAGAAAAGTGTAAAAAAACGTGATGTGAATAATGACATAAATTTCTTTACTGTCAATGCAATGGGAAATAAATGTAAAGAGTTGTGTATTGCGTCGTAATACGATTCGATGATTATACCACGAGATGATTAATATCTTCTTAATTAAAATTAAATAATTATACTCCTTATTAAATTTAAATAGATTCAGTATATCAATAATTCTAAAACTGTCAGCTTAATTGAGTTAAAATTATCCTCAGTCATCTAATCGTTACTATGACAATAGTTTACATATATCCTCTCGACAATCTACTGTAGTAAATTTTAATTATAAAGAAACAATAAAATTATATCTAGATCTTTAAAATAATAAAAGCTTACTTCATCAAAATTCTGTTGTCTCTTAACCATCGTTTAGAATCAATAGCACAGGCAAACATGATTTATTTTTCACGAACAAAACTGACACTCGTAAGAAAACACTAGAAAATTTTGCAAACAAAAAAATTGTCAGCATAGAGTATCTTTCTTTTTGAACTACATTGCTCGAAGAAAGTAAATATTTATGAAAATCAAAGTTTAAATTATTAATAAAGCTTAGATAGACACATGAATTTTTAAACTACGTTGACACACAACCTTCATTTTCTTTATTCGTTACTTTTCGGAATTGTAATTGTATCATTTAAATAACAAACAAAGATATTGCTAGTAACAATAACACGAGTGTGCTTGGATATGAAAAGAAGAAAATTTCACACTACGGATGCTAACGTGGTTACAGTCGTACTGCTCTGGCAAGCAGCTCACCGGTTGTCTATCCCTACTTCCATAACATGCTGCGGCTGCTCCAGCAAGTAGAAAGAGTACGCTTGCGGATAACATGTGCACCCACGTTGCAGGATTCATAGACGAGTGTTATTAAGTTATTAAGTAGGTATCATGAGAGGTTTCTTGATAGCATTGATAACCTATCACTAATAAGTTGAATGCAAATTGCGTAAGTTTTTAAATATTATCATTATAGAACGTGTTTATTTAAAAAAAAAAAAAACTAAGATTAAAAATAATTACCGAGATTGAATATGTGGAAAAATTTGTTTCATTATAAAATATTGATCTGTTCACATCACTTCTATGTAAAATGTGCGTTTAGTTATCAGGATAAAATATTTTAATTAAAACGTTCGTTACATCCCAAGTATTTGTTGGTAAATTCATTAAAAATGAAAACATTTTAAATGAATCAAATATTCTATGAAAAATTTTTAGTGAAATTTTTCCACTAAACAAAACATTAATTCGTTGATTTGATTTACATGTTTTACATATAATATTTGTGCTTTATTTATACTTTCATTTATTCGAATGAATATTGAATTAATGTTTATCAAATTAACTATATTTCTAAAGGGACCATTTTCTTCGTCGTCGTTGAACTATTGATCGAAAGTTTACACGCAATACATATATCCACGCATTATGTAAGTCTCTGAAATATTATATTTTATCGATTTATCTAATTATCTGAAATCAATTAAAGACTGAGACTAATAAAATAATCAAAAGACTATAAATTTAATTTAAAAAATTCCAAGATGATGGTTAAAAAACACTAAAGCTAGTCATTTCTCAGACTTTTATGGCTTTACTACTCACTTTACAGTAAGTTGACGCTGGATCAAAAGTTTCTTCTCAATTTGCTCGATTGGAAATTGCGGAACCTCATAGGGTGCAGATATTTCATTGGGAAGCTCATGAGGCGCCAAGCGCAGAGCATTTCCAGCACCACCTGCTGCCCCTGATACATCAAAGACTGGACTTTCGCTCTCTGAAAATGAGACAAAGTGTTTAAACACTAGTTTATAACATAATTTCTGATTAAATTATTTCTTTTATTACCCTGCACTTCCTCATTTCCTTTATTTAACCATTTTTTAATTGACTCTGCCGAGTAATTATTTAAAAGATCCTTCTCATTAGTTAATACCATTATATTAAAAAAACTACTCAATCTGATTAATGTTTTTCAAACTGTTATTACTAAGTTAGATATTACTATTTTTAGTAATTCAATAATAAGTAAGCACTCAGATAACGATGACGAATTCACACAAATTTCAGAATTTAAATTGACATATTAAAAATTACTTTAGTTATGAAAATATTTTTCATAAGCTAGAGAATGAAATATTTTAGTTATATAATAAAAAAAAAACTATAAATTTAACAGTAACTTGAGTTCACGTAATAAAATTCATTAAATGTATAAAATTTGTTTTATAACACACAGTTGATCGGTCTTTAACATATGTAGGTTATTCACCTTTACGATTAAATTGTTATTGTTTATTGAACTGCTTGTTATTGCACAATAATATCTTTATGATGAATTTTATTTGATCGTTGTGTTATAAAAATAAACTAAGATATATGAGTAGCAGAAAGCAATAACACTATGAAATGAAAATCACAATTTTTAATTTAATAAAAGATTTCACAAATTTAATTGAGAAGAATGAGAATGAATATGTCAACTGTGGTCGTTGATGTTTCAGATCATGAAGTTTTAATTCAACTGAGTGTAACCCTTCTCTTTCGTTTTAATCATGTGTTATATTCGATTTTCATACACTTTCATTCTTGGTGGTCAACTGAAAGCCACGTACGATCACACTTGCTTGACCTAGATAAGAAATATATTGTATATCTCCTATAGTTGATGATTTCAAAATGTAAATAACAGTCATCGAGATAAAACGTGGTATGTTTTTCATTGAAATCGGCGTCTATAAATAATTAATGTCCATTTACAAAAGAAATACAGCATTGTTTATACACTGATTTGCATGTGTGAAAACTGTTGGGTATAAACAAAAACTTTTTACACAGAGGAACCTTAACTTTTTTAATTGGAATTTTTTAAAATTTTTCATTAAATGTCTACTATTTCAATAAAATTGTAGAATAAATTAAATTTGTCGGTTCATTATTATTTATTGCCTTGTAATAAATTTCAATTAAAAAAAAAAAAAGTATAACATGATTGTTGATTATTTTCCCAGCCTGAAGCTACGTTCAGATGCAGTTTTGCAAATGTGAAGAAAATAAATAAATTCATGTCTAAGGTTTCTATGCCTGGAGGAAGAAAAATATAGAACAACTTCAGATGATTTGTCTTTTTAATCGTTTCAAAATAGAATCCATACAAAATTGAAATTGTGTATTAAAAGTGAACAGTGATTTATAAATCTATTTTTGATGTTAAGAATAAATATGCAAGAAAAATTTTAAAATATTCAATGAATCAGTAAAAAAATTTCTCTAAAAGCTAACCTTATTACACAATTGAATAAAAGGTAACTTTTGATTCGAGTTAAAGTTTTATAAATATAGAATTCATTTGAAATTTACTAATCGATTAGTGATTAAAATATCTGTCGTAATTATTCTAAAGTTTTGAAATTCTGTGAACAGACAAGATTTCAATCTGGTTTTAGTTCTATTTGATACATCGTTATGAATCAGTCTTCTGGCAAGAAGTCAAAACTACGAAACTTGAATAGTCCTCACAAGGATCAATACCATGCTTGCTTTTTTATCAAACTTTCGTAGAATTTCTGGAGCATTTTTTCTAACTCAAACTCCTTAATTCAATTATATTTTCTTTAGTAAAAGTTATAAACTATTTAATAAAAGTTTTGTTTCTATTTTTAATATTTACTGTTATCATTAATTGTGACTGTAAAATGTAAATATAAAATGTAAGCTTCGTTTTATGTATTCAAGTTTGTAGATATGATAACATAATTGCAATTGACATTGAATAGACAAATATTCTTATAGAACTGTTTTATAATTCCGGAATATAATTCATGAACATCAGTTGCTATTGATTATAGTTTAATAGGTCTAATAAGAATACAATAATTATAGCATCCAATGACGTAATTGAAAGACTTTAGTGACGTCTTACCTTCATCATTCAAGAGAAAAATTGGAGAGTGTAATAAACCACGATAGGCATCATTATCAGTAGTTACACCTCGGCTAGACATTTTTGCATCGTTTTTCAATAATACGCAATTTCTATTTTTAATTTACTTTAATCGTTGACAAAAATAATCTTATGCTTTATCTAGCATGGGACTATTTTAAATGAACAGTGTCAACAAGAAATTAAAATTGCTTTCTGGGATTGAAGTCACAATTATCCAAAATTAAATAGAACTATTACGATAATTAATTAACACACTGACGTAACAATTAAAATTGGATCCACGATCAAAGTAAAAATCATCATTAGATGAAATTTACATAAAAGGTCGATAAAAAATTCAAGAAATCACATAAAAAGTTTGAACAATACAGATATTTTCTGGCTTATAGCACAATAAACTTGAGTTATTGGATGAACAGCGGAAGTAGTTACAGCTATTTCGTCGTTCACGAACTGACACACTGAGACGAAACGATGTAAATTGTCTATTTCTATTTGTGTATTAGAGAGACTCAACAAACTGAATCAATGTATAAGAACATATAGTGTGAGTAAACCTTGAGGAGCTGAGCCAAGAACGTCAGGGTTGAAGTCTCGAAAATTATTGAGAATAAATGGCTCACCTGAAGACACGTAACGTTGTCTATATTTGGCTCTTCTAGAATTGTAATCTCCCATATCAATAAGAACAATATTTTAAATTGTTTTTAAATCTATCTCAAAGATTATCAATGTCTCACCACGTTAGATATAAACAATTGCCTTAAAAGAATATCGATAGTCATTTTTTACTTACTCTTTTTGAATTTCGCCAAAATAATTGAAACAATAAAGTAGACTAGACATTTAAATTGAACATAAATCAATAATAAATTAAGGAATTAGTGTTATCAAAGAATCTTGAATAGTCTTGTGAATTAGTATCAATTACCTAGTTCAATGACTGAGTAATTGCAACCTTTCACGTAACACAGAGTCAATTTTAGAGTTGAAAAGACGTAAGAAATGGGAAGGATCTTATCACATGAACGTAAATTACCATGAGGCAGGTCAAGAATTGGAAGTGAAGAAGGTAATCGTTAAATTTGCTTTACTTACGACCACGTTGATCAACATTGTTGCCAAGTGTATTTGGGCTATCAACCTCTCCTTCATTCTCTAATTCAAAAGATAATGTTTCTCCATTCGTCTCTCGTGCTCCATTCATGATAGGGCTTTCCATGATGCTGTAATGCAATGTAACTTTTATACAAGCTTATTAAATCAGTCAAGCAGGCCGATATTTCAAGTGAATAAATGGACAATTATTGAATAAACCAAATCATCATACCTCAAGCGTAAATAGTTTGATTCATTCTAGTTTAAAAATAACCAGTACTTTAAAATTAACATTGTGAGTTAAAAGTGCTCGAATTTTCTTTGTTGTCAAACAATTTTTTAGCTTTGTTATTGAATAAACATGTATACAAAGGTGTTGATAGTTTCAAACCAATATTTACGACAACTTGTGATAATAATTTGAAATAGATTACGACTGAAGCATCAAGATGTGATATCTATACATTATTGCTGAGATCAACGATTTAATTTATCATTAATGCGGAAAAAATGTTCACTCACCTAACTTATCAATTGATAAGCCGACTGAAAAAGCCCAGAGAACCACGGACAAACGTGTAGAAAATATTTCTATCACTTTGAGAGCCACTGACAACTGTGAACACGCACTGTGGTTGATGTCGTTTATATTTTCACGTTTCCTCAACGTTATTGTCACGATCAAGGTGTTTTCACAAGTTTTTTACAATTTTTTCACACACGTTATTGAATAAGATAATGTCTTACACTATTCAGTAGGCTAATTTAAACGATTAAAAAATGATCAAATGTTTTTAGGTAACAGAAATTAATCACAAAAGATCTGAAGCAATGCAGAAGTTGCTCCAGAGCATCCGCGTCAAACAATTTGACAGAAGATACTGCGACTGGGGAAACGCGCACACTCACTGGAATGAGCTAGTGGTGAGTCAGCAGTCAGATAGAAGCAAAAAGCGTGTGATATATGATAAGTTTAGGCCGCTTTTAAGGGTTTGTCTTGACCAGTACTGGTCTAATGTGCATATAGCAATGTGTATATAATTCGAATTGAGCCTATACCTTATGTCAGTCTGTCTTTAAACTGAACTAGAACGTTTGGACTGGCGCAGTCTCGTTTGTAGACTACGAAAATCCATAATACCTATCCTTTAAAGTGACCTATGTTCTCACCTAACTATCACTGGACACATAGGGGTAGTGAAGAAGTATCACTAAACCAGCCAAATGAATCTTTTTTATTTTCGTTTATTTTTCAAACTATTTTTATCTTAGGCAAATTTACACAGCTACTAACATTTCTATAACTGTACTTTTAAATCCAATAACAGAATAATTTATAAGTAAACTCATTTAATTCAATACAAATCACTTTTAAAATTAAAAACTTTCCTTTATCTAAGTCTTAAATGGACTTTGAATCTATTAATCACATTTTTTATTGTGCTAAATTCTTCTTTTGATCTTGAGGCTTTTCTCCCCTACACACGATGATAGTCTTAATCTTTTATAGATCAAACAACTTTTGTATCTTATCATATAATGTCCTTAATAAAAGTATTCTTTGATATATTTCTCTTTGATTCAGTATGTAAAATAGATTTTTATTTGAGCCGATTAATAGAAAACTTAATAGTTTAATTGAAATCAAATTCATTTTCAGTATTAGATGCATTTACTTCCATGGTACTGTCTGTATCTGACTCTCGAATTGTTTGAATGTCATCATTCTGTTTCTTGGAAACATTATCATTTGTAAGAGTATTATCTTTTTCGCTAGTTTCATCGATAGATTGATTTTCTGCATATTCATTATTATTGGCTTTGGTATTTGATTTTTCTACTAGACCATCTTCAACTTTTTCATTACTTTCAGAATCAATTTTTTCTTCTTGACATGCTTGATTCTCTTCTTGATACGCTTGATTTTCTTTTACAGAATATACTTGATTTTCTGGATATGCATTACTCTGGTAAAAGGCTTCATCTTGATTAGAATAATTGTAATCATTTGGATCATAGACCTGATTTGGATCCTGCACGTAAGTTTCTTGTTGATAAGCTTGATTAGGGGCTTGAGAATATTCTTGATATTGTTGATTGGGATCTTCTATATATTGTTGATTTTCATCCTGAACATGTTGTTCATCTTCATTATATTGTTGATTCTCATTATTGCTATATTGTTGATCTTTAAATTTGAAATTAGGATCTTGATATTGAGCATTAGGGTCATTCATGTACTCTCCATACGGTTCATACTGATAATGTCCATCTGTATTTTCTATATATTGTTCCTGTGTTTCATATTGATAATCTTGATTAACTTCTGTTTGATATTGTTCTTGATTGTACTCATATCCTTGATCAACGTCCTGAGGCATTCGTTCGCCTGGTTCATAAGCTTCTAGAATATTTTCTTCATTACTTTCAACATGAGGTTCATTGAGATTTTTGACTGCTTCTGTATTATTTTTCATTTGATCATTTACACTGACGGCGTCTTCATTGTTTTCTAAAAGTAATCCTTCATTTTCAGCTTTCATTTGATCTTTTTCATTGTTTATGGCAGAATTATGAATGCTTAGCAAAGAATTTGCAGTTTGAATGGCTGGTTGTGTAAAATTATTCAAGTTAGATGTCTCATCAATAAATATTTCTTCCACCTGCTTTTCTACATTCTCGATACTCGGATGTTGGAGATTAGGAGTAAGTTGGAAATCTTTCTCGGTTTTTTCTGATTTTACAGAACAATTTGCAGGAACATCATTCAATTTGTTATCTTGTGAATTAAATTTTTCTTCATCTCCATGAATATTTTCTTTCTCCGATTCCACATGAATATTAGCATCGTCATTTTTTTGAGATTGCTCGAGAACAGTATTTTCAATCGGTTGATCTAATTTTATGACTTGTGTTGCAATATTATCATCAACTTTAGCCTTCATGAGTTCGGATTTCTCTGGTAATACGACTGATTTTATATTTGAATCAAAAAGTGTGGAGTGAATTAATGTTGAAGGATTAATTGGTTTTATAACATTAAGTGATCCAGGAATATCATTTTCTTGAGACTTAGATGATGGTAAGTCCTTTGAACAATTTTCTGTATGACCTTTGTCAACAATTTTAGAAACTAAATCATCAGCTATAGCTAAACCGTGATTAACTTCTGGCAATATGATTTTTTCTTTTCTTTCTTCAACTGGCAAGTGATCAAGACCATCATCTGACAATGTCACGTTTAATAAGTCTCCACTTGTATTTTGTTCATGATCAACTTCTTCAAGACTTTGATCATGATTAGTGTGAAGATTGCGAATTTTATTTATATAGCTTGCTAAATCATCATTTACATTTTCAACATAGTTTTCTTTAAGATTAGGCATAGATGATAATAAATCTTTAAATTTAGACGTTTGAGGAGTTTTTGGAGGATCTAAATATCGAAAAGCTGATGACTCTCTAGCTATTAAATTCTTTCTCAGATCTCGTTTATAAAAGTCGTTCAAGTCAACGGTGTAATCATTTTTCCAAGTATGGATTGGAGATTGTTCAACGGTATATTTAGATTCAAGATTTCTTTGATAATCAGCAGAAGGAGTCAATCTATTTTGTAATAATGGCTCACTATGAACTGAAGGTTTAAATAACAATGATGATGATAGTGTTCGAGGAGATATTTGTTTTAAAGTACCAACTGGTTTGTAATGATTTTTGAATGATTCAGTTGTTTTTAATCTTTCTTCATAATTGTAAAGAGGTGCAGAAGTAATTTTTAATTTATTTAATGTTTCTTTTTTTGTCAGCCTATCTTCGTCTTGACTCATCACTCCACTGTCACCAGCTAAACTATTAGCGACTCTTTGATTTGCATGTGCTCGTAGTAATGAAGCTTCATACTCTCTCTATGTAAGATAAATAAAAAAATTAATTGGAAAATAAATAAAAGTTATTGTTTCAAAATTTAACTTACTTTCAAAGTATGAAGTTTATCCGTTTTCGCACTCATCAAAGCTAAACTGGAATCAACTTTATCTAAAGCGTCTATAAGTTTATGATTGCGTTCATCCCGTAACCTTTGTTCTTCAAGAAACTCGATATACCGCATCCGCAATTTGTTTATACAAGCCTCATGTCTGAAATAACAATTACATTGACGTCAACTAGTTGTAATTGTACTGGAATACCAAAACAAACTCAGTGGAAATTAACCGAGTAAACTGTTGCAAACATGCTAGTTGTAACATTGAATTTTAAGAAGAGGTCCTGGTACCAGGCTTTACTCTATCGTTTGTCATCGATTTTTATCAAGGACTAACCTTAGACACATCTTTTAAATTTATTGTATTGCTGCTCAATTTTACGGCTGTGTCTGAACTTAGTTTATTTATGTTTATTTTATGTTACCAAAATAAAAAGGGTTTGTATTATCGATCGTTGACATTTTTAACCAGGTCGTATTCATGATCGATATTTGGACTAAACTAATTTTAAGGGTTTGTGTAAAAGATGCATGCAATGATAAAGTGAAAAAATTATTTCTACTCTCAACTTGAAAAAGTTTAAATACATCAATTCATGATAAATTTTATCTAAATCTCTACTTTTTTTCTTATTATTATTACTTTATTTTCACACACCTCGTACGAGATTCTAGCTCCATAAAATTGAAACGTTCCTCCAGTCGAATTCTATCTTCTTCACTTTATATTGTGCATGAAAAATTAATTTAATAAATAAATAACAATTTATTTTGTTTTATAATTAAATTGTCTTTTGAATAAATAAATATAATAAATACCTTTTCCGTAATTTTTCTTGAAGTTCCAACATCTCTTTGTAATAACTGTGGTCACAATACGGAAAAGTCATGCTGCACAAGATAAGAAATATCGTGACATATTGATTGAAGTTTTACTTGTAATTGTTTATTTGCGTGTCAAGACTTAAAAGACTAATTGTAGGAAGTGATAAAAGGAAAAAATTAATTTAGAAATTTTCAATTAGCAAAGAGAATTAAATGAATACAAATTTTCCATTGAATACGACCGAACAACTCTAGACCTTCACAAGCAACTGTCGCATTGAAGAATCGTGACGCGCCCAACACAGGGTAGTTAAGACTATTCTATGTACAGGTGTTCCATCCCCTTCCTTGCTATCCCCTTGGTTGGTTTTTATCACAACAGTTGTTTTCACGTGTCACTAGCATAATTATATATTATAATAATTTCAATAATATGTTACTCTTATTATTTTATTAGTGTATTATTATTTATCGAAGAATAATAAATAGTTTATGATATAAATAAAAAATATGCTGATGTTATTTAGCAATGAAGCTTGGAAATTTTGCTTGTACAAAGTGGTCGATTGAACGAAATTTATATACATGCAGACAAAAAAGCGTGGGCGGTTTGCATGTCCGCCGAAAATTAAGTTTCATAACTTTAATATACTTTTATAAATTGTTAGATAGTTTTTACTTTTGTATGATTGTGAAATTAAAATCCGAGACTATGAGCTAATGTAATGGCAAGTGTTGAGAAACGAAAATTATTAGTTAAAAAATATAAACTAAAATTGGTGGAAAAATATCCATGAAATCCATTAATATATTTGAAATTCTGAGACAAGTTTACAACTTCTTATTATGTATTAATACCTTCTGAATATTTACATCTAAATTTGCACTTACATTTAGATCTATGATTCAGGTGTTTGCTTTATGTAAATAGCATGCAAGTGTTCAGTTAACTCGGGAGTAGCAGAAGTCGCCATACAGACGATTTGCTCCAAAGAATTGTCATTTTTTTTAAATTCTCTTTTTACCTGCAAAGAATAAGACAACAAAAAATATGTAAGTGGTGATCAAGAATCTATTATTCAAAATCATTTGTTGAAATAAAAAACTTTTACCTTCACAACAGCTGGATCCTTACTACCAGATACTCTAGTAATTGAAGTAGAATTTAATATAATGGAATTGTTATCAATAACACCTTCTTCAATAGTTGTCAATCCAAAATTATGAGACAAAATAAATACAACTTTGTTAGTTCCTGGAACAACCTTTAAAAAACCAACCTCTCGATGCATTGGATTCTTTTTTTCAGAGTGCCAGCTTTGTGCTTCATAATTTAGCATCGGTTGACCAATGGAAGAAAATTTGATTTCTTCGTGATATTTAAATGGAGAAATAGTAGGAAATTTACCTTCTCCAGGTATCTCAGTTCTCCATGTGCCTTCTAACCATGCCAAAGATTTTAGAGCATTATGTATTGGCAAACGGATCATGACTGAGCACAGAATAACAAAAGAAGTATATTTTTTAGAAATAAATCAGAAGTATGCTTTATTGCTAATATTTAATTAACTTTATGCAATTTATAGGTTAAGCAGTGCGAAATATCGTATGCAGAAGAATTCTCTATTAAAAACATAGGATCAGCAAAATTTTGTGTTATCACAATGGAAATTGTTTTTCTCCTAAATTTATTGTTTGCAAGCAATGATGATAAAAATCTAAGATGGCAAACTTGCACAGAGTTTCACAATTCTTTCACATACCATATGAGAAATTACCAACTGAGGTACATTTTATTTCAAATAAAGTTTCCGATCATAATTTTTTTATACCTTTGTCGAAGAAAAAGGTGATGAATATGGCGTTTACCATTTCATTCATCAGCTTTAAAAATAAGAGATATATTGATCATTCAAAAAATGGATGACTTGGACGATGGTGATGAAGCTCTACAAATTGGAGAAAGAACTTGGAACCGTGCCGTTAAAGCAGCCGAAAAAGTATTTGGTTTAGATATATAGTTAAAAAATATTTACCACTTTGCAAATGATAGCAGGTATGATACACTAAAATATTTATAATATTTATCATTTTATAGGAAGGTTTTCGTGAAGGAGTTGAAGAAGGAGCTGATCAAGTTCTCCAAAAAGACTTTGATGAAGGATATGAAGATGGATTCAGAATAGCTTTTATTCTTGGACACTATAAAGGACTTGCTGCTTTTTTATTCAAAAATATTGATCATCCAAAAGAAATTAATGATATTTTAGAGATTACAAGAAGAGGAGCATGTTATATTTGTGAGGTTGAATCAAAGCAAGAAAATAAAGACGACGATGAGACAATTCTTCACAATCATAGGGAACATACGTTAAAAATATGTAAAAAATTAAAAGCGTACTTTGATCCTTTATTAAAAAATAAAGGCATTGATACTGATTTTACAAAAGAGTTAAATCTCGAATAATTTATCAATAATTATTTTTATTATTCTTATTAGTACACGGTTGAAAAAAAACGAATCGATTAACTGCCAGGCAGGCTTGGTAATGAAAAACCCATTGTATTATTGAGATGAATAAATGAATTTTTTTTACAAATAAAGTCCTTCTGGTGAACCTTCTTTTTTTCTGTAAAGAACACTCTCTTTAGATTTTTTGAAATCTTCATTGGTGACTTTCATACGACGTTCACGTAGTGCCATGAGCCCAGCTTCGGTGCAAATAGCTTTTATATCAGCACCAGAAAGATCATCTTTCGCCATAATTAGCTCTGATAAATTCACATCAGGTGCTAAGGTCATTCTGGATGTATGGATATTGAAGATACGTCGCTTAGTCTTCTCATCTGGAAGAGGAAACTCTATTTTTCGGTCAATACGACCGGGACGAATTAAAGCAGGATCTAAAGTTTCGATTCTGTTTGTTGCCATTACTACTTTTACATCTCCACGACTGTCAAAACCTGTTAATGTTAATTTATTAGTACTCAATGTCATATAATTTATTTTAATTATAAAGAAAATCTTAGAGTTAAAATTTTACCATCAAGTTGATTCAAAAGTTCTAACATAGTTCTTTGAATCTCTCGTTCACCACCGCTGTTACTGTCATACCGTTTCGTTCCAACAGCATCAATTTCATCAATAAAAACAATAGACGGAGCATGTTCTTCTGCTACCCTAAATAGTTCTCGAACTAACTTGGGTCCATCACCCAAGTATTTTTGAATAAGCTCAGAACCAACAACTCTGAGGAAAGTTGCAGACGTTTGATTAGCTACTGCTTTAGCAAGAAGTGTTTTTCCAGTACCGGGAGGTCCATATAAGATCACTCCTTTCGGTGGTTTAATACCCATTTCTTCATAATACTCTGGATGAGTTAAAGGCAGCTCGACAGATTCCTTTATTTCTTGAATCTGAGTATCAAGACCTAGAAAAATATTATTAATTTAAACACAAATATATTATGTTGAATTTAAATGCTTAGAGAAATAAAATGTACCTCCAATATCAGCATAAGTCTCTTGCGGAGCTTTCTCTAATTTCATTACAGTAACCATGGGATCAGTATCATCTCCAAGAACTCCAACAACAGCATGAACTTTATGATTCAATAGCACTGAGCAACCTGGTTCTAATTGATCCTTATCCACAAAAGAAAGAATCGATACATAATGTTCAGAACCAACTGAAGTAGATACAATGGCATGATTATCATCGATAATTTCTTCTAATGTTCCTACAGACATTGGAGTTCCTCTGAGATCATCTACTTTGGATCTTTCTTCTTCATTTTTTTCCTCTTGCGGCTTTAATCGCTCTTGATTTCTAATAAATTCTTCTTCCATCAATAAATAATCCTTTATTCTTTCGAATTTCAAAAGTTTCAGTCTACATCTTGTATGTGGAGTAACTTGCGGCAATTTTAGAGCTACATCCGGACCTTTAGTACGCCTTTTTTTCTTGCCGACTCGTGTTGGAATTGGAGGTTCATATTTTTTCTTCTTATCTTTGTCATCTTTTTTATCTCCACCAGTTCCTCCAGCACCCGATTGATTTTGACCCTTAAAAAAATTATTATAAAGATTAATATCTAAAGCTAACCTATACATTACTTTGATATACGAAGAATGTAATAAAAAATATTGTTGAAATAAACAGAATTGTCAGAAAAGTAAAATTTATTCTACAGAGTATTTTAATTTATTGACTTTCTTTAATATGAACATATTATTTTTACCATTGTTGCTATTCACTTTGACAGTCGACGAAATCACAAGTCACTGCAAAATTTGCAGGCTCTCGCCATGTTGAATTCTATAAAAACATTCTCACCAATCCTATTGGCTGCTCTGTAAACCTACAATGGATGTAAATCTCATAAGTGGGAGAATAAATTCTGCGATCCACGTGAACACGATAGAAGAACAAGTTTTCCTTCAACTTTTAAGACAGTTATACATACCTGTTAACTCTCTACCTAAAAGAAAAAACAATGAATGGACCGCAAACCGTAAGACTTAATTTCTACAATACTTTGCCAATTTTTTTCATTATTTCTTACTTATACTAAAACAATGAGTTTTACATCAATATAATTATCGAAATAAACAAACTTATCAGTCAAATGCTTATTTATATTCTATCAATTGACACTACATATGACAGCTGTAAGTGTGATTGAATTTGATATGACCTTCATTATAGTTGCAAGTAGTGTAAGAAAATAATTGAAAAAATTGAAAGCAAAGTACAAAGCAAAATTAAAAATAATTTCAATAAAAATGTTTAATTGTTCAACAAATTATTCATTGTTTTATTTTAAAGAATGATGAAGATTTGGAGCTCTTCCATGCCAATCTATTGGATCGTTTGCCTAATGATGAAAATGGATTATTAGTTCGACCACTTAGACTATCTGATTATGAGAAAGGTAAACAAATCTTAAATACTTTGTTTATACTACAACTGAAAAAAAAAATATTTCATTAATTGCATAATGACTTTAACGGAAGGTTTTATCCAGCTGCTGGAACAACTTACAGATGTTGGAGGCGTAACAAAAGAACAATTTTCAAGTAAATAATCGTATAAAGAATATCGATTTTAAATTCATTATACTTACACTTGGAAGATTTCGAATTATTAATTAAAAATTTTTTAATACAGATAGGTTTTTAAGCATGAAAACATCTGGAGGTCATTATGTGGTTGTTGTTGAAGACTTAAATAAAGGAATAATTGTAGGTAGTGCAACTTTAGTTGTGGAGCAAAAATTTATTCATAATTGTGCATTGGTAAGAATGAATAATTATTGAACTTAAACAGTTATTATATTTTCGAGTAACTGTAAAAAATACAATCGACAAAATCGTGCTATCTAAAAATATTCTAAGTAATTGAAAAGTAGATAAGATAAATATAAATCAACAATTTTAAGTTGAAGTATAATTTCTAAATTATTTAGCTAGAATAATGCTTTTACACTTATTTATTTCAGAAAGGACGAGTTGAAGATGTTGTAGTGTATTTACCTTACAGAAAACAAAAACTTGGTAAATTATTGGTGGAAACAGTTACACAGTTAGCACGACGTTTACGATGTTATAAATTATCATTAGATTGTCGTGATCATCTTATAAAATATTATGAAAAGTTGGGTTTTAAACAAGAACCTGGCAATGCAAACTCATTAAGTGTACGTTTTGAACCTGCATCAGAGCATTCGCGATTGTGATAACAACATGAGACAATTTTTCTGAAAAAAAAAATCAGTTACTGTACACCTTTGTAAAAAAAACTATTTATCAAAAATATTTTCTTGATGTGTATATTATTATATAACTAATAATTAATTGAAATATTTGTAAAATATTTTCATGAATGAATACAATAGAAAGTACTTAACATAATAAATCAATTTATAATATAAAACATATTTAGATATGTAGTTATTGAAATTTTTATTTCATATTTAGTTCTATATCAAGATTTATTATACAATAATTAATTAAAAATGGCTTTGATTAGTTCATTTTTTAATTAATTAACATTTATACATTAAACTTTCTTGGCAGGAGGACTGGTTCTTAGCTTTGCTGCTCTTTTGGCTTCCATTTGTTTTTGTCGAGCTAACTTACGTTCTTCTCGTTTTTTTCGAGCTTCTTCAAATTTATTTGATCCACTCACTCCTAAATTAATTTAAAATTAATCATTATTAATCAAACGCATTTCTCTTCTCTAGTAATAATTAAAATATAATAACAAAAAGTTTTTAACATAACATACTTACCAGATCGTTCGATCGATTGAAATTCTTCAAGAACTTGAAATTCTTGATCGTCCCAGCCACTTTCGGAACCCTCATTCTTATCTCCAATATTTTCTGTTGCTTCTTCCTCCTATAAATATTTTTTACGATTATACTCATAACATTCAGAAGATTTCAAACAAAGAAATAGTAACTGGACTAACCGGTTCTTCTTCCAAGCTGGCCCAATGATCATTTTGTTTTGGTGTGGTAGCAGATGGAGTGACAGTACTTGTCGAAGTTGTTGTTGTTGATGACGGCTGTTGTTCCATATCTCCCCAATTATCAGCATCCCAATCCCAATCACAATCAGAATGGGTATTAGCAGTATTCTGAGAATCATGATCATGATCAGGATCTAATGAAGTCATACTTGTCGCACTGCTTGTTGTTGCAGTTGTACTAGCACTACTTTGTGAGCTACTTGCTTGTTCTGAAAAATCAATTTTATAAATAAAAAATGATACGTTAATTTATATAAATTTTTTAACATACCCAATGATGCCGGTTTATTAAGTAAAATTCGAGACGTAGTTTGAGGATTGGAAGACTTGGGAGTATCTGATTGACTTCGATAAAATTTAGCAGTCATTGTTGTAACAGCCCAACCAGCCCACGTTGCTGCTGCATTACTTAGACTTGGTGTTGCTGTATTCACATCAGCCTCTGAAAATTTTCAATTATCGAGTATTGAAATTTTATAATTTAATGAAGAAGATTAAATATAAGAATATTTACCCATTGTTTCTCGTAAACCAGGATCTTCAGAGACTCTTTCTAGTTTAGTCAAGAATCCTCGTATTGTTCGAAAAGCATTATCACGTACACTTTTGTCTGGATCAGTTGTAAGAGGACACAAAGCTGGTAGAATACGATTTGCAACTTCTTGTAATAAATAGTATTGTTGTGTGATTGCGAGTGCCGATACACTAGCACTTCTAGCGGGTGGAAAAGGATCTCGGGTACCTCGAATGAATGCTCCTATTAACACCTAAAATTTTTTAACATCTCATAATATTTATAATACACTCTACAATTTATAATTTTGATCAATAAAAGTATAAGACAACTTATTTACTTTTTGCCTAATTTGGGGATGAAGATGTTGAGCTATTTTTCCTAAGCATATAGTTGTATTCGTTCTTATTCCACCTTGTTCATCAGACGATTGAAGTTTAGCAAAATACCGCAATGTTTCGACATTCAAATTATTGTAATCTAACTTTGGTGCTAGATGAATGATTGATTTGATTGTTTGTTCTCGAACTGCAGGATTGGTATCAAGAAAACCACGAGCTACCTAAAAAAGATGCATATATGTATATAATAAATTATAAATTTCAATTTAAATCAATACAATATAAATTTAATAAATACCATACCTGAGGAAAAATCGCATCGTTGACAGTAGAAGGCTGAAGGTGACTAACAAATCTATCGAGTTGTTGTAAAAGACGCAATCTAGTTGCTCGATCATTTGAAGCAAATAATTTTACAACGCAGGGCACAACCCTTCTTTGATATTCGGCGTCAGGTAATTGATTTCCTAATTGTAATAGAGGTGGTAAGACAGCACTACCTGCATCTCCAAATTCAAAAGCTGCCAATAATTGAGGCAAAATTTTATATCTGCCAACTCCTTCAGGAAAACTATCCAATTGACCAGCTAATTGAGAAAAGAATCGTCCTTTTTCACCCTTCTCTTTCATTTGTATCTCTTCAAGAAAGAGCAAAGCATCAACAAGATCATTTTTGAAAAATCCACCATTGCTACGGCACCTTGCTATCACATCTGCTGGGTTTGGTCTTCCGTCAGGGTTTATGCTTGTTAGTTCTTTATAGACTATTAAAAGCTGCTTTGGAATCTACGCAAAAAATATATGTATATTAAAAAACTCATATTAAAGTGAAAATTTTATTTTAATTAAATATATGTTAATAGATGGTAATGAACCTGTTCCATGGCTTTGAGGTTGGCTCTTTGTCCCAAAGGTCCATTGAAAGCCTCCCAGATGAGACAGCCCAGACCCCACATATCGATTGAGCTGTTTATATTTACTCATCAGTATCACAATTAAAACCTAAATATTTGAATATAGATTTCCAACACTTTGATATATGTTAATAAAATGTTGAAACGATTGGAATTACCATTTGGATGTTGGTTTTGCATTCTCTCTAGCTTCTGGAGGTATGTAGGCTTGCAAAGTATGTGGCAGTAGTGTATACGGTGCATCAATCGTACTCATATATTCTACACAGCCTAATTTCCATTCTCCACTTTCCTCATTCACAAACACCGAGTACAAATTTACATTATTATGTCTCAAATTTCCATCATTATTTAAAAAACTGAGAGCTCTCTGTGATTGAAAAAATCATTAAAAGTTTTCTGTAAGATTTATATTAATCAACAATGTAAGTAATAAAATAACACTTACAGTTATTTGAAAAATTCCCCAAGAAAAATATAATTCTTTTTTTAGACCCTCGCCAATGTCAATTTTTTTTAATAATTTACTGTGTAAAGGTTCAACTCTCTCTGTTGCCAAGTAAATAACTTTGTCAGTCTACCAAGTTAAATAATTATAATTAATGTTGATTATATGATGCTGTACAATATTAGTCGTAATTTCAATGACTTAAAATTAAATTTTTACTTAAATAATACCTCAAGGCTATCAACATAAGTAAGAATACTTGGATGTCTAAGAGTTTTTAATCTTTTCACTGCATTTCGTGCTATTTCTAGTTGAACTTCACCACCAGCTTTAATGTCAAAGACAAATACAGACACATCATCTCCTGAAGAGCCCTAAAAGAAAAATACTCAAATAATTCATAACGAAAATGTATAAAATGTATTTAAATATATTAAAATATTTGATAAATTTCTTTTGGTATGTTAAGGTTACCTTTTTCTTAGCTCTGTACAGAGTCCAAATAGATTTACCATCTAAACCATCAACGATTTCTCCTATTTCATAAGGAAAATCCTTCGTAGGATCTCGAGAAAATAATGACCACATAATTCCTTCGTTTTCAATCTGTTCTATCTATTAAAAAAATGAATTTTGTTCATGTTTCTAACATATAAAAGAATCTTATCACTTGCACTGACAACCACGCATTAAATTCACGTCACTGTCAATTGCACGTCATCTAATTATTCCACAGTTTTGTTCTTGATTAAATTTACTTAACATTAAATTTTTAATAATGCGTTGATAATAATTAATTTTTTTAATTGAAAATTTTTATTCTTTCTCGGTATAAAATAAAGATAAAAGTAAATAGCTAAAAAAAGGGTTTAGACTAGGAGTATACAATGACTGAAAAGCTGAACTAGAGCTGAATCAAAACCAAACATATGTACGTGTTCATCAGCAAAAACTATAATAGAAATGAGAACCACTGTTCATTAAAAGGGTTCTCAGCATATGTAAGTATAAGAAAAATTAAGAAAAAAAATAAACAATGTTCAAATTTTTAGATTGAAGAAAATAATTATTCTCTACAATTAATAATTCATATATTGTTTGAATTTATAATTATAAATTTTCAAAAGGGGCAAATGGAAATATTCTATATAGAGTAGAGTTCAATAAGAAACAATGACTTTGTATTGAAATTTATTTATTATTTATATGAGTTAATTACTTTTATTACTGATAGTCAATCAATAAGTTCATCAATACTTATATGATACATTTGCGTACTCGCAGCCGGCTGTTATGTACAAGATTTTTCAGGTTTCATTAACGATAAAAACAGTGCCAAGTGATTCTATGAATAAAAAATAATCAATCAAAGAATCAAAAAATGTTGATTATAATCGAGCAATAAAATGACTAGAGTCATACAAAAACGTGTTTTTTTAAGAAGTCCTGAATTATAAAAGTATTTTTGTAGAAATAAATGCTCTGTCACCTGTTCCTTTACTTTTAATTGATTAATTTTTCTTCATTAAATTAATTCCATGTGACACTGGTTGTTTTTTTTTTTCGTGCTAATAATTTTTTTAACTAAGTTTACTCCCTTTAACATCTTTTTCATAATAATCAATTGCACGATTAACCACAGATCTATTATTATTATTGTCATTATTTTGATTTTTATCACTATTGTTATCAAGTATATCACGTCCATTATTATGTATTGGCTCTGCTAGTTGTTTCAATTTTTCTACATCAATTTTACTCTTTGTTTTCTTCGCAAGTTCTTCAATTACACTAGTTAATTGTTTAAGCTGTTTTTCTTGTTGAACTGAAGCTTCGAACAATGCTTGAATATCTTCAGTAAATTTGATCAGTTGGGCTTCTCGGGCAGCTTCTTTTTTGGCTTCTTTGGCTGCACTTCTTCTAACTTCGAAAATGATAAGACCACCAGTAATAGTAAAAATTATAATTTCACCCATGAAATTAGCACCAAGTTCAATAGCCATTTGTTCATTTAATTTGGCTACTTTTGTTGGTTTGCCAAGATTCATTACATACATTTTTGTCTTTACTTCTGCCCAATGATACACTGTTAAAAATAAATTGAGTAAAAGTATATTCCAGTTATTAAATAATATTTTTGTTGATAAAGTATGTGATTATATTTATATAAATTGCTCATTAAAACTTACTTTGAGCCAAAGGAACAATCACATAAGTTCTAAAAACTGGATGATTTTTCGCTTGCTCTACAAGAACTTTGGCTACTGGTTTGCTTACTTGTTTTAGGAACAATATTCCAAGTTTTACAAGTGGATAAGCACCCACAGCCATTATTATTTTCAATTGTTAAGTAGATTTAAAAATTTAGTAAGCGTCCTAAAAAATAAAAATCAGGTCAAGTTGAAGAAATTCAAAAATTATTTATAATATGACTTGTGTAATTGTGCAAGATAATACTTGATTGGTTATATCTGCATATTTTTAACTGTAACGTGCGTGTCATGAGTTAAATTTACATTAAAAAATTCGCATGATAGAAGATATTAATACAATTATTGGCATGTGTTGGATAAATTAGCGCAACTTTTGTCAGTTACAATAACGAATTTTTTAATTTTTAGAATACTGTGACATTAACTACTATACTTGCTTCGAGCAAATGATGCATTAAATAACTTTGTTTTATTTCTCACTTTTATGAACTTAAGAATGTAAAAATAACCAAGAATCATAAATCTTTTTAAATTGATAGAATTCATTGAATCATATAAATATTATTGTAAAAAATCTGTAACGAAAAAGAAACTGTTTACCTTTGATTTTTGTTTGTCGTTCGTTGGAAACCACCTAGTTGTGTCCTGTTAAAAATTTTAAACAATTACGTTATTATAAGAATTCATTTATTGAAAAATTCAATAAATCATTTTTATTTATATCTAGTTAATGATAAATAAGAATTGATTTGAATAATTCTACAAATAAATTAATGAAAATGGAATTATGAAATGATTTTAAAAATTTCGCGGGACAACTTACCCTGGTGGTAATAAAAGGGATTTAAATTCAACAGTAGCGCCTCTATGATGTGTTTTTCTATGACACAGAGGAGTGCGTGCGCTGCTCGACTAGTTTGTACGTCGTGACCGGGCATCGTGGATGCGACAAAAAGTTGGCACAATTAGTTAATTATTCGTAGACGAAGTGTAGCTAGTAGATTTTTTAAAATTAAGACTAAAGAATAAGTCTTTAAATGTAAAATAATTGAAAAAAATAGTGGAAAATATTGTTACGAAGTTTTTGAATGTTCAACTATTGTGGGGTAGTTAGTGTTGGAATAATTACCGGTAGTGGGGCGGCCCGGAAAGGCTCTGTCGGCGCTGATGCTCGTGTCGCCGCTCGCGCTAAATGAAAATGGCGGTGTTCCGTTGAGCGAGGTCGGAGGCACGCACTCAGACGCCCGTGAAACTCGACTGAGAGTACGCGTGGACTAAGCACGAGAATCTTGATGATGCTCGAAGTTGGCACGTGAAACGGGACGTGGATAAACGTGTGAGTGTAACAATAATTAAAGTCGTGTAAAGCGAGGCAGGAGGCCAAGTGCACTTGAAGTGCGCGAAGATTAAGAAAACGAACTCTGTTTAGTGTATTCATTGGGGTAAAAACATTACGAAGTTGTTGAGTGAAGTCAAAAAAGTGTTCGGACGAGTACGATAAAACGGGGTGGATTATGAAGTAGTAGGTGTTAGCAGTAAGGTTCATGTACAGCTACACTCTCGATGTGGCTCAAACAAACACGATGGAGTGTGACACGGTGAAGTGTTGACTCTCTCTTCGGAGAAGTGGTCGAGTGTCGTGGCGACGACGAATACGTGTCGCCAGGGAGAAGACGCAAGGAAGAGCAAGTGAAAGAGGAGAGCCAAAGGTGCAAGAGAGAAAAGAGGGTGGAGGGCTCATATCTCATGCCGATGCCGGCGGAATACCGCGAGACCCACGGGAACCACGAGAGCACAAATTTCGGGCTCGCGGCTACTGCCGCACAGGACGCCAGCAACATGACGGCCAACATGTACCGGGTGGGAGGTAACGTTCGCCACTGTTTTTATATTTTTTTTTTCTTCATCATTGCCCTTAGTATATGTTCCAATCAAACTCTGATACTTGGATTTGTAGTCAAAGATTTCAATATCCAATATTCTCAGTAACTTTAATTAGCCTCCAAGAAATTAATGTTTGCAAATGGCATCACGATGGCGTCCCCTGTCCCCATTCTTCCCCCTTGCCTCTCCTCATCTGGATCTTCCCCCTGCGTCCCCCCTTCTTGGCGTCCTGTACGTCTGCTCTCTCAAGCCCCCCTGTCTCCTCCCTCGACTGTTCGTTTTCCCCGGTCACCTCACTCTCTTTCTCTCTCCCATTCCCTCTCCTCCCCCAACTCTCCTTCTCTCTCCCCCGGCAGGTCATACTAATTCTTCGTCCGATGGATTCACCGATTAACGTTAGTACAATCTTCGTCACTTGGCCAATACGTCATTCAAATTGTCTCACTCTTTTATGACTTTGGTCCCATGGATTTTTGGCCACTAACAATTCCGTTATTATTTGTCTACTGAAAAATTCCTATACCTAACTATGCTTCCATTTAATCCACTTCTCGAGATCTTTTCTTGCTATTATTTAATCTATCTTCTACTATCTATATTAGAAGTCACTGAAAGAAAAGAAGCAACAATGTATAAATACTTTTACACTCATACTAATGCCGTTGGCTTCTCGCTAGGACACAACCAACACTATAATTATGCGTCACGTTTGTTATCATTTACCTGCCGATTAAGGTTTCTTTTTATTGTTTCTAACAAGTCTATTTAGTAGCCTCCAAGATATTCATTAAAAACTGCTCATTAAATACTCCAATTCTTATCATTACTTTACTTGCCTTTTAATACAAAAATATTCTCTTCAATGTGAGAAAATTTTTAATAAAAATATGAAATATGAAATAAATTCAGGTATATTGCATATCCTTGCACATTTGCCATAGGACATATTCATGGAATGAACTGGCGGGCTTCCATTCAGAGAAGAATTTCTATAGCCCTAAAACCTTTCACTCCCCTCATAGATGTAGATCTTTTCTCCCTTGAAATTATTTCCCATTTCTTTGTCTTTTATTCGCACTAGTATCCTTGGGTCTTTTGTCTTCTTTGCTGTTTCTATACCTGAACCCTCAAAATTTCCCAATGAAACAATACTTACTATAATCATAAATCAACAAATTTCCCAATATGATACTTATGCTTCTTAAAGTATAAACCATCACATTACTGAACCTAAGTACATATGAAAGTAAAAATTTATAATATTTCTATTCTTTTTCCAGATTATGTGTATTTTGAAACATCATCAACATCTCCTTACCAAATCCGAAGAATAGAAGAATTGAATAAGGTGAGTTCATTCATTTGAAACCAATTTTTCTATATTTTGTTTATTTAAAACAAATATTTAACATAATTTTTCAATGTTAATTTTGTAGTTCTTAACTAATGTATTTATTTGTTATAGACGGCCAGTGGTAATGTGGAAGCAAAAGTTATGTGCTTCTTCAGGCGGAGGGATTTACCATCGACCTTGATTATGCTTGCAGACAAGCACCAGTGTGAGTAAACATTTATCTTACAACGTTGTTATCACGTTACCTACATAATGTTTTTGGCGGTATCACAATGAACCTGAATGATCTATCAGAATGGCAACGTGACTAATATCGATATAACTAAAAATATCACAAGTTATGATAGATCTATTGAAACTATTAATCAAAAACCTCATTGCTTTTTAAGACATTTAACATCATTATCCTTTAAAAAGAGTTTTGGGTTTTAATGGAGTTGTTTTCATGATGATTAGATGCTTTTCAAAATGCTTAACGGAAATAATCAAAATAGTGTTGACTTTCAAGTACTCAAAATGGCGTCAACAGAATCTCATACAATCAAAAGATACGCGTGCATGCAAATCTATCTATTCTCCCAGTCTTGCGCACAAAAATACCTAAATATATTTACCCCGGAAATTGAGCTCGCCCCGAATTCAACAGTGGCGTCGTGTCTCGCATACAAAACCAAAAACAGTCGTTTCCTTTCCAAGACGCCCCGACTTGTGGACGATAAGAGGTCGATTCTCTCTCACCAATAAAACTGGAGAAACAGAAGGACAAAATAAAAGAACATATGAAAAAAGAATTAAAGAAGAAGAAAAAAGAAAAAAAAGGTATCGCTTGGCTGCGCGACCGGTGTGTGTTCACACACCGTGTAACCACCACTGGTGCTCAGCGATACTCTTCACGCGTGAACGCGTATATCGTATGCGTCTTTGGCAAGATGTAAAAGTCAATAAATAAATAAGTAGATAAATAATTCAAAAATAATAAAAAAAAATAACACTAAAAAAAAAGTTATAGTAAAAGAGGCGACTGCAATATAAAAGTGTATTCTCTTTTCCCTTTCTCTTCTCTCTGGCTGCTACGGGAAAGATAATGAGACGCGAGGATTTGGGGGTGGGATCGTATAATAAGTAAAGTTAGGGGGGTGGGATGTGGGTGGAAAGCGGGTTGTATCGATCTGCTAGGGGTGGGCAAAAGGGTGGTAACACCCAACTCCCTGTCTCCCTTTTCGCCCACCTTCTCGCCCTCCTCATCCTCCAACCCCTGGTTTTCCACTCTGCCCTTCCTCCTCCTCCTCACCACCCCATTCCTCCACCTCTCTCTCGTTCTCTTTGCCTCTCATTCCTTCCCCAACTAAATGAATGACTGACGCAGGGGTAGGACGCGTATGTGTGTTTCATGTACACTCGTGCGCCGCGACCGTGCACTAAGACAGTGACACCACGAACCGTCTCATATACACGCTCTTCGGCCGGCCAGGAGACTCATACATGGATTCCGGGTGGCACTAGGGTGGCAGGAGGCTTCCCATCCAGCGCGAGAGTGCCAAGGGGTCTCCGCACTAGCTATCTTCATTTTAAGCATTTGCTTTCCCTCTTCCCTCTCTGACCATCATCCTCCAGCTTTCTCTTCATCTCGCTGTATTACAAACTATCCTTGCTATCACAAGCCCTTCGAGTTTCCTCCTATCGAATTCTCTAAACATCTTCTAAATTACTCTTCACGTATTACAATCTCTTGGTATATTTCACATTGGAATATCATGTTAATTACATTGATCTAAATAGAGAATCGGAGAGTAGAAAACGAGAATGCGAGAGTCGAAATGTACTGAGTAGCAAAAAGATGGTTGTGAAGAGAGAAAGAGAGCGAAGAGAGAGTCTCTATTGTTTTAGAGAATCGACCGGCGTCTCGATGTCCAAAGCCTTTGGCGACGTTATTTTCCTCTCCAACCGGACGCCATTTCAACTATTTCCAGTCGTATGATGAGGTTTTTGTGGTCTTGGTTTTATGACCCTATAAGCACTGCTCCATTGTCTTCTGAGATATTTCTAGAATTTATTTTGAAAAATACGATTTTATTACTATCTCGACATGAAGTAATTAAATTTGTCTACTTTTAGATCCATGTCATCGACCTTTCCCTCTGTTTAGGAACTTTAAAGATAAAACTTTTATCACATTAAATGTTTATGATTTTATTCTGATCAAAGTATTAATGCCATTAAAATAATTATATCTATTGATTCTCTGCCAAATTTAACTTGAAAATGATCTTTATTTAGTAGCAACACTTTATTTCTATTTTAATTGATCATTGATTCGCGGTAGATTGAATACCAAATAAATAGTTGAGAAACAAAAAGTAGCGTCGGTTTTGTGGTAAAAATTACAGTGGCGAGCGTGGAGCAGCAGAGGTCCGAATCTCCTGCAAGCACGCAGAGTCAAAAACTAGAGAATCCAGATGTGTCTAAGGAAATGACTAGTAAAGATGGGATTGGACAGAAAGTGATGAACAAAGGGCCTGGTAAAGGTGGCTGGCTCAAAGCCCCACTATCGGAGGCCCCCGATCCTCATGGTGAGTGATCAGAATTGATCAGAAAATAAAAACCATTCACGACGAATCTCTGTTTGAAACAGTGTTATAACGCAATTAGGGGCAGAGTAACACAAATACAACTACTCGGTGTTAAGTAATCATCTATTGATATTCGATATCTTTACATTTTTTACCAAAAAAAGTGTTCATGACATGAAGATTGAAAGAATCATTCTACCTTTAACATCAAATATTGATTAAAGTATTACCTTACATAATTAGAACATTTTATAATTAACTCAAAATTATTATTGATGTATTATATTCACTTGAGTTTATGGGAAATTTCAGAAATTGAAAATTTTGGTTCGATATTAAATTAATTATCGATACCCGCATCGGAAAATGCTCTATTACTTGATCAAAAAAGGTAGTTATAACCTTTTCCAATGCGGGTTTCCATATGTATCGATGAAAAATTATAATTATAACTATAATTTAAGTCATTAATTATTTATATATGTAATTAATTCCTATCATTAATTTACATTTTTGATACCTTATTTGGTAGTTCATTCAAATATTTAAAATCAGTATATTTAAGCAATATTGTCCGTTGAGTATTGATCAGAAGAATTTTACCAATAACGATAAAAAGGCTATGCGTTGCTCCGCCCCGATATACGATAAAACGAAGTATTTTGTTAGAATCACTATTTTAATGATCTTAACTATTAAAAATATCAGATTCTAGTTTTTATAAAATAAATACATGCGTAATCAACGGATGGATTCGTCGATAAATGGAAATGAAATAAATACCTTTTACTTGTTGTATTCAATATATGAGGAGACGCCGATGATGATGCAAGGCTACTGAATTAGCAGCCAGATTTAAAAAAAAAATCTTTGAAATCTTGGTGATTGCCGATAGTATGGGTTTAATTCACTGTAAGGCCAAAGAGATAACAATTTTGGCCAAAAGGTTTTTCGTCTGTCTTTTGAGTATTACGTCAGATGCCTTGCAATTGGCCATACATATTTCATTTCCAATCTTTCCTTTCCAAAAAAAAAAATTATGTAAACATATAAATAAATATTAATTCAGAAATAATTGACTTTAAAAATGAAATAGAAATATTTCATGTTTTATGTTATTAATCGAATTAGTTTATTTATTTGATTACTAATTTTTAATTGTATCCTTATCTAGCTGCATTCAAAGATGATTCTTTAGTAATCTGAGGCGTCTCTGAATAAAAAATAAACTTTTGTTGTTATCAATAATGTGTAGTAAAATATATTTTTTCATTTCCCCATTTTTGCTAGTTCATTTTCGTTGGAAATCAAGTAAAGAATTAATTTTTTAATAATTATCAATATATTTGATTATAATTTGAATGAATAAATATATTGTGCATCATAAAAAAAACGTTTGATATTTATTCGTTTAATAAATCACCGAAAGTTGTATTTTTCGTTGTTTATTTAAAAGTATTTCGTAGGTATTTGTGTATAATAATTAGTTTTATTATTTAGATAAGAAATATCTCAGCACATATCTTATTAAATAATGTGTGCATGTTAATGGTGCATGTAAATGTTATTTTGTTTTTTTAATAATTGTTGTATTTTTTTGTTACAATTTTACAAATGGTATATTTTATATTTAGTGTTGAATACAGGTGTGGAGAAAGACGTTGCCAATGCAAGCGGTGTTGCCGAATTAAGTACAAAGCAACGTCACCAAATGAAACACCGGGAGCTGTTCCTCTCACGCCAGGTCGAAACGATGCCCGCCACCCACATTAGAGGGAAATGCTGTGTAACACTACTCAACGAAACAGAATCTCTTTTGAGTTATCTCAATAAAGAAGATTCATTCTTTTATTGTTTAGTATTTGATCCTGCTCAGCGTACCTTACTTGCTGACAAAGGTATCTATCATCACTAATTTTATATTAAAAAAAACATAAATAATGAAGTTATAATGATGATATTAACTGACAATGGTAATGATTTATAGGTGAGATAAGAGTTGGATGCAAGTATCAAGCTGATGGTATTGCACCAACGACGTTGACAGCAGCGGAAAAGGAAGCAGATCCTCGTAGATTACAGGATCTTGAGACATTAGTTTGGACACCAAGACACTCATTAACAGACCGTCAAATTGATCAGTTTTTGGTTGTTAGTAGATCAGTAGGTACATTCGCTAGAGCTCTAGACTGCTCTTCTTCCGTAAAACAACCTTCGTTACATATGTCTGCTGCGGCTGCCTCTAGAGACATTACCCTCGTGAGTATAGAAAAAACTATGAATTGAAAATGAGATGTTATTTTGTTACTAGTTATTATGTAAATTTTATATTATATTATTCCTGATGTATTTTTTTCTTCCTTTTATTGCAGTTCCATGCGATGGACACTTTACATCGACATAATTATGATATTGCTAAAGCAATGTCGTCACTAGTACCGAGCACAGGTCCAGTTCTATGTAGAGACGAAATGGAAGAATGGAGTGCAAGTGAAGCAAATTTATTTGAAGAAGCTCTTGATAAATATGGAAAAGACTTTTCAGATATTCGTCAAGATTTTCTACCTTGGAAAACTTTGAAAAATGTCATTGAGTATTATTACATGTGGAAAACGACTGACCGCTACGTGCAACAGAAAAGAGTAAAGGCAGTCGAAGCTGAAAGTAAACTAAAGCAAGTTTATATACCAAACTATAACAAAACTCCAGCGACTACGCCAACAGGAACGACTATCATGCCTCTAGGTAATAGCAATAACAGTAACGGAAAAGGTGTGAGCGTTCTCAATGGCAATAGTAACGGAAACATCACAAGCGACAACAGCGGGATGTTGATGGTTGGAGTTGGTGGTAAACCTTGTGAAAGCTGCCAAGGAACGCAAAGTTCTCAGTGGTATGCTTGGGGACCATCACATATGCAATGTAGATTATGTCAATCTTGTTGGACGTATTGGAAAAAATATGGTGGACTTAAAGTATGTCTTTTAATCATTGAAACTTTTAACCTTCCTAAAAAATTTAAAGGAAGATTTTTTAAATTAATATTTTATTATTTTCAGGTCCCTTCACGTATTGACGATGCAGATTTAGACCGAAAAAGAAGTAGTACAGGTTCTGACGAAGAAAGCAAAGGCATCAGCGGTGCTCACCGACCACATCGATGTACCATCCCATCATGTGGTAAAGAGTTTAAACTCAAAGCTCACTTAAGCCGTCATTATGCTAGTGCTCATGGTGTGGATTTACGCGGGAGTGGTGCTATGGGCGCGAGTGGTGGCAGTGGTTCTCCAAGACCTGTCATGAAGACTCGTTCAGCATTTTACCTTCGTACCTCGGCATTAGCGCGTGCTGCCCGTCGAATTTGCGCTACTCAATTGCGCACTCGTCATGCCGCGCGTGCTCCCCATCAACCCGTGAATTCGACGCCGCTACGACACGTTTGTGCATCACCTCAACTTGCCTCAAAAACCCCAGCTGAGTTGAGACTATTAGCACGTGCTGTGCGTCCACGACAACGTCCACGTGTTACTGACATCGCCACGAGGCTAGGAGATCATCCAGTACCAAGACAACCTGGTGATTGGGATTGGCTTGCACTCACCGCACCCGCACAACGCAAACAGCCCGACCGCGTCTCATTTCCAAGACCGCCTAAAGCACCTGGTATTTATTTGTTTACTTATGCTGTTTGATTAGACATTAGTGTAGTTGTTTGTAGAAACAGTGTAAAATGTTATTGATAAAAGGACTTGATACATAGTCTATTGCAAACAAGAATCATGAAAAATTGATACATGAAGAATAAATGAGAGAACGATATAAAATAACATTCTGTCAAAGATTCACTTTGATTAATTATGAAATTAATTATTTATTTACTTCAATCAATGTTTCTTTTTTATAGATGGTAGTCTTTTATATGAGAGAGTACCTAATAAACCTGAGGTCGATAGACTGCCACCGACACCACCACAACCACAACCAATTCAATCACAGCAGGCCATTTTGAAACGTACAAGGTCTGCTTTCGATGAAATCAATGGATCAGATGGTAAGTATCGTTATAATTATTATTAGTAACACAGTTGTGTATTTCCATATTGAATATGATCTTTGTTTGTTGGCTTCTACTCGGATGTGGATTGGGATGAAGGTAAAATTTCAAACAAAGCTATTTGCACTGATATAAGCCAATTTTTTCTCTTAACAATCTAAAAAAAACTACCATTTATAGACAATACAAATATTTGAATGTATTTTTTTCTGTTCATAGGCATTGCCCTGAATGCAGGGCTACCTGGTGCTCCACCGGCAAAACGGGCTCATCATTCTCAACAGCTACATCCTAAACACGTTCTTGACCATGTTCCACCAGCTATTGTTCCATTAGCACCACCATTGAATGGTCGAGCTGTCCATTCACATAATTTTTCTCATGGAGCGCCTTTATCCAGAAGCAATGCACGTAAACAAGTTATCTCCTGGATGGATGCACCCGATGATGTATACTTTAGGGTATCAGATCAAACAAAGTAAGTTTTTTTCTATAAACAATCAATTTTAGATTCGAAAAGCTTTAATTAAAAATAATAACTGAAAAAAAAAAAATTTAATTAAAGTTTTACCATAAGAATAAAATTATATTAATTTAATGGTAATTGCTTTATCTTGTATAGGAGAGTAAGGAGAACATTGTCGTCGATAGAATTACGAAGAGCCGCACGTAAACCTTGGCGCAGGCTGCCAAACCCTCATCCACCTCACTCCCAAAGGGCGCCGGCAACGCGCAGTGACGATCCACGAATGGTTGTCATCCTTGACTGAACTTAGTAAGCACAGGAGAATGAAGATAAATTTTTTTACAAGCGGGTTATCCTCAAATCAATCAATCAATGATAATTAGGATCATGTTAAATAGAAGGAATCCCGAAGGATGTTGTGGAAACTCAAGGGAGTTAGTGTGAATTGCACGATAACCGCGGGCTGTGTGTGAGTGTGTGAGTGTGCTGTGGTGCGACGGGGACTTCTTCAAGTGGATATTTTTCAAAATCTTGAGGGAAAGAAAAAAGGAAGGAGAAAAGGACGAATATAATTGAAAGATAAAAATGAAGAGAAATATTTGATTACACTGGTAATGAAAACTGAAGAAATGACAAGATTTTTGAAATCCCATAATTCTGACTGCCGTAATTGTGAAATGCACTATTACTGCACTACTATACGTTTGATCATCAAAAAAAAAACAAGAGATTTTAAATGAAAAAAGAATTAAATGTTGAAGAAGTTAATGGGTCGAGTCATTCACCATGAAATCATGATTTTCTATCGGTATTAATTAATTATTGTTGTTATTAATCATAATTATTATTAATTAAATGTACATAAAAAAATACACATACATAAACAAGCGTATACATGAATTAACTATCATGTACACAGGTGACACGGAATACACGCATAAACAATTGATACACTCATAGCCCAATAAACCGTGCCCTAAAGTATGAGCACGAATTTAAAAATTGATGAATTAGCGCTGACGTGTCGCGAGCGCTTTGATAATTGCGCTTACGTCTTGCTCTGAGATATGAATGTCTGAGGGAGAGAATATGTGAGACTATTAATGCAAGAAAAGAAAAATGAAAACATACTTCTTTAGTGTATGGAAGGGAATGCGAGAACGAGAAATGAAGAATGCTCATTGTGAATATTTTTATTAAATTTTCAAGTTTGATGACTTCCGTCGCAACCATTAATAAATAAACATACGCATCGCTCGGAATGTATTTTACTCAATCCTATATTGTTAGTCCTACATCCTTATTATTATTTATTTATATTGATATTTCTCTTTGTAAAAAGAGTACATTAGTCATTTATTTTCTTATAATTATATTAGATAAAAACTTGGTTAATTTAATTTTTTTTTTTTTAGATATAACTTTTAAAATGAATATTTATCTGCATATCATGAAGAAAGTTGTTAAAATTTTAAGAACTTTGTATTGATTTTGAATTATTGTTTATCATAACTAGATAAAAATGATTTGAAAATAATCCGAACATACAATAAACAATTTAATTAAAAATTTATTTATAATTTGATATTTTCAACAATAATAAGTTTTTTTTAAGTTTTATATTTAAAAATGAATATTTCTAACTCAAAAATAAAAATCAACTGCATATAAATTGGTGATTAAATATTGATATTTAAATGGAGTACAATTATATAGCATGCATTAATTATTATCCATTTCAATTGATGAAAAACAGTTGAAAACTAATCATTTATTGCACACTTTTACTTTTGATTATTTAAAAAATTTTTTAAATATCCATTATTTTATAAACTAAATGACGGTAAGTATTTTAAGTAATATCAATTTTAAACTTACACACTTCAATTCAAATTACACTCTTAAATTTTGACTAAATTATTAATATTATCTGTGCCATGCAACATAGTGCAACTCAATAATACAGTAGATTCGAATACCTACTACATTACTTACATGAGCGAGATCATAAATTACTGTTATTTGAATATTTCACGAGAAAGAAAAAATAATACCATGTAGTATAAAGTCTAAGTACACAGGTCTTCCTCTGCATCTGCTACATTCCACATAAATAGATAAAAAATAAATGCTATACTACTTAAATAATAATTATTCATGAATATAATAGATGGATAACATTCATATTTGTAACAAACTTCTGATAATATCAGAAAAATACTCGAAAACGTGTATACAATATGAACATCTTTAATATTAAATATCATATGTAAGATGTATAAGTTTCATTTGTGAGCACATAAAATATTTATCATGATCTATCATTTATAATAGGAAGTGTATTTCCATGAGTAATATTAAATTATTATTAAACATGACAAAAGAAAAATGTGTAGGCGAAAATAATGAATACCTTTGTATTAAATAATTTTATCAGGTAATACACATTTTTTTCAGTTTCAACCAAATCTACGACATATTTAAATATTATTATAACAGAGCTCTTGAAATGCATCGTGTATTAGCAAAGTATGAATTGTGTATGCTAATTTGCTACATGTTCATGCCAGAAATATTAATGAAATTACAAACAAAAATTATCAACAATCACTCGGTGATAAATGCAGTGGTAATTTTTAAAATAATTGTCTTATAGTTGTAGATTTATATTCTATTAATTTTTCCTGTATTTAAAAATTATACGTTTCAAGGTGGACATGATAAAATCCTGTCATATCAATGAGGAAAGTTCTATTCTTGTAGCAGGAGAGTTTAACGCCAATGAAATAGAAAAATTGACATCCAGTCATCAATCAGTGATAATACTAGATCATTTTAATATATCGGATTATAAAAATGTTGAAAATACAGTCCAGGCTCTAGTTATATCACCGAACTCATACAATGATCTCCATGGACTTCTCCAACAAGTCAAAAATTCGTCAATGTGGAACAATCTTCGATATAATATTATTTTAAGTAGGATTGTCTCAAGTAGGAGTTGTGATAAAGCACTGAAATATTTATTTACTTCCTGGAAAGGAGATTTACTGAATTCAATCTTTCTATGTGCCTTGGCTGAAAACAACATCAAAGTTTATACTTACAATCCATATACTGACCTCGCTCCGAAACCGTGGTCATTTGTTACAAAATTCAAAGACGATAATGACTACTGGTACCTTTACTCAATTAATCACTATCAAGGTAATTTTTATTAATAATATTTTATTATAACTAGAATTTTAGAATCATGTTTGCTTATTGCATTACTTTAGTATTTACACTTTACAGGTCATCTAACCTGTAGTACTCTTTTTTTCGACAAAACTTTACATCTTAATAGATATACAGGAATTAAAGCTGTAATTTACATACCTCCAGCTCTTAATACAACTAATATTTTGATTGATTATGAAGTTAACATTAAGAAACGATTTGATATAAATATCATAAGAATTTTGTATAAAAAACTAAACATCAGTTGCGTTTTTCTGTGGAATTCTGATCATGGTTCATTTGATGAGCATGGTAATCCTATGGGTGTTGATAAATATTTAGCAGACGGTCATTATGATATTCTGATCGGTCATCGATACCTCAAATACACAAAAGGTCTAGTAAAATCAACCTTCACACTAGGAGAGAGTGGACTTACATTTGTTATTCAACATAGAGCAAATCTGTCCATCTTCTTACAAATTGTTAATTATTTTAAACCAATTGTAATTCTTTTTGCCATCATTATTTTGGGAGTAACTATAGCAGTTTTAAAATTATCTGCTGAAGAAAGTTATGATACAGCTGTCTTCGAAGTCTTCAGATTATTTCTCAATGGTCCACTCTTAAGAGTTCCTATCAATCTATCACCGAGAATTTATCTATGTACAATATTTATTTTTATTTTTATAGTACAATCAATTCTTCAAAGTAAAATATTAACATTTATCATGATACCACAGAGTGATGATATAAATACTTTTACAGAATTAGCACATCATAAAAAATATATAATTCATGCCAAAGAAGAGTATCAATATCTCCTACCACCCAATATAGCAAAAAGAATTGTTTTAGAGAACTTTTTCGTGGACAAACTAAATAAAAGTAATCATGTATTTATTACGGAAGATTATGTGAATCTTAGTTTCGCGAAACTACGTAAACTCCATATTTCCAAACAAGTGATAGCAAAACATCATATGATTCATAGAACTAGAAAAAGTTGGCCACTGTTCAGGAGAGTTGATAGCATATTCATGCGATTATTCGAGACTGGAATAAGTTATCATGAAAATAAAATGGCAGAATTTCATATCACACACGATCATGTTGATGAAGATGATTATAATCACAATTCTCCAAAAATTTTGACTTTACAACATGTCGAATTTGCTTTTAAAATACTTGTTATTGGCTTTATTTGTTCATTTTTAAGTTTTATCATTGAAATAAAAGCTTGGAACTTTATCCCAATACCACGTCAAATCAAAAAAATACTCAGAAAATAGTATTATGATAAATAGAAATCTCAATCTACATGTTGATATTCGTAGTTTTTATTTTCATTGATTATTAAATATTAATATAATAAATATATTGTGTTTACTGTTATAAAACTGTACAATATTAAAAAATAAATATTATATGTGACATATGTTTCCCAATAATTTTGTTACATGTATTTTTGATTTTTGAATATACATAATTAATCATGCATTTATAAGTTATTATTCAATATTACGACTACATTTGATGGTAGATAAAATAATGAAAATTTAATGTATAGATATTATCTATCAATGTGTTCGAATTTTTAAATACTCTCATTAAATATGAAAAATCAATGAATAATCAAGAATGAAGCAATTACTTGATCTAAGGTAGTTTGAGTAAGGTCATGACAATGATATCAACAACAAAAATTCTACTGTATTTTTTAATTTGTCATATTTTTATACCAGCAATGTCAATAGAATTGCAAAAAACACACAACTATAATACGATGATAAATACCGTAGTAAGTACAATTTTACATTCATGTAAAAATGCTATTCCAATAATAATAACTCTATGTATTTTTACAGGTTAAAATAATAAAATCCTGTCATATCAATGAGGAAAGTTCTATTCTTGTAGCAGGAGAGTTTAACGCCAATGAAATAGAAAAATTGACATCCAGTCATCAATCAGTGATAATACTAGATCATTTTAATATATCGGATTATAAAAATGTTGAAAATACAGTCCAGGCTCTAGTTATATCACCGAACTCAAACAATGATCTCCATGGACTTCTCCAACAAGTCAAAAATTCGTCAATGTGGAACAATCTTCGATATAATATTATTTTGAGTAGGATTGTCTCAAGTAGGAGTTGTGATAAAGCACTGAAATATTTATTTACTTCCTGGAAAGGAGATTTACTGAATTCAATCTTTCTGTGTGCCTTGGCTGAAAACAGCATCAAAGTTTATACTTACAATCCATATACTGACCTCGCTCCGAAACCGTGGTCATTTGTCACAAAATTCAAAGACGATAATGACTACTGGTACTTTTACTCAACTGAATACTTATCAGGTAATTTACTTATTTATGTAAATTATTTCCATTTTAATAGAAACCTCATTACATGGTCAACGACTTTTTTAGCTTCAATGACATGTGATACGTTATTTTTTGATAAAACTTATCATCTCAATGGATATTCAGGAATTAAAGCCATAACCTATATACCTAAAAAGCGACAAACTACTGATTTTTATTACAATTATCACAGCAATGTTAAAAAACGATTCGATTCAAATATTGCTGAAATCCTGAGTAAAAAACTCAATATTACTCTTGTTCCTAACATCAGTCATGAGTACGGTACGTTTGATGAAGATGGTAATCCTATCGGCTTAGATAAACGTCTTACTCACGACCATTATGATCTGTTATTTGATCATCGTTTTCTTGTGTATACAAAAGGTCTAGTACAATCAACTTTTACACTTGGAGAAAGTGGAATTTCATTTGTGACCCAACACAGAAGTGATGTGTCTATTTTTTTACAAATCGTATCTTATTTTAGACCTGTTGTTATCATTTTTACTTTCATCGTCATTGGCTTGATGGTATCTGTGCTTAAGTTATCTATTAAAGAAAGCTTTGATTCCGGTATCTTAGAAGTGTTGAGATTATTTTTAAATGGTCCTTTATTAAAAGTTCCTACAAATATTTCACCAAGAATCTTTCTATTTACAATTTTAATATTTGTTTTCATAATGCGAAGTATTTTTCAAAGTAAAATATTATCATTTATTATGGTACCACGGCCTGATAATTTAAATACATTTGCTGATTTAAAAAAGCATCAAGAGTATAAAATTTATTGTAAACGAGGATTTGAATATCTTTTGCCACCAAGTTTACAATCACGTGTTATCGTACGAAACACTTTTTTTAAGATGTTTAATGACAGTCAAGCTATATTCATTTGGGAAGATTTGATTAATATTGGAATAGCGAGTAAACATCATTTACATCACTCAACAGAAAGTATATCAAAGCATCATATTATTCAAAGAACCAGAAGAAGTTGGCCACTTATCAATAGAGTCAATGAAATATACATGTATTTACTTGAATCTGGAATTAGTGATTTTCAAAGAAAATTATCCGAATTTTTTATTACTCATAATCAGGCTGATAGTCATTATTATGATGATAATGATCACAGAGTTTTAAATTTAATTGATTTAAAATTTGCATTCCAAATATTAATTTTTGGTCTACTTAGTTCTCTAGTTTGTTTTGTGATTGAAACAAGATTTTGGAGGCATTTATTTACATTCAAAAACAAACTATAAAAGATTCAAATATTTCTAATTGAATATTTAATTTACTACATGAAAATTATGTGTTGGAATTCGATTTTAACGCTGTCATCCAATTGTTCTATGCGTGTTTATAACTTATGCACACATGTAATTGACAATTGATTCATTGAAAATAAAAACTCCATGTTATTATCACTGAATTGGATTAATTATAGTTCGATAAGAAAAAATTGTTTTGTCATTGTTATTTTTTTTTTCAATGTACCTTTCCAATATTTTGATTTTTATACATGACTCTGTTAAATCATTACCAGTCAATAATTAAACTTCAGTGCAACAGAATATCTTACGTGAAAGAACTATGATGATCTTAAATACAAAAAATAATGTATTTTTATTAATAATTTTTAATAATTTTATATCAATAATGGCAAACATAATTAACATTAAGGATCCAGAAAATAATATATTGGAGGCAATGGTAAAAAACATTTATTCAAAATTTTTCTTTATTGTTAATATAATTGTTTTAATGTAATTATTTTGTAGGCAGACATTATAAGATCATGCCAAATAAATGATCACAGTTCTGTACTTATTGCTGGAAATTTTGATCATAATGACATAAAACTACTATCTGATATTAAACCTAAAATAATAAGAAGTAATTTGGAATTACCAAAGTGGTTGGTTGAAAATACAATTGAATCACTGATCATATCCACTGATTCAGCTGACAATCTTACGCAATTTCTCTTGCAAATGACTCACTCAGTAATTTGGGATCGTCTCAAATATAGCATTTTTCTGAATAAATCTACCCTGGATAATAATTGTAGTGAATATTTGTCTTATTTATATATTGCTTTGCAACATGATATGATAAACACCATTTTTTTGTGTACCACATCTTCAAAGCAAATAATGCTGTACACCTATAATCCGTATGTAAATTGGGCTCCAGCACCTTGGAAGATTAATAAACATCAATGGAACCATACACAGTTTGGGTATATTTACACAGCACAATATAAACCAAGTAAGTATCAAATTATAAATAATATTGTAAAATTCATTCACTAAATGCTAATTATAATATAATAGGTCAAGATATAATCACATGTGGAGATTTATTTTTCGATAAAACTCATCGACTTGATGGATATAGTGGAGTACGAGCAGTAACTTACGTACCTTCAAAGTTCTCATTTCGGAAAATGTTTTACAATTATGAGCTAAGTCCTAAAAAAGTATTCGACTATGAGATAACTAAATGTTTATTTATGTATTTGGGCATACCATTATCATACACCGTCAGTCATGTTTATGGTACATTTGATGAGGAAGGTAATTCTTGTGGAGTAGATAAATATGTAGCTGACAAAGAATTCGATATTTTAATCGACTCTCGTTTTCTATCTTATACAAATGACACTGTACAGTCATCATTAACACTTGGAGAAACTGGAGTAACGTTTATCAGCCATTATAGACCGAATGTATCTACTATTATGCGAATTATAAATTATTTCAAACCAATTATTATGTTTTTCAGTATAATTGTTTTAGGAATTACAATAGTAATTTTAAAAATATCGATGAATGGAAGTTTTAGTACAGCTGTCATGGAAGTATTGAGAATATTTTTTAATGGTCCACTTTTAAGAGTACCAAATAGAATGTCACCAAGAATTTATCTCTTCACAATTTTAATATTTATACTAGTAATGCAAAGTATTCTTCGAAGTAAAATATTGTCATTTATTATGGCACCAGAATCCAATAATTTAGAAACTTTTGAAGATCTTGCAAATCATAAGGAGTATACAGTTTATTGCAAAAAAGGATTTGATTATTTATTACCTCTTGAAATTAAAAAACGTTGTCAACAAAAGACATTGTTTGCGACTTTCGCTAATGAAACTAAAGGAGTACTTGTCTGGGATGAATTTTCGAATATTGGTATGACATATCAATACAAAATGCATCAGTCTAAAGAAATTATAGCGAAACATCACATTATATTTAGAATGAGAAGAAACTGGCCACTAGCAAAAAAAGCCAATAAAATATTTGGAAGAATTTTTGAAAGCGGAATGAATCGTTATTTTTTTGAATACGCAAATCGTTATGTTGAACTGAAAAATCCTGATCTTATTCCAGATGAAATAAATGATAGTAGAACTTTGAACTTACAAGATTTAGATTTTGCTTTTCAAACGTTAGTGTTTGGATTAATACTCGCATGTATTATGTTTTTCATTGAGATCAAATGCTGGGACTATATTCATCAATATTTTCATCAAATCTTACGTATACTAAAATGTAAAACGAACTATTGTTAGCCCAAGAAATGTTAAGAATAATTATGTCTAAGTACAAATTTTATTTTTTGTTTCTAAATAAATCTGTTCGTTTTAACTTTATATCTTTTACAATTTATTTTATTTAAAAAATTAATTATGTATTATTAGGTACAAATATTTCGTTCATGTAATTGAGATGGCAAATTTTGTAACGTTTGTTACATAATTTAATAAATTCAATTTTCTCTTTCTACAACTACTCATCTTCTTCTTCCATGGGTTCTGTAACGAGATTTTGAATAGGTATACCTTGGTCATCATTCTCAGACTTTTGTTCCTCATTGTCAGGAATTTCCTCAGCAGTATCCTTATTATCTTCAGTTTTTTCTTCATCTTCATCATCTGAGCCAGCTGCATTTGCATCACCAGGGCGTATGGGTATGTGGTATTCAGGATTAGTTGACTCATAAGTTCTGTCAGGTTTAACCCATTCATTTTGTAACTCCTAGAACATTTAAATATAAAATTATTAATATTATTAAAAATATGATGTATATTTTAAGTAGTGAATTAAATCATGTTCTTTACCTTCATACTCTTCACTTTGTTCGTATAAAAGTCATAAACAAAATTGGCAGCATGTGGCATATCTTCAATCTCAATAACAGGGAGTGTAGGTTTTTCATCTTTAAGTCGCTGTGTTGGATAAGATTCTTCAGGTATAAGTTGAAGTTTTAAAGGCCGTTGCATTAGTTGGTCAAAGGCAGGAGTAAGTTCGAAACAATTCTTAAATAGAGAAACTCGAGCAAAGACATACAGTCCCAGACGTGCACGAGACATAGCAACAACCAAACGACGCGCGTCTCTCAAGTGACCAACTGCACGTGTTTTAACCAGCGAAAGTAAAATATAATCATTTTGTTGACCTTGATATTTATCAACTGTTGTAACCTTACTAGGACGTCCAATCAAAGGGTTGTTGGCGCATCTGATATTGATGACATCCCTAATAAGATGCTTTTGACCATTGTACGTCGTTAAAATACTGATTTTGTCAGCTGGATAGCCAAGTAATCGCATATACATAAATACTGCCACACAATATTCAGCTTCAGCAAGATTTTGATAAAAGTAAGCACTCGGTTCACTCTCTCCAACACCATTGAAATCTTCAACATTTATTAATTGGAAATCATAAAGGAAACCAGCATTAGCTACTAAATACTCGGGACTGCGTTCGACATGAGTTAAATTACCCAATTTTTTATATCTCCAATTATAAAGATTACAGATACTTGGTCTAGCACGACCTTGACCATCTAAATCAACAGTTGGTACGCCAAGTCTGACAAATCGGGCGAAAAGAGATTGTTCCATATTAGAATATTTTTGGAAAGCCATGTTTTTAATTACAGGCGGCAGTTGATGATGATCTCCAATCATAATCCATCGCTTTAATCGATTGTAACCATCCTCAGGATTTTGTAATAATAAAGGAATAAAAGTTTCAATTTCTAGAATTTGTGCAGATTCTTCCATTAATATGTTATCATATTTGAAACCCATATCAACGAGTTCACGTCGTTTTAAGGCGGCGTGTGTACAAGTCATGGCAATGACTTTAGCTTCTTTAACAAGAAGATATTTCGACCTATCTAGACCAGATCTCAATAATTCAAATGCTCTAAATTCTTCTAATTGTGCGAAAATTCTTTCAATGTATCTAAAACAACTTTGAGCTATTTCTAAATCTTCTTCATAGGAATTATGTTTGAAGAGTGGTTGAGGTGCATTATCAAAGAATTTATGAAATGGAAACTCTTCATCGACAATGTTTACTGGAATATCAGTTACTCCAGAAGATCGTTGTTTCAATCTTGATTCGAAACGTTCCCAACGGGTAATTACTTGATCCATAAAAAAGTGGCCTGCAGTTTCACACGTATATGCAACATCACCTTTAACATTTAGTGATTCTTGAAGTCTTTGAACGTCCATTAAAAGATCTAAACGTTTCGCTAAAACATAATTAACTCTTCCGTAACGACTGAAATCCTTTTCAGTCTCGAGAGCTTCTTCACCATGACCAAGACGAAGTAAATGTCTTTCGTCAATATCTAATGCCATAATTTTTTCAAACAGTTGATTAAGAGCTTGATTGGAATGTGTAACAATCAATGTTCTCTGATTAGGGAAATTATGATACAAATTAGAAATAATTTGTACAGCAACATCCGTTTTACCAGTACCAGGAGGTCCAACAACTAATGTCAAGCCAGGCTGCATTCCTGCTCGAATAGCTTCTATTTGTGTAGGTGTGAAAGGTATTTGATTCTTCTTTGGTTGATTAGCCTTATAAGGACCTCGACTTGGAAGAATGTGAGGCTCGATAGTAATAATTTTTCGTACGGGTTCAATACCTTCTTGTTTATCAATTACATCCTGGAAAGTCAATCTGAAAGGTCTTACTAATTTACTTTCATCATCAACTGGAGATTTAAATTCAAATGTATAACCAGGAAAACTGGCTTTCAAATGATTAATATCTAAAAACGTATCATTAAAGTCTATAGTTGGAATTTCGTCAGGCATTCGAGAGTAATGAGCCGCTCCAGGATCCCCATATCCAAGAATGATATCGTGAAGCCAATCAGGAACAACACATTCGGTGTTCATTAATTCTCTAATAGTTTCAAGAACAGCTTTGAAATTATTTTCTTTAGGTTTTCGACGCATTATAATATTAAAACCTTCATAGACATCTTCACTTCCATGGCTTGCATTGTCCATATCAATTCGGTATTGATTAGGATCCAACCAAACTCGATAAGTTCGAGAATCCCCTGGTAAAATAGGACGTGGTTCAGGGCCATCTTCTATTACACGTCCATTAGAGTCAAGCATACCTTCGACTTCACAACCTCGTACAACTGTTAAACCAACTTGAGGTACAAAAGGTAATTTATGAGTGTATTTTGTGCCTATAGGATTTGGTGGATTAACCGTTATAAGGAAACAAACGTCATGTTTTCTCAAATTTTCCCATTCAGATTTTATTTCTTTTCGTACGCTTAAATTTATTGTGACATCGGCTCGTACTCTTGATGGCTGTTTTTCACCAATGTTTGGTTTTGCAACTTCAACTACGGCAAATTGTGTTATAGGTTGAGCCATTCGAGCCCATCCACCAAAATAAACTCCACCATCTTCGGCTTTCCAAGGACTCAATCGACTCACTGAATCTTCGATATCTTGACGAATTTCATAAGTTGATTCTAATCTAAATAGATTAAAATTTCTTAGTAGATAATCATGGAGAGTAAGAAATTGAAGATTTAATTTTGGTAAGGCTAGACATCCTTCACCGGAAAAATATTCAGTTGGTACGATACTTTCATTCCAAATGACTTCTTCCGTAGGATAGAGAGGCATTTCATTTAATTCTTCCAATTGTGATGCTCGTCGTTCGTGTCGAGAAATCAATAACTCTTGTAAAAAATCCATATCTAATCGATACCAATTTTCATCATTTGCTCGTTCATCTGGAGGCACAAGATTTAAATAACAAGCAACTGCTTTTAATTTTTCTTGACTTAAAGATCCAAAGTGCTTTTGCAAAGCTTCTCTTGTGTCAACACTAGCAACATTTGCCAGAGCAAAATTTCGTAGATCGGGAAACTTAGCAAACACTGCTTTCTATAAAAAAGAAACGTTTAAAAATGAAATAAAAAAAATAATTTTAGAGATGATTAACCACAACCACTAGACATGCATAATGATTCGTATGTAATTTCAATGATTCTTTATTTCATGAATATTATAATGAGACGTTTAAGTTCTTTATAAATGACAGAAGAATTTAATAATGTATGACTAACTTAATCAATGATGAACTAAATATTACAACATGCATTTTTATTCGTAGTGAATTCATCATTCTGAACAAAGGGAATTTTCTCAACTATGAACAATGTAATAATAGCCTGGTTATCCGAGGAATAGCCTTTTAAAGAATCAATATATTTTTTCAATGACAATAATTACATATTACGTGTCATTATTGATCATGTTATCATAGACTTAATAAAATTTAATTGAAAAAAAACATTAGATAATTTAATAAGAATTAATAAGTATTTCTATTCGCATAAATTTTGTTTATTGAATAACAACACTCCTTGATTAAATAATTGGAGTATATTAAATTTTTCATACGTACTTGAAGGGAAGTTATTTTTTCATAATGAAACTGTGTCATATCATGATCTGTCAAAGTATCTCCGGTTGTATCACTGATCTCGAATCTAGCATAAAATTTGAGCATTTCCAGGAGCTGTAAAAAAATTAACATCATCATCATTTTGGAGTACGATAAATTTAAATTAAAATAATTCCTTTCTAAATATATGAATGGGATATTTTTTTGGTATGGTCGCTATATTATCAACAGGCAGAAGCCTCAAGGTCATCTTTGGCTATGTAAATAAATCCCAGGTGGAGCTAAAGAAGCATTCCAGGTGGTAGGTTTCCATTATGTACAGCAACATACCGTGTAAAACTCGAATGTATCATCATGAAGTGGAGAGAGGTCGAAGGCTAAAAAGAACGCGTAGAGGGGCAAGTAAAATGCGTTTAGTTGTACCGGTGTAGTATCAATGTTGATGGCATATAATGTACAGTATATATCCAAATACCGCGTTGTTCACTTTCCTACACTTGTATCATGAAGAACAGTGATGAATCCATCACTCTAGTTTTACAAAATCTCCAAATTTGGGAGACAAGGACAATAAATTTACCAAGGGTAATGTGAACAAAGAAAAAAACGTGAAGGAAATCTGCTTGGTTCAAGGAAACTTTCAATGGACAAGTGATCAATCGATCGACTGCACATTTCTAACAAGACAACAACCGTAAAACCTGAAAAGTTTTATTATAAAACAAGATAATTGTTTAACAATATTTTGAATATTAAATTTTTATAATGAAGAAATGAATAATTTGTTTTTAAAAAACCCAATTTGAGGTGAGTATTTATTCATATGAATCATAAACATAATAATTAATAATTACTAGATGGATGAATATATGAATGGAGTGAGTAATAACAATACTTTCACAGAGAAAATGCATCTCCTGCTGACAATTTTGTTTCTCGGGTGGCCGAGCACTTTCGTGGAAGCAAGTACTGGAATAGAAACACAGCAGGATGTTCAGGAATCCGTAAAAATTGGCAAGTGTTGTGAGCTCAACGAGATTTTAGTTGATGACACGTGCACATTGTTGAGTGAAACTAACGAGACAAAGCCATGGCAACCGGAATTTATAGATGACAATTTTCCTGTTATTAGTCGAAAGCCCACGGTCAAGTATCAAATGAGGATCGGTTTACCAACTTGTCGTAGTAATGAACATCAGTGGCCAGTTTATTATGAACCGCATGGACAAGATCGACTAGCGATATTGACTTCAGGAAAATTACGTCATTTTGTTCATGATAGGTGGGGAGCCATCGATGGAGAGAGATTAATTTCTGAACATAATCCAGCAGATGATCATGATGATAGTATTACAGTAGAACCCCTGCATTTTGATTATTCATTTGGACATTATTGTGCTGATAAAGCAATCTTCAGCAAAAATAATTTTGTCACGACTTATGCTATGATATGTGTTCCTAAAATAGCTTGGACTGATCCTGATTATCTGATTAAACATATCGTAGATCCTGTTACACGAGCATTGGCTATAGCATGTTATCTTTTTGTCGCGATTGTTTATTTTGTTCTACCACAACTTCGAGATCTCGTTGGAAATATGATTACGAGTATGTCATTATGTCTTGTAACCAATCAAATTGCTGTCACTGTCAGAATATTTACTCAATACGCAAGTCACATCAGCTTTCTTATTGCAGGTGAGTACGTGGTACAAAAAAATCGATTAACGTTCTTATAATTTCATAATTTAGAAACACCATTGTTCATCTTCAATGAAAAATTGAAAATTTTTTGTCATATTTATTTTGCCAGCGAAACGATAAAAAATATAAATTTACTCAAAATAATTACGACTCATTTCGTTCATTTATATCATTACAAAATAAGACTTTTGAAAATAATAATTATGTGTTAATTATTTTTCAGATACTGTGGCTTACATTTCTTTGTTGGCAGCATTTTTTTGGTTGAATGCTCTCGGCTACTTTGTCTGGAATACCTTTCGATCACGCAACGTATTTTTGCGAGTTTCGGATGGTCGAAAATACTGTTATTACTCAACTTACGTTTGGGGATCTACAACAACAATTTCAGGGACTGCAATTTTCGCTCATTTTGCATTGGAGACAAGCAAAACAGTTATTGAAAGCAATGGTATTTCCAATCCTCAAGAGACTATTGGTACACTTGGCATGTCGGTGATATTTACCTCAATTGCATTTACAATTATTGTTGATTTTTGTTTCATTTTAACGACAGCAAGTACTATAAAACAAATGCGCACTTATGGAAGAATACATCATAAAATGAAGTACAGTTTCCGGATGTTTACATTGCTATTTGCTTTTTTAAGCTTCGGATGGTTAACTTTGATGATCTCACAATTGAAATATGATCATCTAATATATTTTCATATTGTTGTTAATCTTTTACAAGCATTTCTTGTGTTGTATGTGTGTGTTTTTGGACAAAAACGAGTAACTTTCCTCTTACGTAAAACGTGTAACTGTTGTGACAGTGAACACAATACTGCCGATGGTCTCGATTGGGGTGAAGAAATGACAGCAATTAATGCAGGATATTAATTAAACATGTCAACTCCAAGTGCAATTGTGAATTTTAAACCTTTAAGTGCCATTGAATATTCACGAAAAATTATTTTTTCTATATATATATATAATTTACACGTTTATTTATACATTTTTAAGCACTAATTTAATTCCCTATTTAATTATAGTATTTTTATCTTTTAAAACAAATACTGTTTTTTGAAGATGTATAAATTTAATTTAATTTTAATATCAGAACAAATTGAATAGTCTTAAAGCGTGCCTTGACAACGAAAAAATACTCCAATCAAATATTTATGCATAATATACTTATAAAAATTTTTACAATAAGTAAAAAATTCAATGTTTATATTATCTTATTCAGTAATGTTTCTTATCCACGTTCTTATATTTATAAAATATATATTTTAGTATTATAGATAGCACAACTTGCATTTTTGTATGAGAGCAATAAATTTTGAATGATAAAGTATTTTAAACAATGTAAAAAAAAAAGTAACTTACCTGTCCAAATAAGTTGCCTTCTGGTCGTTTAAGTAAATTAGACAAAGAACATCTCACAACTAGATGACAATCATCCATTACTGTATTGAAGAAACGTCGAGTTGGTAAAAGAGCTTCTAAATCAATCATTAGCTCAAGGAACCTTTCACAATAATGCACTTTATCTGAATTTAAAGGTCCTTCTAATGGAATTGATTCCAACACATTCATAAATTTAATCATCAATCTATGAAGAAACTTCCTTTCCCAATCAAGTTTTTCTTTCAGCTCTGGTTTATCTCGTTTTCTTATAAAGTTCCACTGTTTTCTCCATTTTCCATACTTCTTGAACTCCAATTCTCTTCTACCATGTTGAAGAGAAACCCACATCGATAATGTAACTAATCTTTTTATTTCATTTCTTACTAAAGCCACTTCCATTGAATTAAAACAATGATTCAAAAAAACAATTAATGCCGTTTGTTCTTTCAAATCAAAATCTAATATACTTTTTTCTAAACATGCTTCTAAAACTCGTTGAATAAATCCTGGAAAATGAGTAGGATTCTTTTCAAATGCCTCCCAAACTTGGACTCTTTCTCTGAATTTTTCATTCACCATTACAACAATAGATAAAGTATGTGCTCTTGTAGCTTGTTCAGCATCATAATTAGGCCATAGAAAATTCTCTAAAAATTGACTGAATTCCAACATCATTATTCTTCTGATTGAAAATTTTGATGCACATATTTCTTCGACATATATGTCTTCTACGATTTGTGGATTAAACTCTAAATGAGTAGACGATGTATGAGCCCAATATTTATTAGCAAGCTGAAAAAAAATATTTTATAAATTTATTACGTTAAAAATATTTAAGCTAAATAACAATAAAAGTAAATTTTTACCTGTGTAATTCGATCAGCATTTATTTGCTCTACTGTTGGTGCTGGATTGTTAGATTTTATCGGAGGCAAAGAATTATTTTCCATTTTTGATAAATTTTATTTGTTATAACCTATTATATCATCACGATAAAAAAGTATTTCACTGAAAAATTCCCTTCGTTTAGGAATTATTTTTACTTAATACTATCAGTAAAATTTTCACACATTTTTTGACAATATCTTTTACCCGAATTTATATTATTATTTTCAATATAAGTTTTTCCGGCAAAATACCGCTCACATACAACAAGTGAAAAGAACGACTGCAAACGAAAATTGAAATTTGAGGTTAGAATAATAAAATTTATTTGAATTGTTGATCGGAGAGACCTCTACAAAATTAAACTATCGAGATATTGCAATGCAATGCACTTCGATGGGTCGATAAATAAATTTGTGAAAAAAAGAAAGATTGTGAACGTGTGAGTGTGCTAGTCATAATTAATAGAAAAAAACCACGGAAATATAATGGAATGGATGTTGGGATTTAAAAAATTTGAATTCCAAACAATTTTTTAAATCTTTTATTTATTTTTTAGTTTTTATTTTGTAAGTAAAACATTTATTTTTATATAAAAAATAATTGGCATTTCGTAATAGTAATATTGATTTTGGAGTACAAAGAAATGAGTGAAATAATAGCTGCTAAGCGAGCCAAGGTAGACGATAATGAATTACCATTGGATCTCAGTTTGAAATCTCAATCAGCAGCTTCAATAAAAATAAATCATGACAATAAATCCAGCGTTGTGAATAATCATCAGCACCTTGAAGATGATGTAGATGATGATACTAACCTTATTGAACTATCTTTTGCTTTGGCAGATATTCCAAGCAAATTATTAGCCCTGGAATATGAATTGACCAAAAGGATAGAACATATTACATTCGGTCCACCGGTGGAATATATTTATAGTCCCATTGAATATGCATTATCAGTCCATTCTAATTTTCTTCAAAAATATTGCCGCACAACAAAGAAGATTTTATTTCTTGCTATGAATCCTGGACCTTGGGGCATGTCGCAAACAGGAATTCCATTCGGTGAAATAAATGCAGTCGTAAATTGGCTGAAAGTTTCAGGCTTTATTGAAAAACCATCAAGAGAACAACCTGATAAAAAAATAACAGGATTTGCATGTACTCGTAGCGAAATAAGTGGTCGAAGATTTTGGAATTTATTTAAAGACATGTGCGGTAATCCTGAAAATTTCTTCCAATACTCATTTCTTCGTAATTATTGCCCTGTGGCTTTGATGGATGCTGGAGGTCGTAATATAACTCCTGCAGAGCTAAAGGCAACATTTTTATACCTTAAAAAATTCATTGTAACGTTTTATTCAATATATGTTTTTTTCAGGGCCCAGAGCAAAAAGAATTACGTGATGTCTGTGATTTAGCTTTATTAGCAATTATAAAGCTTCTAAAAGTCGAGAAAATTGTTGGAATAGGAAGATTTGCGGAGCAGAGAGCAAAAAATGTCATTAAAGTAGCTGGATTGACAACAAAAGTAAGTTTTTTATTTTATATGATTGACGTTTTTTAAAGAAAGATTATTTGCAGATTTTTTGGATGCCTCATCCTAGTCCTCGATCAACTGGCAACGAAAATTGGAGTGAGAAAGCGATAAAAACTTTACATGAATTAAATTTATTGCAATTTTTCACTAATAATAATAAATCAAATGATCAAGGACGAGTTTCATGAAGAAATAAATTGTACAGAAGATACGATGGATAATGAAACTATACTAAAATGGATGGAGATAGCTTTGAGCAAAGCTCTAGATTCTCTGCGTGCTGGAGAAGTTCCTGTAGGCTGTCTTTTTATTTATCAAAATGAAATAATAGCTACAGGAAACAATACAGTCAATGAAACACGTAATGCTACTCGTCATGCAGAGATTAATTGCATTGATGATGTTCTAGAGTTTTGTAAAAGACGTAACTTAAATTATCAAGAAGTTTTTAAGAATTTGGACGTTGTTGTAACAGTAGAACCTTGCATTATGTGTGCAGCAGCTCTTCATCAGTTAAAAGTAAGAAGTATTGTCTATGGATGTTCAAATGATCGGTTTGGAGGCTGTGGAAGTGTTCTTGACATAGCTCCGATTTACGAATCTACTGTGAATGTAGTAGGGGGAATTAAGAGTGATGAGACAATGCAGTTACTCAAGGAATTTTATAAAGGGACAAATCCTAATGTTCCTGAAGAAAAGAAGAAAAAAGGACGGAAAAATAAGGGTAATACGAAAGAAGACATTAACAATCAATAGAATTTATTTATAAAAAGATCAATTTCATAAGTATGATCGCATATTTCTTTACTTGATTCGAATCAACTACATTACAATTACTTAATCTTGCATTTATCTTGGTACCACCTGACCAATAGTTGATTCTCCAGTAAATAATTTTTTTGCGTCATATTTAAAATCTAGAACAACGAATAAATAATTTTGAATAACGAATTACTCATAGCATCTATAAATTATGAATCTCAATAGTTGAAAAACAAATAAATATAAGTATAAATCTCACAATAGTTAATAAAAAAAAAATACCGTTTATAATGGTGGAGGCAAACTATACACTAAATAGAATTATAATAAAATAATGAAATATTTAGTTTCCTGAGCGTTTCAGAATTAAAATTAAACAAATGGGAAGTTAATAATTCTGATAGGTAAAATAGCAAATATATATCATTTCAATAAAAAAATATTTGGGCCTTCTAAGTACTGGATCAATACGTTGACCAACTTCTATCTGAACAAATAAAAGGTTGAATATCACTTATTCATATAATCGACTTAAATGTGAAGATAAACTAGATGGCATTTACTTCCATTATGAATCGTTTGATTCTTATCAATACGAGCTTGATTCGTACTAATTAAAAAAAAATCTTACGCAGTTAAAAGATTTGACATTATCAACTATTTGTTACTTGTTTTTAAAAAGTTTTATGACATTGTTAATTTTAAAAAAATGTCAGTCTTCTTTACAGAGACAAATTTTTTCAAAATCAATTTAAGTGATGGTCGTATAAATATTAAGATAAAATTTATAATTGTCCATCAAGTACAGTTTTTCAATGTATTCTTAAATGAAATACTGTATTTTAAAAAAATTCGTAATAACGTCCTCTATATTTATTCATCAATATAAATGACTTTAATATCTGATCAATTTTAATCGTGATACTCTTTGGATCTGACATTGTGATTAATTTTGTAATGTTTTTAAACAATGGTCAAACTATTTATTGAAGTCTTGAATAGGCACTAATGAAGATATATGGAAAATTCCAATTCAATTTTTTATTTTTCTTATAACAGCCTAATCTTTTATAATTAAACAATAACGTGATTTAAATGAGTATTTTCTTTGACTCTAAAGTAAATTCAGTAGATTGATTTATACTCATGTAAAGCCTGTAATATTCGCTACTCTGTGAATTGATTGTGATAATAGATAAATAGTGATAAAACTCCATAAAGTATTATTGGTATTAAGCGATATTTAAAAAATACTTCAGACTGTCTCGATTTTTGCATTTGCAATTAATACTTGAAGGTTTTTAGAATTATTTCGAACCTGAAAGAAGAAAGTTATTACATGCATAATATATGAATTTACCTTATAAATTATCATTTTGACTTGCAAATATAATGAGGTATGAATACTCACAATTACTTTCAATATTTTATAGAAAATTTTCAAGTATAATTTAAAATTTTTATGTTTCTCCTTTTGAATAATATAATTTTAAAGGTAAAACATCTATTGAGCTTGAACGTTCGAAGCGATAATACTGGAAAACCGGCAAGATTACCTGGAAGAACCGTTACTCGTTGATGTTTCATTGCATCCCTTCTCTCATACTATTTGTTGAGCGTAAAATATGATTAAACCGGTTTATTTTTTCGCTAGCTTTTGAATAGAACATTGAAAGCCCTGACTATTTTATTTAGATATTATTCATAACATAAGTTACAATAGATTATTTATAAAATAATTTATTTAGAATAATTTTATGATATTTTTTAATAACTTATAAAGATTGTCTTTACATATCTATTTAAATAATTTATAATAAAAATATACAAGAATAAATACAAAGATATATGCAGACAATTATGGATTTACTTCAAGAATAAACTCAACTTTCCTAAGTTCAATATATAAAATTATAAACATTTAAAAAAGTGCGCCATGATTTTAGTGCCATCTATAATTTATTTCATTGATGTATAGCGACACCTATATCAAAGAATACAGACCCTGTATTCTTTGCCTATATCTATCGTTTACGTCGTTAAGTCTTTTTCGTTGAAAACGAGTGCGGAATCAACATGGGTTTCCAAAATATTTGGTATTCACATCCTCGCAAATACGGCCAAGGCTCTAGATCATGGTATGTTGATTTATTAAAATTATTTTCTTATAAAAATCATTAATTATTCATCGATGCGTCTTGTAAAAAATGAGTAGAAAGTGATTGAAACTCATGCCGTCAAAGCCGCGTGCGTCATCTTAAATATTTTTTCTATTCTATTTAATTGTGATAATTATATTCTTAATTTATATCAAATTGTAGAACTTGTTATTTCATAATAAAAAATAACTCAAGAACATGATTTAAATATTGAAATATCATCAAATAATGATTTGTCAATCCTAACCTAACTTTCTAAATGACCATTTTTGCAGTCGAGCTTGCGCCAATAAACATGGACTTATTCGTAAATACGGTTTGAACATCTGCCGACAATGTTTCAGAGAATATGCAGCTGATATTGGATTTAAAAAGGTAATTACAACGAATTATTAGTTCTTTAATAACCAAATTATTTAACCGTCGTGCCGTTGATCGATACATGACCCATAAACATGATTGGTTTTCTAAATCATATTTACAAATAATGATATGCATTTATCTGAAAGAATATTTTTCTTCTTTTTTTCAGTTGGACTAGTTTTCATTTTAAAAAACAGCTGCACTGGTTTGTGCTATAAACAGATTGTTTACAATCTGTGAAACAATGAATATTTATTTAATTATCGTCAAATTATGTAAAATAATTTTACATAGAATGTCTTAATCTGTATATGGCAAGAAATCAGTAAATCGGCGAAAAAAAGTACTTTCTTTATTTTTATTTCAATACACCAGAAAAATAATCAAAATAAATAATCCAATAAGCATAATTGCATTAGGTTTTTCCTAAATATGTAATTTTACAGATGGCAGCACTTGCTGTATTTCATCTTTCTTTTGTTCCTTCCTGAACCTCAATTTTCACTCTACTAATAGCACATTACTAGGTTTGCTTGAATATGATGTTGAGAAATGATAATTTGAAACTTCCTCATTCACTTGGTGGCAACGCTAAGTCGTTAGTCAAATCCTATCTAATTTTAAGATTATTCAATTTACAACATTATATTTTTCCTGAATTATACGAGCTATCGACCGATGTGTTAAATATCTATGTACTTATCTACGACTGACTGTAACCGCGAAAGTCGTTTTAGCGTAATTCGAGGTCAGGAGAGTGGGATATTCATTAGATTAGGTAAAAGAGATAGAATGCATGCAACAAACTTTCATCATCGACTATTTCAAAGTTTTTTAATTAAAAAATTTTTTTTGTTAAAATATAAAATTGTATTCAATGACAAAGAAAAGAATAAAAGTACTTAATAAAAATATATCATAATGTTGTATAGATATTTCAATAAAATTGATATAAATTGAATGAGTTTTATCCTCTAATTGAACCAAAAATTCATAACTCCTCATTCATCATGTCAGAGTGATTACAAACGTGGTAGCTATTATTTTAACGTGCACTTGTGTATATCAAAGTAAGCTACACACTAATACCCTTGCAGGCCGTGCCAAAAAAGTAACGTGTAGGTAAAGAGTGAGAGAGAAAGAATAAAAGAGAGGAGCTCGTAAACATGTATTGTGGAATAAACGTCATTGGGAAGAGAGACAGAGTGAGTAGATTAGAGAGATAGAGAGGGGAATGACGACAACTATATAGATTGCTAGCCGAATTGTACAGGCTTTTCTGTGTCCCTAAGTTTTAGACTTCTGCGTTCTAATTTTCGAATGCTTCTCGTATATATCTTTTTGGTGTACAAAGCTTTATACATGTGTAGAAACGTTGGTATTTTTCTTTTTTCAACGGTTCTATTTTCTCTATCGTTGTTCTGTTCCTTTATAAATGCACAATAGAGCAATCTGAAAGAAATGAAGCAGACTTTGTGAGATTTATACGATGTTGGGACTTATTCCAGTATTTGTAATAACCTGGATGAATTTTGGAATATCAGGATCCTATACCGATTCTTCTAGGACCTTCGAAGAGGAGAAAAGCCTATAAACAGAGTTTGCGCATGGCCGAGGTAGAGAGGCTTTAGTTTCAAGTCCATGTGACGGTGTGCAGGCGAATGTACAGCAGAATAGATGAATATTAACTCTACTCTTTTCTCTGTCTCTCCCACGTTGCTTGTGTACTCTTGGTGTGCGACACGTATTTATAGCCGCTTGTGGGCAGGCAGGTTGTTACTTCACTGTTTCCCTCTTCAGTTCCCCTGAACTTTGGGTCCTCATGTAATGCAGCTCTACTGAATTGCGAAGCTGCAAAATTGATGAAAATGTCGGATGAATATTTTAATTGACGTTAAAAAGTTTGATGACATTACCATAGTTACATCCTGTCTTTTATTTATTTATCTTACATTATGTGTATCTACAAATAACATGATTTCGTAATTGTAATAGAGTAATCTAGACAATTATAGTCAAACTATATTCAACGTATCAAGTTTTAGATTATATTATTCATGTTCATGCATAAGGTTTCGTTACTTACGACTCATTACATTGAGTTCTTTACACATATATATCCTCTTCACCTAACTCTCATGTGCTGTTGTATTGTAGTAAGAACTTTGGAGCACGTGAGATCGATTCTACATAGGAACAAAGGTCTAGGTGTTTCAGGACTTTTCAAAGGCTAATGCTCATATTCACCAACATATATGTATATTCTATTTTACTAAGCCAGAGTAAAATTTCTCGGCCTATTTTAAAAAAGAAGTTTCCATATGTATGCACTTGCTGTCATATTTGTTTGATACATCGATCATATTTTGTTTAATTTTCTAGAAACTGATACATATTGTTCGATTGCCAGTGCCATTGCACTATTGTTCTTGTGTATTTCTCATTTATTATCCAGTTTAAATATCGGAAGAAAAAAGAGTTCTATGGTGCAGCAGTACTGAGGCCTTGTGTACGGCACGTACCATCAAGTTGTATCGCAAAAGAAGGAGCGAGATCGTGAAAAGAAGGAGAGAGAAAAAAAGAGAAGCACACGACGGGGAAGAGAAAAACGACTTGCAACCCCACTCTATGTGGTAAATTTCCCCCTCTACTAATGTAGTGAAGCGCTGAGGCGCTGCTGCTATCGGACAGAATCACGGGCAACTTAAACATGGCGATTCAGTCGCTGTTTATGCCGCTGGCATACGGTTCGTAAGTAGCTCCCGCAAGAGCATCAGCTAATGATTCGTTTTTCCTGACGGCAATGGACATTTCTGTTACTCAAAATCAACGGACAATATTTAGTGCTACAAATATGGATACAATTGAGCCTCAAGGGCTTCAAGAAAATCGAGTTAACAACATCAATAACGTAAAGATTCCGAAGGGCGTAGAGGCAGACCCGACGCCTCCGGCAGCAATGGAGGAGACGACAGCTGCGCAATCTGCTGATGAAGAAATGGAGCTTAGCAGCAGGAGTGACAACTGTATAAAAGATGTAAGTATTTTTTTTTCTTCTTGTCTAATTTATTATCATTATTTGATGGCAATTTATTTAATCGATTTATCGAGAATTTGCACAAATGATTCGAATTTATTTTAATGCTATCATATTAGATAAATGATTTTTTAAAAATTAATTTTTATAGAGAATAATCGAATAATCAGGAGTACCAATTATTTCTATGAGATAGTTTGTTATCGACTGTAGTCTAAAGAGAAGTCTACCTTAGTAATAAGGTTATTTCTTTGTTATCAGTGTTGAGTAATCACAACAAGATTTTTAATTGATTTATTTTAATTTTCAGCGGGAAACATTTTTAGTAATGAATTCACGGAAATTTGAAAGTGGAAGTGGAAGTGGGGAGGCTTGTCATGCAGAAGATGGTGCAGATATTTTGGCGAAAAAAAGGAAAACTAGACGAGGAAAACCAAAGCACAGAAAATTAAAACCTTATTCAAAGCAACCGTCTTATCAACAAAGATTACGATGTCGTGCTAATGGTAGGCAGTTGAAGAAAAGCAATCAGCCAACAGCACCATACAATACGACACAATTTTTAATGGAAGACCACAGTGATTTGCCAGATTTAGAACAGAAACTTGCAGTTGTAGCAACTAGTGAAGTTCCAAAATTATTTCAAAAACCTTTAGCACCACCGCGAACACGTGATTCAAGCTTCAGTATCGATTCTGATGAAGACTACTTTTATTCTTCGCCGGAAGATGAAGAAGAATTCTTGACAAAAGAATTTTCAAGTGCTTATGAGGATCTTCATGCCGAAAGATTGAGTATGTTATCTAAATCTGAATTAATTCAAGAATACATACAGCTTGAAGCAAAACTTGATCTTTTAACAAAGCGATTACGGAGTAAAAATTTTCAGCAAACAGAAGAAAAAGAAGCAGATGGCAAAACCAACGGTACTACTTCATGCATGTCAGAAAGTGAAATGGCTAAAAAATTGAAAATTTGTCAACAAACAATAGATGATTTGATGCAACAAAATGATCAATTAACGAGAGATCTTGAAGCTCTCAGGGGAAAAGGACGTAAAAGTTCTGTATCTAGTGTGGACAGTGAGAGCGATAGCGACAGCGACAGCAGCAGTAGCTGTAGCTGTTCAGATGGCAACGGGTCTTCAAGTTACCAGTCAGCACGAAGAAGTATGGAACAAAGAATCGGCAGTCGAGTGACAGCATCCAGTACAGGCGATACCACAAGTAGTAAGGACAATTCTTCCTCAAGTCCAAGTGGGAATCCAGAAATGAATAACACCGATCTTGTTAACGGCAGCGTGAGCAATCAAGATGTAGCTGAACTTCCAACCTAGACACATTCGGTTTACTCATTTCTCCTTGAAATAAAATGTGATCCAGTTCCCTGATAGAATGACTGACGCGAACTTTTAATGAACTTGACATTTTGGTCCTTTTCATTCAAAGAATTTTTCAAAACTAAAAATTATAAATTTTTTTTTTTTTTTTTAGTTTTTTTATCCAAAGGATTCTTCGAAATTTTTAAATCGTTAAACTAATGCCATTCTTTCGTAATAATGATGAATCACGTATATAGTTTTATCGATATAATTGCACAAAAATAAGGCTACAGACCATCAACTAACGTGTGAGAACTATCACGATAAAAGAAGTAAAATATTTATGATTACTCACGTTTATCACTGAATAAATTATAAATGTAATTAAATGCAGTGCATTTAAAACATAAGAGTATTAATGCCAATATAAAACGGCTAAAAGACGTTTATATAAATAAAAATATTAAACGATCAAAGAGTTTTTTTTATTATTGTACAATTGTATAGAATTTAGATAATAAGCATTGAAAGTTAGTTTATGGTCTGATGTTTGCGCGAACTTCACCTGTCAATGAAGTTTTGATCTTTTTCATATAGTATTTAATATTCATCATTTCCATTGATAGTTCCTGAAATCTTTGATTTCTAAGAATCATTCGTTCTATTAATTTATGAAATCTTTTACAATTAACAAAGTATCTTATTTACATAATAATGAATTGGCAACTAAAACGCGCTGTGCGAGTTTATGGAGATAAATTAATTTCATGTTTTTTATTATTTAAATAGAGGCGACGTTTAATGACCCTCGAGCGTATTCACAACGCCAAAGAGAATTTATTTCTTCACTTTTTTTCATCAATAAATGAATTCGTGTATATGTATATAAATCAGGCCGATACCATTGTGATATACGACGTAATGTGATACAGTACTGTAATTCCAATTTAATATTCGGTAAACAGAATCCATAATCGCGTATGGGAGCGTTTGATTTTTCTTTTGAGAACAATAATAAAGAATATATATATATATGAAATATAGATATATATCGAGAGTAGGCTAATGTAATTATATATATATATGATAACAAGAAAACTCCCATTATCTTCCTTGATTCATGATATGTTGTACAATTGTTATTGCTTGAAATCTTTATTTCATCTTTATCGTTTTCATTTAAATATAATTTTAAATTACATACCAATTTTACAATTTTTCATTCTTCATGCGATAAAAAAAAAAAGAAGAATAAAAACTTATAGTTTTTCTCTTTATGCCTAGTTATTTCTCATTTTTTATGTAAAAAATTCAAAAATGATAAAAAATTTTATGTTGAATATAAACTTCTTAATTTACTTATTCTAAAAAAAAATCATTTTAATATTATCATTTGTCTGATAAGAAAAAGTATTTTATGTCACATGTATTATATTATTATATATATATGTGTAAGTTTTTTTTTATTTATTACGACAATCAAATCGATCTATCATTTCAGAGTTAATTCACCAGATGGCGTATATGTTTTTATTTTGGATTGAAATTGAGAAATGCGGACATAATGCGACTATTTTTGAGTATGACTAAGATATAAAACAATGTTTTGCACCTCTAAACATTTAATGTGCATTCGTTTAGACAAAGAACGTGAAGTGAAGCTCAAAATTTAACGTGACAATAGTGTATAAAGCTAAACATCATGGAGTTGCCTCGCACGCCAATGGATAACCTCATGAACGTGCTTTCAGGCTTCAGCATTGGACACGAAAAAGCTCTGAAGCAAGGTGTCTATAATGCAGTAGCATTATTACTCCTTTGCTTAGTTTGCACTGCTACTTACGGGCTTTATATAATCCTGCAACCTTTTGTGAAACCTTTAATATGGGCATTACTCTGTGGTTCTGTGCTCTTCCCATTCAAATTTTACATTACAAATACAGTTAATTCCTGGTTTGCTGAAACTGAAAGCTCCCACGAGCCTCTTTTGGTAAACTTCGCTATGGTACCTATAAAGATTATGGACAGGATATCAGAAGGAATCGGTTCTTTCCTCTATGGACACCTAAAATATGTAGGAATTGCCCTAGCGTCAGCAGGTGTAGCATTTTTGGTATATTCTTATACTCCCAGTGTCTTAATTTGCCTTATTTGGCGATTTATCCAACTTGGCATTGCATTTGTTACATTTTTTGTTGTCAACTGCAACATTTATGTGGTATACATCATTTATTATGAAGTAGGGTAAAACGTCAATTAATGAACATAAGTATGTCTTTATTTGACACACATACACATGGTTTTGATTAATCACTATGTTGATGAAAGTATCATCTATTAATAATAATCGATAAATAGAAAATTTTTTTATTTAAATTATCTTAAACATTGATAGCTTTTCAACTTATGCAACTCTTAAGACACTAATATCTACCGCATTATATTAAAAAAGTAAAAGGCGTGACCAAGGTCAACAATCAATCATTTAATATTAATTGTTCATTTTCATATAGGTCAAATTGTATGTTGTTTCAGCTTTCGGTTTGTGTACGGACTTTTAGTTCAATGTTTTTTTATTTCAATTATTATGACAAATATGAATGATGGTATTTCACCACACAATAGAAACTGCAGATAACACACTAGTAATCTAATAATTTTAAATACACTAAGAAAACAACATAAATATTGAAGGAGAATTAACAATCAATTATTGTGATAAATATCCTATATTTATTTAACATATTTATATCTTTATAAATATTATCAATATTTCAATTTTTATCATTATGTCTTTTTTTTTTATTTCTATTGTCGAATTTTTTACTTACTATTCTTTCATGAAGGTTATTTAATGTTATGAAATATTAGTTAACAGAAAATATATGGGTATAAAATAGAAAGTAAACTATTCAAAAAATTTTATCAATTAAAATTTTTTTGTAATTCCTAACTAGCTATGAAAGGTACCAAAAATTTTTTACATATGGATACGATTTTATAAAGGTATGATTTCATATAATATCAAACTACTTGTTCATTGATTGATGTATGTATACCCTATAGATATATGTTCATTTCTAATGTATTTAATCTTGACTAATCCAATTTATCCAATTTTAGATGTTTATTGTAGTGATTGGCTACATGTCAATCTTCTATATCTACTGGACTCCATCCAATGGCATTTCTTTTAATTATGCATCACTAGTGATTTGGATAATGTTCAGTTTATACATATCAAATATTTTTGGAATGTATCAAATAGCTATCTTTTGTTTATTACAAATTTTATGTATTACTGGATTTGTCTATGAAGTCATTCTTATTATGGATCACAAAGAAACTCAAGGAAAACCCTTGACATTTGCTGAAGCAGTACAGTTGGCTTTGACTGGTGATGATGCATCAAATTCTGATGCAAAAATATCTGAGACAGTTGAGGAAGAAGAGGATGCAATTGTAGGAGAATTATTAACGCCTCGAATGACTCCTGATGATATAAAAGAGCCACTTCCAACGTCAAGTAGTCGAAGACCGACTTTAAAAATATTAAAAAAAGCTTTATCTCTTGATGCTGATGCAGGAATGGCTTCATCACAAGAAAGACGAAGCAACAATAGATCATCAAGTCTATCAAATCCTCGAGCATCAATACGGGAACGTTACTTTCTTAAAAAACTTCGTAATGAACTCAAAATGTCGTGTGATAATCCAGATGAAGATGTTGATACTGACGTATATATGTACGGAGCAGTATATGCTTGTACAGGAATGTTATTGTGGAAACATAAATGGATATTGATAATATTAACAGTGCCAATAATTTGGTATGTCATCAAACAAATCGGAAAGTATTTTAGCTTTTGGGATTACATAAATAATCAACGGAATAAATTAATTGAAGTTTTTAAAAATTGGTATAAAGAAAGACAACAAGCATTAATACCAGCACATGTTAGAGGCTTATATAAAATTTATGTTATCCTCGACAAAAAAATAAAAGAAGTTTTAAAAGCATCAATTGATTCTGTTGCAACAATTGTTGTTATTTTAGCATTGTTAATTTTCACGTTTTCTGCATCAATATTTGTTTTAGTACAGGTAAGAACATTAAAGCAGTAAACGAGTATAAAATATTAATAGAATTAAACATTTAGATGAAGAATATGTACATGTTTAATAGATATACTCGGAAGGAATACATTTAATTCAAGTAACAGGAGAAATTTTAAATTCAACACTAGTAAACAATCCAGATATTGACTGGTTGCCAAAGCAGTGGGAGGAATCTGTTAATAGTGTATTAGATAATGCATATACATACGGTAGAAGTGCTATTGCAGATGGTGTAAAGAAATTGGTCAAGGATTTAGAGCCTTCGAAAGCTGAATTGTTAGAAAAAAAAGTTTTAGAATTATGGGATAGACTTTATCAAGCTTGGATGATGTCTGATGAACCCGCAGACATGATTGGACCAACTGTAGATGTTGCTGCAGCTCTTTCCGTATGGGAAAGTTTTCGAGAGAGCTTTGGAAAAGTGCCAACCCGTATGTTACTCATCAATAGTTTACGAGCTAGAATTTAAATGGACTTTTAAAAATGTTTGTTTTACAGAGATGTTCAATATGAGTGGTATTTCGAATTTTGCCAAAGACAATGTTGGTATATTTGTGTCTGTACTCGATTCAATTTGGAGTATTGTCAAAGGAAATATTTCTATAGTATTAAGTGTCTTTACAGAATTACTTTCTCTTGTTCTGATTAGTGGATCTGCTGTTCTCAATTTTGCGTTAAGTACTGTAAGTTTTAATTAACCTACATTCAAATGTTAATAGTTACTTCGGACTTGTAACTGAACAGTTATTAATAGGAAAAAAAATGCTATGCAGTTATTAAAATTAATCATTGCTTTTATCTTTTTAGATAGTATTTTTCACAACATTATTTTATCTTCTTAGCTCAAGTGGGAAGACTTATAAGCCTATTGAGTTAATTGCTATGTTCAGCCCAATAAGCCTTTACAGGTACGTTATTAAATACCTTTCTTTATCTTATAATGAAGCTAATACAGTTGGGTTTTATTCATTAAACGAATGCAGGAAGGATGATTTAGGCGGGTACGTTAAAGTTAATAATACTTAATGCAATGAATTAAAATGACCTCTGTTAATAAATTATTTTAGATTTGCAATAGCGCTACAGGAGGCAGTTATTGGCGTTTTCACGGCAACATTCAAACTTGCTTCATTCTTTGGCATGTGGACATGGTTTATACACAATTTATTCCAAGTGAAAATCGTTTATCTTCCATCTGCATTTGCCACCGTTCTGGCTGCAGTACCCTTTTTAGATGCATATTTTGCATGTATTCCAGCTACGATTGAACTCTGGTTTACGCGAGGCAGAGTGATGGCCATTCTTTTCTTTACTTTTCATTTTCTACCTTGTAATATCGTTATTACAAACTTCTATAAAGAGATTAAAGGGTATTGACCGTTATAATCTTTGAATTTTTAATTTTCTGTCTATTATTATCTGCTTAACACCTGGTGTTTAATTTTGTTTCAGGGGCGGGCATCCCTACTTAACCGGTTTGTCAATTGCCGGAGGTATTTTGTATCTGGGGGTTGAAGGAGCAATTTTTGGTCCTCTTCTACTCTGTTGTATTATGGTAGCTATAAATTTAAGTCGTCGCTATATACAATCGTTCTCTGAGGACGCATTGAACTCATTAAAATCTCAAATTAACCAAATGGAAGTAGAACAAGCAACATCGCCTTAATAAGTATCATCGAATTTAAAGCTGTTCTTTCAAATTACAATTAGTATTTTAACAATTTCAATGCCTATTTTTTAAGACTAAGTGAAAAAGTTTTATTTATCGCTCGATTTCTCGGAATGAAACGAATTTTACGCTTAAATAGACTGCATTTAATAACGCTAGTCCATAATGCGTTTAGAAAAAAAAAACTGATGTCAATTGTTATGCAGCAAATTTAAATCTTAAGAAATTTATATATTTCATAAATATTTTAATATTTTCATTGCGAGATTTTCTTTTTTTATATAAAAAAAAAATTAAAATGGGTTATAAAAATGAAGTATTATAAGATAAAATTTTTGTAAGCTCTTATAAAATATTTATTCATACTTATGAGTAAAGTTAAAGATGCAGTGTTGACCGCTGTATAAAAAAGATAATATAAAAAATGCCAAGTGCGTGATAATAATATTAATACAAAAAATAAAAATTATTCATGAAAAATGACTAATTTGGTTTACTCAATCATTGGTGTCATCATCACAATATGCCTTATTTTAATTGGGATAGAAATTTATATACATTATGAATCTTATTTTCCACCGTGAGTCAATCTATAGATGTTATTTTCAATGCTGATTATACAATGTACTCATTATGTTATTATTGATGCAGGAATTAATTTGATTCAACAAATTGAATATTCAACCTTAAATTCTTAATTTATACATCACGAAGCTGTTTTCTTATTCTTATCACGGCGCCTTATAATTCATTTTCAATCAATAATCGTATTTTAATTAATTTGAATGACGTTTCGAGGCTGTAAAGATGCATAAATTTGGTTCAAACTCATAAATTTAACTTCAGTAACAAATGAAGTAAGATTAAAATGAAATTTTGGATTAAATTTAATTTTCTTAGAGCCTTTCAAAATATGAAAACCATTTTCTGAAAAGCTACCAGGAATGTAACCAGGCAAATCAAACCATACGAACAGCTGAATACCACATGGAGATTTAATTGTAATGGAATAATTCATGCTGTCTATAGTGGCAGTCATTGGACAAACTGGTAAATTGAGAACTTTTGGTGGAGCTGGAAAAACATAATTTAGAGGAGCAATTTCTCCTTGAGTACTATTTCGTAAGTTTAATTCAATAATACAGTTTTTCTTTGCTTCTGTAAAATTATTTCCACAAGAAGCATCACTTAAAATTTGTTCAAGTTTTAATGTTATTAATTCATAAGCAGCATTTGCTATCACTGTAACATTGAAAAATGATTTACTAATTACACCACCTGATATCCTATAAACATTTATTTCAACAGAACAATTAAATCTACTTTGTAGTTCATCAGAAATTACGAATATTTTCAAATCATGATTTGCTAACAATCGTGGGCTTATAATGATTGGTGCAAAAAAATCTTTAGCATAATTATGAAGCATTTTCCAGCGACCTCCATCATCAATTGATGACCAGGAAGGTGCTGCCCAAACATCATTTAACTGCCAATAAAGTGCACCCATCGTGTAGCCCTCGCCAGCATCATTTAAACTACTTTTTCCTTGACGGTAAGATTCTGATTGTAATTTAACTGCTTGAGCTTGATTTATTTGACTTAAATAGATAAAATTTACAAAATCTTGAAATGAGTTATTTGTTTGAGGTATTTTTAGATTTTGAGATATTAATCTTTTCATATAAATGTATCCAAAAGGTAAATGTTGACGGTGTTTAAGAAATACTGAATCAATAGTCAAATTTGCTACATCTTTAGTCATGTTTTGCAGGCCATGAATAGATGGTAGAGATTGAAATCCATACTCAGATGAAAATCGAGGACGTCTATATGTGTTTATATCCCATCCATTGGCTAAATAGTTGTAGTGATGAATATCTCCGTAAAGATTCGAATACGGATCTGTTCCAATCCATCCATTTTTATCTGCCCATAATGCGTTGCTGGGACTAGATACAACAAATGGCCTTGTAGAATCAAGTTTTTCAACTTCTGCTTTTATTACATCAACATAAAGTTTGATGTAATCTTCTTTGTATATATTTTCTGTTCCCGTTCCATACCAATTTCCATATAAAGCTGCTTCATTTTCATTATTTCCAGCCCATATAACAACCGAGGGATGTGATTTCAATCTCCAGACATTTTGTATAACTTCTTCACGAACAGATTCTAAAAATTCTGGCGTTGTTGGATACATTGAACAGGCAAACATAAAATCCTGCCATATCATAATACCAAGTTTATCAGCCATTTCGTAAAAATAATCAGATTCATATACTCCACCGCCCCAAACCCGTAACATGTTCATGTTAGCTTCTTTTGTCGACTCAAGAAGATGCAATATGTAAGTTTTATTCAATGATTTGCTTGGATAAATGCTTATTGGTATCAAATTACTTCCTTTGGCAAAAATAGGAACTCCATTTATACGGAAATAAAAACTAAGGCCTTTCTCTAAAGGCTTTTGAATTAATTTGACTGTCCTGAATCCAATTAATTTACTACGACTTTCAGTATCTACAAAAATAGTTAAATTGTAAAGTATTTGCTTTCCATAACCATTTGGCCACCACCGTTGTACTTCAGTCTGCAAATTAAGATAAAATTTTATAATTCATTATTAATACAGTCTATTGCTAATTGAAATGTGTTCAATTTTTTATATTTTACCTGAGAAACATTTAATGTTATTGATTCTATGACTTGAGTGATTCCATTATCAATTTTTATTGATTTCTCATTAGTTACGTATTTTCCTTGACCATAATCTAGTTGAACTTTGATTATTATATCAATAGGCTTATTTTTATCATTAGGAACTATTTCGAGAAGCGTAGATACATTAATTTTCCAGTTTTTATTTTCTACTTGATATACATCTGCTGTGTAATCCATTATAAAAACTTTGTTGATAGGAACTATTCTGACATCACGCCAAATTCCACTTGTAGGAATAGCTGGTCCCCAATCCCAGCCAAAACTGGCTTGCATCTTACGAATATGATTAATATGGCATTCTCCATTATATTCTTTTGGTACACATTTTGGATAAACAATGTAGTTTTTACTTTGATTATAATACATTTCTGCAGAGATCTCAATGGGTGATTCAATTTCAATAAATAATGAATTGTAGGGATCAGTATCGTTAAGTAAATAATTCTTTATGTCAAAAGAATATCGACTAAACATATTGGAAGTTTTGCCAAGTGTATAACCATTAAAAACAACTGTTGAATAAGTATCAATTCCATAGAAAATAAGAAGAACTCTTTTTGCTTCTAATAATGATGGAGTAGATTTAAAACGATTTTCAAAAAAAGAACTGCTGTTTCCAATCCATCTATATTCGATATCTTTATCATCAAATAAGGTATTGTATGACAAATATTTTTCAAGTGCTGCAAAAGTATCTGTAGGAATTACCTCATCGAAAACTAGAAAAAATATGTCTTATATTATTTTAGAGTTTCTTTCCACTGAAAAGAATATTATACATACCAAAATTAGATACTGTAACCTTCCAGAGGTCTGATAATTGACATGAAACCAAACATGTATAATTCAATAAAGTCCATAGTAATAATAAAGAATATTTCATTTTTAAAAAAATGATATATTAGAACTTCTTTTAAATTTTATACGATACTTTATTTGATTTTTAGTTTTTTTTCCCAACTTTAGGCCATACTCAGACAAAGTCTATAAAAATTCAGTGCGAAGTTTATATATAAATTTATCAGTATCTTATCACCGCAATCTTTTTTTTCTATCTCATTATGTTGTAGAAAACTTCCTCCCATTCCTGGTAGCTTTGACAACATCTACAGTCTCGATCAAAAGTTATTCTGCTGAAAATAAATAGAAACTAATTGAATAAGAGTTTCATGTTCTTCATATTACTCATGTGAGTGGTAAAAATATAATTACCATACAACAGTAGAGAACATCGTTGACATGACTCAGCTGGTACTTTGATAAGTCATGTGTACACAAATACACATAAAGACAATGAAAAGTTTTCTAGATAGTATTAAAAAATTGGAATAGAATAAACATATTGTAAAATTATTGAATTGTTTACGAAATATATACAAGACAATATTTTTTTTTTAAATTATTTCTATTTTATATCAAAACGTATCAAAACAGTAAACTGATAGTGACAATAATAATTTACTAGAAAATATAAAAATGCAATTCAAATGATGAATATTAACTATTGATAATATTTATAACTCGTTCAATAATCTAAGGCAATACTTTGTGGACATGCGTTACAAATAAATATGTTTTTGTGCTTTTATACATATGTAATTAACAATTTATCTGATAATAACATTTCATTCATCTTTTTGACCAATTGTTGAATAATAATACTTATTCATAGTCGGATTTACATGTTTTCACTTATTTCTTTAAGTATTGCTGAATACTGTTTTATTTTTTTTAGAAATTACGAAGGCAAATTTATGACAAAAGTATCACCATTTTCAACAGTCAAGGAAGACAATAGCCTCTTTACTGTTCAACTTTACATAAATTAAAACTTTAACATTATTTTCAACGTTTCCTTTTTCTAGTTGGTGTTTTGATTGATGTATTTGACGTTTTGGTATAAGTTGTTTTTAAGCTGTTTTCCCCCTTCTTATCTAAAACAAATAAGATATATTAGAATTGAAAATAATTAGGTCATTGAAATATTAATCCACAAAATAATTGATTATTACGCTGGTTATGAGATATTTCTAGACATTCGGATGAAACATGATGTTCATAGGCTTCTTGATCATTTGTGCTAAAAAAATCACATTGCATGCATTGAAATTGTTGGGATTCTTTAGAGTGATTGTTAGTTTGTTCATCTTCATCAACATAAGCTTCACATGATCCAGCGTGTGTTTCAACTTGATCTATTGGAAAATTTTTACCACAAATTGGACATTGAACTTCTTCAACTCGATTTTTGATTTGTTTTACTATTTTCTTATTAGCCTATAATTAAATAACTTGATTATTTTCATATTTTTTACTAGACATAACAAATTATATAATAAAGATATATCGGAAGATTAAGAGCCGACAGCTGTTACTTATACTTAATCTAAATATAATTTGAGAAATGTTCTTTTTTATAAATATTTTTACACCCGTGTAAATAATCGAAGAATTTATTGTGGTTAAATTTGTAGCTTCTAAAAATTAATCTACTGAAACATTTTCATATACCATTAAATGTTTGTAACAACAAAAGTTTTACGTACCTCTGTTTCAGTATAAGTCGTTTCAGAAGATTCATGTTTAGTGTCCCAAATTATTTCATTTTTAGGTAACTCATCAGATTCTAATTCGGTCCTCGATGGACATTTTTGATGCCGTGCAACATTATTACGATACCTTTCTTCTTTTTCTTTCTGTTTTTTCACTATCATCTCATGCTGCTTAGCTTTTGCAATATTATTCTCCATACGTTGTTTTATTTTTTCTTCTTTGTCACGAGTTTCTTTTTCTGCTGCTAATCTTTCCTCTTCTTCTATTTTTTTTCTTTTATCTTCTTCTTTTTGTCGTTTATTTTGTAATAAAGAATGTCCTAATCTTAATCTTTTAGAAAAACGTGATTCCGGAGATGGTGGAATGACCTTTTCTTCTTCATCTTCATCGTCTGTAATTAATTGAGCTTCAATTTCTTCATCATTTAATTTTTCGTTTCGTTTTTTTATAGGTCTTATTGGCTCACAGTCAATACTATTATTCTTTCGAGAAAAATTTGTATTCTGACGTTTTTCTTCGTTGTGAATTTCAACGACGACATCATAAGAATTTGATTTATTCGATGATGGTATTTGTTTCGAGGGAGAAATTTCGGGATATTCTGGAGTTGCAGCTCTTTTTTTTCTAGATGTGCCACCATCAGATATGATGTTCAAGTTATCACTTTCGTCATATTTACTAATATTTGATTGATAATCCCTTTTTTGCTGATTACTTTCAACATTATTATTTCTGTTCTTTATCAATCCATTCTTTGTTGCTGATGATTTATGAGTAAAGCCTGCTACCTTTTTCCGTTTACTTTGAAATATTTCTTCATCCTCTTCGTCATCAGACATGATATAAGTGACTTTTTTTGTGGCATTTCGTGGTCGCAAGCTAAATTTTCCCCCTTCTATTGATGTATTATACAATTCAGATATGGAATTTTCATGCTCTTCACTAGGTGAAATGAGATATTTATCCAAGCTTCCATTGGCAGTTCCTACCTACGAAAATGAAAAAATAATTAAATATAGAGAAAGAATAACTCAACGCTAATGCTTTGGTTTTTAATAGATAGTATTTATTATCAAATATTGCGGAGTACAGTCTTTAAAATTTTGTAAATATAATTATATTTATACATTGAAAAATTACATGAGCCTATAAGCTCGTAAATGGAATTTCTTTTAAAACTGTACTATGATGAAAGCACTACGTTTCCGACATTCATATCATGTCTCGTTTGATAAAAATAAACCTGATTTTTACTTTTTATCAGTAAAATCATCTCAGGTTTTGAAAAAATATATTTATTATTTTGTATTACTAGTACATAATATATCAAAATGTTAGAAGTCAATACCTCAACCTCATCATCAAAAACAATTGATGTTTATTTATATAAAGAGAGTATAAAAGAGTATTGGCTCATATTATAAGAATAATAATAATAATTGTGAATGTATAATTAAATCATTATAATTGGAATAATTTACTATTGGAAAATTGTTGATTATTTCGTTGTAGGTTTTATAAATTCGCGAAAGTGCTGAATAATTAGCATTTGTACCGATAAATATTAGATTGCTCGGAGGAGTTACCCACCTTAATGGGTGTCCCCCACTGGACCTCATCATTGTTTGGTTTTTGCATGTAGCGATAATATAATTCTGCAGTATCATCAAGAATTGTACGTTGCTTATTACGTATTTCGTCAGGAATAACTGGTATCCCATTAACCATTTGAAACTTCGGTCGTTGAACAGATGAACGTTTTTTTCTAGATAAAGGCACATCATTCTCCATTTTTTTGCAGTCTAGAGGATTTATTCTCCATTGTTCTAATTGATTAAAAAGAACAGAAGAGTAAGATCTAGATTCTTGATTTGTTGGAGTACGATGCATGGAATTCAATTCTAGCTTTCTGTCAGAACTTGGAGAAATAGTGTAGTGTGAATATGAGGAATCATCCAGTTTTTCTTGTGATGTTGAACTTTTATCATTATTCGTTGAATTTTTATTGATGAGTTTATTTGAATGAAATGCAGTAGACGATTCTGATGTTACTAAATCATTAATGTTTGTTCCCTGATTAGACGTTGAAGACAAATGATTATCATTATGTCCATAAGAAGACAATGGTGAAGATGGTACCTCGTATAAATCCTGTATACAAACAATATTGTAAATAGTATGTACTTATTTCTGTTACTAAAATTTCGAAATAAATACATGAAACTTACTGGTTGAGAAGTATGATCATTTTTTCGAGCTAACTGTTTAGAATCATCAACTATTTTTAAAAAATTTTCCATATCATTTGTAGACATACCTTCTTCATACAATCCTGCTTCTGTTATGTAATAATGAACGTTAAAAAAAGATATAAATGACAATGCAAGAAAGGAAAAAAAAAGTTTTATAAGTTAATATATATTTTAAGAGAATAACCTTTGAGCTGATTTTTCATTTCTTCTTGTCCATCCTTCGTTTTTTCTTTTGTTTTGCTCCTTCTCGACGTAGTTGTCTTGAAGAGAAAATTTATTATTTTGTGACAAAAAATTTATTCATACCGATATATATTTGATGAATAAGAAAAATAATTAAATAATTATCCTCACCCACGGTTCCATTTTGTGTTACGTTGATTGAAGCATTAAAATTTTTTATCAATCAACAATATCAATTGTAATATTTATGATGATTATCTCAGCTTTTGTTTTGGAACAATATTTTTGCAGAAAGAAGAACAATGTGTGTATAATCATTTACGATGAAAGAAAAATTAATTAAAACAGTAGATATATACGATTTCATAAACTTTTAGACGATAATAAGTTGAAAACCTTTTTTAGTTTATATTAAATCGCTTTAAATGGAATAAATAATAGAGAGGTTATAGCAGAGAAAATAAAGGATTTGTCAAATTCATGGAGATATTACGCAGTTACCAAGAGTTGGTTAAATGAAATGAAAGAAAACCAACTATCGATAAGTGAAGATTGTAGGAAAGAATACTGATGAAGCTTTGTTGCTCTTGGATTGCTGTATTTAAATTTGGAGCTGTATTTGACCAATATTCAAAGCATTTTGATCTAGTTCTGGATGCTAAATTAATAGTGATATCCGCACAAATTAATAAATTTTCATGATTTTGAAATTTTTATTACATTTTATGATATCAGAGAATCGACAGATGATGGGATAATCAAACTTTATGAAAAAAATATAAGTTGAATATATTTATTATTTTTATAAAGCCAAAGTAATTTACTTATGATAGAACTACAAGTAGATGTGTTGATTTATTATTGTGTCATGCATAACTCATAATAAATTTCTAGTTCTTTTCATCAATTTTTTTATATTATGTACATTCATATAGGTATATAATAATGATTCAATAGATTGTTTTATATAATATTCATGAATAAAAATAATTAATGCTTATATTTATAATTAGTCAAAAAAGATTCGAAAATCTTAAAAGTTTCATGAAAGATTTGTTTAAATTTCAATATCTCAAGATACTGTAAGTACAATCATGTTGTGATATCATGCAACGTTTACTCTTCTCAAGTATTTTATAAAATACAATTCTTTTCCAATCTCCTTAATTATACGTTTGAAATTCTATTATGCTTTGAAAAATCATATATTTATTGTTCGCAATAATTGTAAAATTGTTTACTGATTTATTTTATAACTTTTAAACGCACTGTCACTCTTAATCTATTGTACAACGACTTATTATATGTACAATACATACAATTTTTTTAAAATATCTTTTGTTCCTCATATTTTTGCTTAAACATCTATTCATTAGCTATGAAGTAGTGAAAAAATAATGCTGCTTTGGCCATGATATTTATAAGATTTTGGTAGTTAATATTTTTTGTTATTAAATACAGACTAATTAATTAATAGATATTTGAAAATAATAAACATGAATTGTTCGTATGATAAAAATGGAAGTAATTAACTTCTTCATTCGATTTTTAAAATATTCAACGACATGCAGGAATGTTAACGAGTTATACTCAAAAACCGTTATAACTTAGGTCCTGTGAAAAGTATAACAAATACTTTGATTATTCTCGGCTCGTTGGTAATGACTCATGGAGCCTCATTAATTGATTTATTATAAATTATCATATCAATAAGTAGTTTGTCATAGTATTAAAAAAATTAATTTACATTAATTATGATACTCAAGTACTGAATAAGACATTAATAAAATACTTAATATTATCTGCAGTTATTTTTTCTCATGAATAAATTAAAGAAGTCGTGCATCTAATGCAGAATTATCTAACTGTCTGTACAAATAATCGTACAAAAATTAAATCTAAGGACGGAAAATAGAAAACGTCAAGGTCAATATCATTTGCATATTAGTCATTAAAATCTGCTCAAAAATATAGCAGTATTCCTCTTGTTTTAAATTTGTTTCAGTTTTTTTAATCCAATATTATTTCTCGGTTGATTAATCATCTATCAAAATCAAGTTGCAGTAAAACAACCATGGACAACGGCTTCAAGTGCAAAATTTAACCTTCATTTATATCTAGGACTGTCTGGTGGAGTGGGCTGTTGAGCACTGCTGTTTCTATGCTTCGGACCAGATTTGAAAGACATTTTTTTTAATGGTCTTGGTGATATACCATGAAGTGCTGGACTGTCTTGTGTATCAGCACTGAACCATACTCTGCTATTATCAGAAGCTAAAACATAAATTTTCTTAATTAGTTACACGGAAGGGTTGAAGAAAAAAACTTACTGTGATATTTAGAGATAGAATAGATAATATAAAGTTGATGCGATGCTAGGAAACATATGAAAAAAGTTTAAGATTAGTTGACAAGCATGAGAATGGTAAGGTTGTGAAGGTGTCCATAGCCATCAAAGGTGTAAAGCATTCTAATTGGTGATACTAACTTCTTAAACCATTTCACAAGGTAGATGAGAGTTATTGGTCTGAATTAGTCACCTCTATTCGTGCGGGTATCTACACCACTGGATCCGGTACTACTGCGAAGGCTAGGTCGACCTTGATGGGAATCTAGAAGAGCAGCTGCGAGATTTGATGATGCATTTGACTGAACACTAGTTATAGAACCTAATCAATCGATTCCGTTAATATTTAATAAATTGTTCTATGAAATTATCTATAAATTAACAACACATTAAATTAATTCTAGACCTGTTACTGATGATGCGCCACTAAAAGGACTTGTTGGTTGTATTGGAGAATAAACATTAGCTGTAAATTCTTCAAATGTTGTGGATTCTTTATGGTTTCTCATAACAATATCTATTGAACGAGCACGCTCTTCGTAACTGAAATATAATATTTTATTTTAATACTTTGAACTTTTAATTTCTAATCACCTTTTAATTGTTAAAACTTATCAATAGTAATTTTTTAGTACTTACTAGTGTTGATATAATGATAGTGTTGATCTTTTGGCCCGACTAGCTGCCAAAGCAGTAGTTCTGACGAGTCCTGGCAAAGCTTTATCTTCAACTATACATTCATTAAAAAGAGGTCCAAAAAATGGTATTTCTGGCTTTCGAGATATTTGGATTCTATATAATTTATTTGGCAAAGGATAAATAACTATTAAAACGTCACAAAATTCTGTAGGGATTATATCTCGACGATAATCTCTCCAATGTTCTGACCAAACTATATGGATTTCATCATTTCCTAAATGTCTTGTTTTTTGTAATAAACTTTCAGGACTATCTAGTGGCATTCTTGTAGCAACATGAAACAAAATTTCTGTAAATGATGTCGCAAAGTATGGAGCAGTAACCCCAGACGCTTTACCAGGTACTAGACCTCCCAGGAATCCTGTGTGTGTTTCTAATTCTACTTCCCATGCTAATCTTGCTACAAAACTTTCATATTCTTTACTACCCGTGATGTTACCAAGAATAGAATTTTTATCTTCTTGTCCTTGACCAACAAATATCACTGCCATTTTATGCGTTTCTCGAGATCTTTGACTGTCGAGATTACGAAGTTCTCGAAGAAGCTTTTCATTTTTCGATAAAAGGTGCAGTCGTCGACGCTGTTCCCATCCTGAAAGGCCCAAATGGGAAAATAGAAGTCGACAGTGATGAAATGGGGCTGGTGGAGGGTGGCATGCTGGTGGATTTGCAACGACTCCAGAAGTACTGATATGTTGATTCCAATTATGAACGTATTCACGTGCAGCATTGCGTTGATTCAAAATAGCTGCAATAGTTTCATTTTCAAAACAGTGTACTTGTGGTGGATTTGCAGGAGAATTTAATGCCACCTCTGGATTCATTAAAACTTCAGGACTTGTATGCCCGATATATCGCAGAAGATCGTCAAGGTTGTCCATGTCACTTGCAGCATTTGCAAATGTAGGTAAAATATTTGGCTCTCGATGTCTCATTACATGACGAGGAAACGATTGATTGGATAAAATATTAATTGAATCGTCTTTGTTATCTTCATGAGACGAGGGAATCCAATCATTATGCTTATGTGTTAAAACTTCTGTTTCTTTACTATTACAAAGCTGATTATACAATATTGAACTATCCCAACATGCCTTTCCTGCTAAATCACGCAATAAAACTCGAACAATTGATGGAGCTGTTACAAAGCCTGTTGTTAATTCTGATGGATCTAATGCTCCAAGTTCCACAAATGACATGATAATAGAATTTGACAGCATTAAAAGTTGAATATTTGGTGCATGGAAAATAGCAGATGAAAGTTCATCACCATCTATGCCAGGTACATCATCTAACTCAACTACAGTTGACGATAGTCTAGCTGCTCCGATTCCCATGGGGAAATGTCCTAAATAATTAATTAAATGCATTATCACCATTTTAGCAGCTAATTGTATATCTTGAATATTAGCTTTTCTCGGTGATTTGCTATTGTTAGCCTCTTTTCCCAAATCATCGACAGTAATATCAGGATCAAAATAATCTTCTTCATCATTTGAATGACGAAAACTTCTTGAATCTGAATTAATTTTATCCGATTTATTTTTCATAATATTATCCAGAACCTAAAAAGTTAGCAAATTGAAAGTAAAATTGAATAAATTATAGGAAATTAAATAATTTATATAATAATTTTTTTGAAAACAATTTCAATAACTCACGGTAAAAAGTGTTAATAGCAGTGATTTTCCTTGGAATGTAGTTAATAGTATCTTAGGACCTAAATGCATGGCCCACTCGCCTAAACAAAATAACATGGACGTAGTTAAAGCACTACGCCGCTCTCTGATACTCATCGTATCTAAAGTTTCTGAAAGGACCTAAAATAATTTTTATAAAAATTTTTCCAATTATGTAACAATAAAATTATCTATAAATAAATAGAATAATATTAATGACATACCTGAATTATTTTGCATGGAACTTTTGGATATAATTCCAAAAGAACGTCCGATTTATCACAAAGTAATCCAAGAGAATCACATGCTACTTGTGCTATAGATGGATGGGTTGCCTAAAAAAATAGATAAAAAATTTGTTTAAATAATAACTAATCAAAGATTATACATACAAAAAAATTGTAGTTATAAGAACGATACTAATTATTATTTAAAAGCAATTTGTAGCCACAGATTTGAACAAATATAATTACAGAGTAGTAGCAGCAGTGTATTAGGATGATTAATAGATAGACATCACATGAAATAAACATATAAAATGAAGGGTCTATATTGGCTACCTGATACGGAAAGAGTGCATGAAACTGCTCCCTGCGTCTGCCAGCCCTGTGGACTCTCTGTCAAGCCAAGCAGATTGTTTCATACCCAAACTACATTTTTTTTCAAGTACAGGCAAATAAAACTACAGTTTACAACTACCACCAATTTACCAAAAGATTCTACCACACCGAGAGTGTAAAATACATGATTTCAAATGACTTTTATTACTATGGATAGATAATTACTTACTTTGAGAGCTTGAAGGAGCACATTTACGGCTTCAGGAACTCGAGGATGATGTGACTTAATACACAATTCTTTGTAGGCAAACATTGCAATACTTGAAAGCGCAATACATCGTGCAATGCCCGTTGGTTCTCTTCGACAACTTCTCAGAAGAATTGTCAAAATGAGTTCTTTAGTATCAGGACATGTTATTGTTTCGATGTTAGATCCATTAGGTTGAAGTACTGGTAATTTTCCTTGTGCAACTGGCAAAGATAGCAATGATCCAAGAATAGAAACTGCTTCCGTCCTTGGAGCTTCAACATCTTTACTACCTAAAATTAAACTCGCCGCATGTACGTAGTCCATGAGAAGAAGACTTGATCCAGGTAAATTGAGGCTAAATAACCTAGGTCCTGTATATTTCACTAGCGCATACATGACCTTGATATCATTACTCATAATTCCATGATGAACTGCATGATAGAATAATGTTAAATGAGCTTTTGGTAAATTTATGTCCGGAGGTTGTGTAGTCAGTAAACAAATTAGTCGATAAGCTGCAAGCTTTCCAATTTCAAAACGGGATGGCAGTTGAATAGCCTATAAGAATGTATTTTCAATTAATTCGTGAATAGTCTGGCTATAATTAATTATTTGTGTAATAGTTTATTTAATCAGTACCTTGAAACACCAAGGTGCAATTACAGTCAGAGGTGGAATAAGTTCTGGAGCCGGTGGAGTAACTTGATTATCACCTGAAACGCCTTGATTCAAGCGTATTTTAATGAGAGTTTGAGTAAGCTGAACAAGATAATCCATAACTTGACCGTGTAACACAGGATCTTGAATATTGTTAACATCGCCAAGAGCTGATAACATACGTCTCCATAAAACAACAGCTACGTCTGGCAACCAACCTCGTACTCCACCACCAGCCATGACTGATCTTCTTTCTGATGCATCATTTGTATCTGAAGAAATAAACAGTTATGAAATTTGCTTTGTAAATCGTTGAAAAATAACTATTTTTAAACGTAAACAAATGATTAAAATTGTGATTAGTACATAACTTTGAACAAACTTAATGAAAGAAAAGCAGAAAGCAATTTCACACTAAATGAAAATTTGTAAAATATTAGTTATTATCTAATGATGGGATCATACTCACCAATACTACTTCCATCGATATTTTCAATTTGAATTGGACTATCTTTATTACTGTCAACGCCACTACTTGGAGTTGGCGATGGACAACGTGGTGTTGTTGGTTCGCTGTCAGCTATGACGACGCTGTCCAGTGATTTAGTTCGTCTTCCTGCTAAAGTTCTTCTTCGTCCACTAACTGTAGTTCGAACACGCTCATCACCGTTGCTATTTCCATTAGATGATACCAGTTTGGCCATATCTCGGTCTATTGACAACGGTAGTACTGCACGCGATGAAATGGATTGTGCTGAGTATATGAACATATGAATGAATCTTACAGAAATACGGATACCACGCGCAAAAATATCGTTACGTTCGTCAGTTACTCGTCCTTTACGTTTCATGTTTTTCTTTAATTGATAAAGTTAATTAAAATTTCAAGACACATAAACTGTAGTAATGTCTCTGTTAATGGCAAACTATCATGAACAAGCGTCACCGCAGTAAAAAAAGAAAAAAGAGTGAACTACGAAAACACTCGGTGGATGAAGCAACTTAAAACGCAGGAGCACGACTGGTTATTTATAAATCAGTGTCAGAAAGTATTGAAGTAAGAAAATAAAGATAAGAAGATCTAATTGTTAAAAATAAAAGTTAGTAGTATTAATTACGTTAAGAAAGATTACGACTTTTCGAAGAGATTGTATAGATTATTATTAATATCATTAATCGGTAGTGTGATAGTTTGTGACTAAACTTACCAGGTATTTCGAAATGAGCTACTTGAGCTCGATTTCGTTGTAATTTTGCACGATGTTTTGCATTGTATAAACTATTATCACTTGAACTCCGTGGAAGTGGTCGATGTTTTCGAAATTCTCTGGATACATTATCTGTCCAATAAATTATTTATGAATTCTCAGGAAATATTTATTACATAGAATTTCATTATGGAGAATAAATAGATACCAGGAACACTTTCTTTGCAAGTGTTATTAGTTTCACGGTCTATGCTTCCTCTACGGGGAGATTGAACACTGCTTGCTGATGCAGCACGACATCCTACGCCACGACGTTTTTTTGATTTTTGTTCACTCAATCTATCAAGAGGTAAGTCATTAAGATCTAAATTATAAACGTGTCGCGCCAGTACCCTCGTTAATGTATCTAATGTTTTCTAGATTAAAAAAATGGTTTAAATTAATTTTCTGTAACAAAGTTAGAGCATTGCTATGCAGACCTTTAGTTCTGCGAATACTTACAGCCCATTCACGTATTAACTCTTCCCATTGAGTTAAAGATGTTAGAACTTCAAGAAATTGATCCCAAAGTTGAGTTACTATAACAACATTCAGGTTAGCTTTAATCCACGTGACAATGAGGGTTTGAAAAATAGCAGGAGCAAGTTTTCCACCAATACTGTCACTATTTTTGCGTCGTGATGATTTACCTCCAAGCACCAGTGATGTTATTTGTAATAATACCCTGAAAAATTATTAATTAATTGTTTAATTTTATGAGAAATATTTTTCAATAAGAAATATATTTAAACTCACCGAAGTAATTGGTCCCAAGTTGGAGGTTCTAATCTTGCATGCATTACGACATACCGATAAACATTCAATACTCTTTTACAGCTATCAATCTGTTCTTCAAGAAGTGCTGCTGAAGCATTACCGCCGATATTCTCTAAGAAAAATACGTTTGATGCTTGAGTTATGAACACCTGTAAGACATTTTGTAAGCCAGCTCTCACAAATAAATTTTCACGATGAATAGCTCCTAAATATGAATCGTTTCGTAATCTTATTTGACGATAACTATCTGATGGGCTTTTGTCAGTATCACTAGTATCTTTTGCATTTTCATTATCCCGGTCTTTATGACTATCTAATGGTTCTAGCATAAAAGGTGGAATTTCCTGAAATTATATAAGAAAAAATTAATTTCAACTAACTCTATTAAATTGAGTTTAAAAAATAAAAATAATCATTACATTCATTTGAATCCAATCTTTATATACAGCAATAGCTTTTCTTATTGCACCAGCATGTGTAAAATCTAACAAAAAAGCTTGTCTATAAATTTCATGTACAAAATTAACGTTATCACGGCTACCGTATAAAACTTCACGAACTAACATAACAGCCATTTGCCCATCATCTTGGGTTTGATTTTCTTGATGATTAGTAGAAATTTCAGGTGATAAAGAATTAGAATCAGCATTTTGACCAATAGAAATTCGTTTTCCTTCGGTTCCACCATCATTATTTTCTTCATTTGGACTCATATTTTGAGTAGGACTTATAAAAAGCCCATCTTTCTTCGTAATGTGAGTAAAACTTGCTAACCATTTTATTAAAGCAACTTTGCATAAAGCGTAATTACTCTGACTATTATTTAATGGCTGTCGCATAACTGGAAGCTCTAAATTTGGTTTGTACAGAGAAAAATTATCATCAAATTCCGGACAAATATGCCGTAGGTATGTAGATTTAAAACGTTCCAAAAGAAATTGAAAACATTTATGTTGTCGGGTGTGTTTATCTCTCCATTCAACTTTGACAACTTGAGTGACCATAAATTCAAGTAACGCTTCAAAAAATCTAACAGTCTCGTTATCTAAAGGTTTTTCACCACTTTGGACAGGAAGAATTGGTGTGCCATTTGGTTGAGTAACTGGCCCTTGTTGTGCATTACAATGGAAAATAGCATTTGAATATTGAGTTTCAAAAAATTCACGTTTTTCTTTTTCTTCCGTAATATTAGAATTCGTTTTATCTTTTCGTCGTTCTGACCGATGTGGTGAAGGTTGACGAGGTGGAAAGCCAGGCACCAGGCACGCAAACATTTGATGAATGTGTTCTGGTGCATTTTCTCCAAGTGCTTGATACCACAGAATGAAATACCTAGATTTATAAATAAATTTTATGAAAAAATAATTTTCAACGAATTTTTAATTTTCTAGTTTACAATGTATATAATTTAACCTCAAAGCTTGTCGTCTAAGTTTCCAACTGTTTCCGGGGTGGAGAAGTTTATGTAAAATTCTAGCTAAACTATGACATTGCCATCTTTTATTTAATAGTTCTGGTAGTAAAGTTAAAACTTTTTCCAACAGCTGAAGAACCTGCTCCAATTCCTCTCTATGTGCTTTGTGAACTGTCAATATTAAATAGACCATTGTTAAAAAATTAATATAAATAAATATTATCACTGTCATGAGTTTGATTACAGTACAAATATTGTGAAAAGTATTTTATTCTTCAGCTTACCAAGATGAAAAGAGAGTTCTACGATTAGCAGCAAAAAAGGAAGTAATAATAGGAGATTAATAAAAGTAAGTGGTGGAAATAAGCATATTAAAGTAATAAAAAATTACCTCTTTGTCGCAAATTTGCCTCTGCTGCGACAAAACAATCGTAAAGGATAAAATAAACATGACTAAAATTTCCTTCGAAAAATCCTTTTGCTTCATCAATATCGACATTGTCTACAACAATAAATATAAAATATATTAATTGGGTAAAAATGTAAGTTAATTATTGAACAAATATTGACATCATATATATGTCAACTTTGCTTATCAATGCTTTGGGTAAGAGTTTGCAGATCTGTTTGGTAAAGCCATGTGGTTTACTGATAAGATAACTACACTTTTGTCAGGATTGCATGTAATTTTTTATCATTGTATTTGTACTTGTCTGAATATTTATAGTTGATTCACAATAAATAACAATATATTAATATTAATCTTCACTTACTTTAGATTAATAATTATTATAAATAAATTTTAATTTTTTCAAAGTTTATCTCAAAATTCAATTTGTTTTTTTTTGTTATTTTATACAATAATGTGTATATAAATTGTTGGATCATCATATTGATATAATTATTATTTACTATATAACTTCAAGAAAATATCAAATTGTGGAGGTTAAATGAATGATTTTCATAAGAAAATAATGTTAAATGTGATGATGACTATAAGACACTTCTCTGAATAGTACATAGTGAGTACAAATATAATATAAGTGAAACAATTAGTTTGTACATGTGATTTTATTCTCACCTAAAACAATCTTGAGATGCTTGAATCTTGTGGCACTGTCTTTCTTCACATCTTGTATCTTTAGCGTCGATTTTTTGACGTCTACATGAAGTTTTTTACTGAACATAGTGGTCTAATGCGTGCCGCCAGCGGCCGCGACAATATATACATTCATGGAATTCACACGAAACATTCCTTTTTGGTTTAAATTCTTCTTCACACACCCACTGATGTAATTTATAAGACCTGATGACGTCCTGTATTTAAAAACTAACGTGAAAACTTGCTGGAACCGCACACCTCCGATCAGATGTAGGTGACAGCAGCCATCTTGACGTAGACATGTGTGTGTGTGTATTTACTGTTATAAGAGTGTGAGTTTAACCTTTATAAGTGTGTTTATGTGTTCACCCACGATTTTCAATCACATGCGAAGGCCATAAAAGAGAATGAAAGAAAGTTCATTAATTTATTAATTAAATATGTATTTACTTATTTTCAGTTATCATTTATTTGAAACACAACATGTATTCTACTGTATATTTAATTTACCTGAGCTCTTATTAATATTTTTTTTTGTAAAACAATCTTTTAGTTTATTAGTTGTAACACGTTTCAGCTCTTCCAGGTGACATTTGGATTGCTGTACGAAGAAACATAGCCAGCGGATGGTAAAAGTTCTCATTAAAAAACTACTAATTAATGAATAATGCTAATTAAAACTTATGTAAATTTGAATGAGTGAAAAAAAATCAATTTTCTGAAAAAAATAAATTCTATATCGAAATTTGAAATAATAATTAAAATAACACGATTTTATTTATTTATGATAATTATAAATAAATATTTAGGGTGATGAACGTGTAATTAGAAAACTGTAATATTTATTTTATCATATTTTATTATGCATATAAAATACTTTAGACAGTATTTACAACTTTTTAAATAAAAATTAACGTTATTATATTGACTACATCGCATTCCAGAGCCTCCAGGTGACATTTGGATCATGAAATTATGGAGAAAAATAGCCATCCCCCAGTAAAATTATGCAGTATTATAGATAATTTAAAATATTTCTTTAGAAATTTAAAATTGATAAAAAAATAGATGATATCCAAATTTTGTAGAGAAAATAATAATTCAATGAACTGATAGAAATATTTAATTCTTTTGATGTAAATTATTTATATTTATGAAATTAATTTTTTTATACAATTTTTTATTTTTCCAAATAATCGCCTTCTATAAAATAATAAAAGAATTTAAATTATTATTTAATAGTAGAGCTTGAGAAAACTTGCCTTACTAAATGTTTCTATTAAAAATCAACAGTCAAGGTCCAAATGGGATGACTTTTAAATAAATAAATTTACGACTGGTTTACAACAAATACTTTCTACAAATACAAATACATTGAAAATTCATTTAAAAACAAAAAAAATGTTCATTTGTATGTACACGGTAGCAATGTACATCGCTGAGATTTTATATACTTTTTATAAGTATTTTTTTATGTCACATGTGCTCTAAAAGTTTAAGGCACGCCTCACGCTCTCACTCTCACTCTCATACACTCTTTCTCTCTCTCTCTTGTTCTTTGTATCAATTAAATTACATTTATCATCATTAATATTGCATAAATATATTCATATTATCAGGCGAATATGTGTAATCTAAATAAACTGATGTGCTACAGTTTGCAATAATATTAAAATCCATTTTCTAAAAATGTATAATTGTGTATTATCTGTTCTGTACATAAACCTATGTTTTTTTAATTATTCTTTTATCATGGATAGTCATATTGTGTTTTCTTTTTATCATTACAGCATTGACATTAACATTAATTAGAATTAATAACAATATTATGTTTAAATGGGATGGAGGAGTATGAGAAAAAATATGATTTTTTTTTTTCGTTTCAAACTACTTTAGCAGTTTTGCATATGTTCAGTTGCAGGCAAAGTGATAGATCACTTGTATGATGTAAAACTCGTGTCTATTCTTATCTTTATAAATATTTTATTCTCTTTTTTTTCTTTTGATATTTTTATTATTTATGAATTCCTAACATCTAATGGACGTCTTCTGATATGAGACTTAATTGAAGGATTATTAAAAGTATTTTCATTCAAACTTTTTCATCATAAATAACAATATAAAAAGTTATGAGTTTTACATTCAACGATACATCACTTATTGCACTTTACCTCCAACATCTCAATTTTAATACTACGGACAAAAATTTTTCTCTTTCAATTAATTTTTGTTTTAATTAATTATTATAATTATTTATAATATAATTCAAGGGCCTAAAATCGACTTCTATAATTCACACAATCATATTTACAAGTATGCCAATCAGGCATTTTGCATTTGTTTCGCAAACGTCTGCTTTTTTTACATGACTTTTATTTAAAATTTTTCTAAATATTTTTGTCCGTGAATAAAAAAATACTAATATATAGTTCTGTCGTTGCTCAGGCAGTGTATACACATTCAATTTGTTCGCTAAGGCACCGACTTTTTTTTAGGATCCTGAGATTCAACCCGCATGCTTCGACAAATTCAACGGCATATCTGAAATAACAAGTGCGAATAAATTAATTATATAAATAATTCTTTTAACTGTAACAATCTAAAAATAAAAAGAAAAATTACCTGATGGAGGTGTGAGAGTTTGTTCCCTGTAGTCTTTATAATGATGAACCGGAGGAGACGAAGGATGAGGTGGTGGTGGTGGATAAATAGGATGAATTGGGGGAGGGTAATGAACAGGTGGTGGATAATGCATCCAAAGTCCTGGTCTATATGGACTAGGTGGAAGCATGGGAACTGCATAGAGTGGATGATGAACTGAAGTATTTGGCGATCCAACGAAAGGATCGACTCTAGTTCGTGGGTAGGAATGACTTGATGAGTATTTGAAGGCATGTCCATCATCCAGTTTTAATAAATTTCGCAGGAAGCCCGGTTCTGGATTTGGCTTGTCTTCTCCTAGAATACTTGTTATACTGTATGACGATAATTGCTTTGGTGAGGGCACTGATGCACTCGTAGTTGTCGCAGTAGTTATCGTAGTTGATAATGTTATAGGCTGCGGTGTTGCACGTCTTTTAGACGCTTGATCCTCTAATGTAACTCGTTCGAGCTCACGTAATATTCGCTTTCGTGGCGATACAACATTTGGATCTAAACGCGATAGCTTATCAATAATAAAACTCAAAGCTTTCCCAGTCTCGATATTTTTGCTTGTTTTATTTGATGGCTTCTGACAACTTGCACCTGATTCTGTGACAAGTTGTAGCGGCGTTGGATCCAAGGGACGTCGACATTTGCGAACGAGCAAACGTGACGGAGCATACAGGTGAGTGCGTGGATCTCGTCGGTAATAAAAGTTAAATTCCGTTGTGGTACAACGTCGAGGACGAGTTTGTTTCCAACAGTGATCTCTCTGCCATGGACTCGACTGTATCGACGAATTATCGTCTGAGACTAAAACATGAAAAGTTGATAAATAAATAAATGAAAAAAAAAATGGAAATATTAAACAATTGTATATGATTAATTTACCACTGAGGGAAGTCGAACTCTCCTGCCTGTTAGGTGTAGTGCTAGCTGGAGGCCAAAATGTTTTTTTAGGTACTGGAAACCATGTAGTTCTCTCGCCATCACGACGATGGGATAGCTCGAGAATAAATTTTCCATCTTTGAAGAACTTTAAACGACCTCCAGGAGTTGGAAGAATTCCACTATCAACTCTTGATTCACCCTGAGGACTTGGTTGGGGACTGGAATTTTTACCATTGGCCTTGGCAAGGGCAGGGTGCAGAGCAGGAGGATCACGTGAGCACATCTCTGTTGTGCCCCTCACATAGTCTAGGTGAGTGGGACATTCTGATGACTTCTCCCGCATACTGATACCCCACCGGGACCCATCCTCCGGGTTTAACCTCTCATCATTTAGCTTCAGAATGTTGAAGATATCAAATGACAAATGATATCAAAGTTTATAAAACTTTGCTTTAACAGAGTTCTAGTATGGTATGAATGTATGATACTCTTTAAGAGTACCACTGTATTTAAAACTTTCTCTCTTTATGGTACATTAACCAGTGCAACATTTCTCCATATAATGTTCCCAATAGATATGTCCGTCTACAGATGTCAGTTGACACCGAACTTGAAATGTGAGTAATTTTTACTTAACAATTCAGATGAAAATTTTAATAAACAGCAACCTATCATTCTACTGGTCTAACTCTGGATGTACCAAAAAATTTGTTGAGTAATTTAGGCTCACAAATATTTAAAGTTGGGGTGAAAACCCATGAGGAAATCATGGGGGTCATGCGGATAAATACCGCTGAGATTCTGATTTCATTTGGCATCGGATTCCTGATGCTAGAAATTTATTGTGGAGAAGCATAACTATCCTCGTTAAAGTCACACACCTACGCACTGGCACATTCCGTAACGATCTCTATTTCAACCCCGAGATGCGTTACACAGCGCGAGACGAAAACGTCATCGATGCACACACAGATGAGAATTACACGTTGACGACGTATGACCACTTAAGATCCACTAGAAAACCTTTACGATGCATCAACGTGCCCGCAGGAGACGTTATTTTGGAGGTGATGAGACCAGAAGACGAGTAATAGCAGCAGCTCTTAGAACTCTTCAGGATCTTGAGTATGCACGGCTCGGCGGAGACACCATGCTGTGTTTCGCATTTATCGTTGATTTAAGCCCACACGGTGCCGGTATATTATTTTTCTATTTAGCTAAGTAATGTTCCAAACTCACGTCCACCATTTCTCTTAACTCTGTGAATTTCCAGCCACCCAACGTTGAAATGAAAAAAAAAAACAGAACGAAAACGGAACCCTGAGAAATTCTCGCCTCCGTGTACCCTCTCTCGTCGACAACACTGTGGCGGTTCGTATTCCGTGCGTTCCTTCCGTCGTAGCTGATTCTTTCTTCTTCTCTTTTCCTCACTTACATTTATTTTACTTTCTCTCTCATTCCCTCCTGCTTTTGCTCACTTTTCTGTCTTGTTTTCTTTCTCACTCTTTCCTCACGGTTCGACTCCCACGGATGGATTGACTCTACACGATATCGCGCCTCCAACCGCAAATCCGAGAGCTACTACGAAGACAATGCTGCTTGAAGGGAATCGTTGTGTATAAGCAAATGATGTATGTACATGCGTGAAATGCAAACATGCTTATAAGAAAACTTGGAGCATTTTCACTGTGGGTTGATATGCATTTTGCAGCACATTCTTTCAATAGCATATACATATGATGAGCAGTAGTGATGGAGGATAAGAACTCCCAACGTCTAGAGACCTGAGAGATTAAACAATTGAGACAATCAACGAGATTGATGATGACGATTCACGTTGATCCTCTATATTATCTCGAATACGATATTGTATGAAATATTATATCATAATTGTACGTCATTTTTTTCGTTTCTTTTTGCATTTTCTTTTCTATTGAGAACTGTATTTTTAGTACATGCCGTTGTCGGTAGAGGGATAAAAATCTTATTCTTACCATCTGAAGTGATCCTCGATTGCAGCCAAATGGCCGGAAGAATTCATGCATTGAAATAGTGCATGAGTAAGTGGAGTAATTAATTACTTAATAATGGCTTATACATTAATAAGAGCTTGTAATGTTTTAACTCGTCTTCAACGTCCTACAGGAAGACGTTTAACTACAGGTTCAGAAAATATATTATGTCTTAAATTTAGTTTATTCAAAATGGTATTCATAGTAATATAACCTCATTTTCGGTTAATTTGAATCAATAAATCATTAGTTTGTCTTTGTAAATAATATGTAATGAAATTTATTATTATTTTTAGTATTCACCAATGGATTGATACAAAATAATGTCAACAATTCCAACTGTCAACAGTTAGTGATCGACAATGTTCGACATGCATCTTTTTTCAATCGATGTACGTTAGTTCAAATTTTATCGTATTCATTGGAACGAATACAATAAAATGAATATTATTTTTAGATCCTGCTGATTACCTCTGGAAAGGGGCAACAGCTGTTAGTAATGCTGGAAAAAAGAGAGGACGACTAAAGTCAAGAAGACCAATAAGAAATTTAAATAGAGGCCAAGTAATTGGAGTTGGTAGAGTAAATATTGTATGGCCTGGTTTAAATGCTCCTGTTCTCAAAGGACGAGAATTAGTTCAGCAACAAAGATTGCCCGACAATCCAGAACAAATACAGAAAATTTATAAATTACGAGATACATCAACTCGAAGAAGGAGAATAAGAATTCATCCTTTACTCAGAGGATGGACTAGCGCAAAACCTGGAGGTAGAAAAATTGGACCACCAGATCCTGTTGGTGATGGTAAGCAGTAGTAGCAAAAAATTATCTAATTAAAGTGGTTGATTTATGAAACATAAAATAACATTATGATTTTGCTCAACAGAGAAATTTGAAGGATTTGAAACAATTATTCTACAACTTAAGCAGGTAACTCATATGACTGGACATTTAGGACGAACAAGAAACTGGAGTGCTCTAGTGATAACTGGTAATGGGCAAGGGTTGGCTGGATTTGGAGAGGGTAGAGGGTCTGAAGGAAAAGCAGCATTGAGAAAAGCTAAAAATCGTGCTGCACAAAGACTTATATTTATTAAGAGATACAATGAACGTACAGTTTTTCATGATTTTTTCTGCCAATTCGGAGGCAGTAAAATATTTGTTTATAAAAAAGGTGAAGGATTTGGGTTACGTTGTCAAAGAGTTCTGAAAGCTTGCTGTGAGGTATTAGGAATAAAAGATTTACGCTGTAAAATTGAAGGATCCACAAATACCAGAAATGTTATGAAAGCCTTTTTCATTGGTTTATTGCGACAGGTAAATTATTTTTATTATCATATATTCATTTTGATATTGAGTGATTTTTAAATGATTAATTTTCTATAGAAAACTCATCAAGAGATAGCTGAAGAAAAGAAATTACATTTGGTAGAATTTAGAAGAGAAAGAGACAACTTTCCAGTTGTTGTAGCATCACCAGCTAAAGCCAGAACATCTGAAGAAATAAAATTCGGAGAACTATTAGATTTTAAACGGTACGCATATGAAGAAGGTAAAGTTCCTTTAGACAATCCACCGCCACGACCTTTCTACGAACGTTTACCTTCTTGGACTATCAGACAACGAAAAATAGCAGTTACTAGAAATAAAGAAGACGTCAGAGTTAAAATCATGGCTGAAGAAGGTGATTTGAAAAGTTTTTATTCCGATGAATTTAAAGAAGCTAATCCTAGAATGGGAGAAATTATCAAAAGAAGATACGATAAAATGAAAGAACAACAAGAACAATAAACTTCATTTTTGTTTTGTTAATTTTGTATATAAATAAACGATGTACTAGATATTTTATGTTTGATTTATGTCAATTAAAAAATATTATACCGTAAATTTGTTATTAAAATTTATTCATACCTTCTTCTACTCAACTATGGAAACATTAAATGATATTAAGTTATTTTCGCGCTCATTTTAAATTTAACGTAATTTACAACGCATTTCTCATATGTAAATCGATTATCCAACACTCGATAGTCGATCGACTTCGTAGTAAACCACTGACGTTTTACTCAAAATATGGCGACCATTGGAACGCCATGTTTCTTGTGATGTTCGTGGTTTAGGCAATTTTTTGACTAGATTTAATCATATAAGCAAAATGGCTAATGATGATCCAAGTTTATTAAAGGAAGACGGTTATCTTAATGTAGATACAGAGTGTAAGAGTATTGTATATCATCCTAATTTAAACGTATTACTTATCACAACTGGCAATGCGCAAGTATACGTGTTTGATGTCAACTTCGGGGTAATTTTACAACGAAGTATTCTGTCTGGTAAGATGTTTCATCATGACAATCATTTTTTAAGAATACTTCCAGGTTTATACATCAACAATTTATTGTTTATTTTAATTCAATCATCGGAGGCTTATAAATTTTTGATTGTCAAGGTCGCATCTCGTTAAGTGTCAGGCGTGACCCTAGTCCTAGAACATTCACACTCGTTATTTCACAAGAATCGATTATTACTAATAATTGATCATTAAATTATTATAATTATATATTTATAATAAATATTTTGTTGAAGATTTTACATCACATTAAGAAATTTAAATTGTAAACTTTTATACCTTTGTCCTAAAACTGAAAACAATTATCTTACTTTCATACTATCCTTATGATCATCTTTTGTTTGTTTCATTTACAAGCTAAATTATTCGCCGACTAATTGAGTTTTCTAGATATCTAAGAGATAAAGTTTCATTTTCTAAGAAATAACTGAAATAATTATTTCTACGAATTTATTTCATACAGAACTTTGTCTTATGTCTTTTTTTAAAGATATACAGTAGCTTTAAATCATTTGAATAATTTTACTACACGATTACTTTAATTTTAGAATTATTATTTTTATTACATATTTTCATCTTATGTTATAGTTATTAAAACAATATTATTGAAGTAATATGATAAAAAAAATACATTTTTTAAAATTTTAGGTAAACCAGATGGGAAGTTGCAAGGAGTTTATCTTGGCGATGGTGTAGATAAAGTCTTATACACTGATGGCAGAGGAATTGGTGTAAGAAGTGATTACAATGGTGTTTTATTATTAGATACCATATTACAAACGCCGGTATCTAGAAGTGAAGACATCATAAAACTAGAGCTGTTACTTTCTGAAGCATGTCTGCTGCATCAGTGTCTAAGGCTTGTAGATCTTCCAGGAGTTAACAAAGTACAGAGTGTATTACAAGAGTTATCGAACAAAATCCTTGTTGCACAAGAAACGCAAAAAAAAGGTGTCAAAGCACAAAAAGTAAGGAGCATAAGTTATTTCTCTGAATATAAGATGAAATAGGAATATTTATAAATTTACTATTGTCATTAAAACTCAGTTATTAAGTTAATTATAAAATAATTACAGTGGAATACAATATGTCTGGAACTGCCACATGGAGTATTGAAACTTGTATGTTCTGGATTAGTAATGGAATTGAAAAAACAAAACAAACATATACCAGCTTTACCGATAGCTTCTGCCATTAACGAGCGACTGAACGGCCTACTTCCTGGCCTTATTTTAGAGAGTGTGCCTGCTGACAAAGTGTCGATGTTTAGTGAGGCAGCACGTCGTGAAACATTTGCAAAATGGCCCCACATGAATTATAAGTAAGTTGATAAAAGCTGTATAATTATGTTTTAAATCGATATTTGTTCACTAATTCGAAATAAGAAATAATTATAAATTTATTGTTAACAAGTATAGTAATTGAAAATTATCCTTAGGTGGGCTTTACCTGGACAAATGGCTCAAGCAGGTTTTTATCACGAACCCAATACAACAGCTGATGATAGAGCTATGTGTTTCACGTGCAACGTTTGTTTAGTTGCTTGGGAGCCAACTGATGAACCTTGGTCTGAACATGAACGTCATTCACCTGCTTGTCCATTCGTTAAAGGAGAGTACACTCAGAATGTACCTTTATCTGTCACTCTCGCCACTGCCCCGGCTTGTGAATCAAATGATACTGTGGAAATTATTAGTACAACAAATGTTCCTGGACTTGTAGCCACTGCATCACATAGTGGATATGTCAATATTTGGAATATTAGTAGCCAACTGAAGGTACTAGAATAATTAATATTTGTAAAATTAATGCTTTAGTAAGAAATCATTTAAAATCATTATTAAAATCCACAATTTTTTTTTAGGGTGAAGTATCATTTTATGTTGCATCTTGCGATCAAGAAGCTAATAATGAAGACGCTATACAGTTTTATGCTGCAAGGAATTTATCAACTCCGTACCTGTCGAATCTCAGTTCTGAAGGCGACTCTTTAGTTGATTTTAAGTCTGTGAATTTTCACAAAGTTCATTTAACAGCAATATCACTTGTGGGTGGACCAAAAACGTGTGTAGATGAAGTAAAAGCTAATAGTGGTAGTTTAGCGAGTCTTACAACATTAGCAGAAAGTGCAGATTCAAGTATCAGGCCATGTTTGGTGTGTGGAGTCTCTGTAGTGAATTCTGTGAGCAATGTGCCGCAGTTAAGGACACTAGAAAACGTATGGGCGGCCACCACGGACTTAGCAACATCGTCGTCATTAGTCCGTGCGATGAACAGTGTGAACAGTGCTGCCAGTGACAGTTTAGATATAATGAAAATAGCTGGTGATAAATATGTACCCGCTAAATCTCATTATTTAGTACTTTATGATTTCCATCATAAAACCGATTCAACACCACCGAATAAAGATGATATAACAAAAAATGTTAAATCTAAAAAGACCCTCTCAGGTACGGGAACAAGTGCTAGCTCTACAAGTGGACGTCAAGAGAGTCTTTATCAAGAATTATGCATGAGTAAATTTCTTTATGATGTGCCGGTTATCGAGGAAGTTGATTCGGAAATGGCAGTGAGTGCACACTTTGACGGAATGTTTTCGGGTAAAGATGGAACTTTAACTGCATCATCATCAAACACTTTATATTCTACTTCAGTTGGTTTGTATGTTCAACCTTCTGCCCAAAGTTCTCCACCTTATGATGCCAATTTCAATCCAATTGCTGATCCATTTGCCTCTACGTCAGACATCTCAGGATTAAATAAGAAATCATCGGATGCAGGAAAAAACATGAAAGCGGATCCAGTAGTATTGCAGACATTGTTAATTGATGCAGATCCTTCTTTACGAATTACTTTTGTTGGACCTACTAAAGATGAAAGACATTTATATGTTGCGCTTTGTCCTCCTACATCAGAGTCAATTTCAATGGAAATACCGTCTTTGAATACAAATCAAATGGATATTGACGAAGAGAGCGAATTTTTTACATCAAAGAGCTATATGTATTGGGACCACAATGATGAACCATCAGGAAATAAATTTATTAATGGCGAAAATCACAATGAAATAGGGTCTTCTAAGGCTTTAATATTAATATATGCATTAGATTTTTCAGATAAAGTTCCGAAACTTATTACTGAGCCAGTTGCCAAGAGAGAATTTCCAGCTGATCAGGCACCAGTAGAAAATGTTTTTCTACCATTACAAGACAAGTACAGATCACTTTCATTGAATAAAATTAATGGAAGTTCAAGCGAACCTCGTGGCCAAGTTGCCTTAGTATGTAAAGACGGTGTCGTAAGAATATTAGATCTGCCTACTATGAAGATAGTAAATGAAGCAAGATCAGAGTCGGAAAAATTTATTTCTGCTGCTTATTGCAGTAGATTAGATAGACTATGTGCTTGTACAAGCAATGGAGTACTCAGCTTTTTCATTACAACGGAAGAAGATGATTCTGCTGAAGAGAAAGATGATGCAGAAGATGTGAATATGGTAACAGAATCTGGAGCATTGAATAATGAACAACCAGCTCCTAGTACTTCTACTTCATCAGCAAGTTATCAAGAGCCAATTATCGCACACAGACCGAATTTGAATTATTCAGATTTACGCAGTTTATACGATTTAACACGTTTCGATAAACATTCTCCAGCATATGGAGCAACTGTGCCACCATGCTGGAGTGAAATGATAGCTCAACGGCAACGTCGTTATCCACAACATTTACATAAAACAGAAAATCAGCATCATACTCGCACTTGGAGACTTCAAAATGATTCAACAACGTGGGACGAACATGTATTCGAAATAACGTTACCAAAGAAAGTTGTTGAAACTATTGGTCGTGTGGATGTAAGATTTACTCTGCATTCACCATGCTTAGAGCCTCCAACAATTCAAGTTACTCTTCTGAAGCAAAATATTACAGGAGTTGGGCATCATAAATCTCCATTGACTCCTGTTGATGAAAGAATACATTTTAATTTAAATAACGAACAAAAAGGAGAGAATCCTATTACCAGTGAAGAATATCAAAGACAACACAATACTGAAATTCTTTGCGGTCCAATAAATCTAAAACGGTGTATGGATCTTTCTGATCATTCTGGATGTGTCACACTTACGAGTCCTAAACTTTTCCGCACAAAAGCTAGGACTCTTCTTGTTCACATTAAAGCACTCATTGATCCTGCCAAAGATGGTGCGGCTGCAACATCAAAGTCCCGTGGTAATTTGTACGAAAGTAAACCTCCAACTTCAAAGAAATTGAGAATAGATGATGCTGAACCATATATTCCCGGCGCTACAGTTGAAAGGATTGCTGCTAATGTTAATAAAAAATTAGAATACTACATTGGATGTGATTGGATTCACGAAATATCGATTACAGTAAGAACAGTACAACCAACAAGTATTCCAAATGAAAGAATACAACGATGGACGATGTTAGATTCTGCTTTGTTTACTGAAAATTTGCTGAATGTCGCATGTCTACAAGGGACCGATAAGTAGGGATTATTTTGTTAAATATTTTCTTCTACTAGTACTGTTAAACATATGTTTAATCAAACTTTTTTTATAGGTCTCTCATTGCACAGTCTCTTGCATTAGATATTCTTGTGTGGGTGACGGCAATCAGACTAGCGAGGCTGCGCGTCAGTCAGAATATTGCAGAAACAAAAGCAATGCAATTGGATACTATTCGTTGTGTCCAAGCTCGTTTACCGAATCTCTTGCGCACATGTCTTCTCTATGCCGGCAGAAGCATAGCTCACAAATGTGTTAAATTAATTATCATTTGCAGCGAGTAAGTTTCTTTACCATAATTCTTTTTATTAATGTATTGCATATTACATGATTCAAAAATAATCTATTTGAAATAATAAAAATACATACATCATATGCTTCTATGAACAGTATATTGCTTCTGTAAAACAAAATGCTATATTTTTGTTTTTTTTTTATTCTAGGGGCTTACGTAATCTGGACGACCTCACGTTGCATTCATTTGATGAAGCTGTCTTGTCTGTTATTGTTAATTTATTACCTCAAGTTGTTAGTATTCAGTGGGCAGGTTCATTGCGCTGGCTGGCAATTTTGATTACACGACTTTTACCTTTAGATAAAAACAATAGCGTTGCTCAGCAATGTATCACAATACTTCAACAAATTTCAGGAGAAATATCTAATCGTGTTAATCCGTATCATTTATTACTTGCAACGAGGTATGTTTGAAAGATGTTTAAAAAATTTTTATGAATTATTGTAAATAAAATAATTAACATGAGATTTAAATTATTACACCACAGATTTGGTTTATATACAAATCCATTTGAAACTGTTCTGTTCGACATGGAATCACCAATGCCTCCGAAATTGAACTCCTTACCATTGACATATTCATCAGTTGTAACTGGTGAACAAACTACATCATCTGTAATGTCATCAGGAAATCTGTATTCACAGGATCATATTGATTTAAGAGACTTGTTGACGTTACCAATGCATCCTAGTAGCAAATTGAAAGCTTTATGTACCAACCATAGCATGAAGGGTCTTTTAGAGGTATTTATTTGTTTGATGTTTGTATTTTCTATATAATCCCGAAAGGATTTATTAAAAATATCATTCTCTATCTATAGGTTGAACCACTTCATTTCACATGCCATACTGTTTCTGATGGTACAAAAATGGAAAAAATAGATCCAACTGGAAATACAGTCGATTTGGTTTCCAATCTTTACGACAATAATGTCACGAATAATGGTGTATCAGATTTTAAAACTATTAATCCCACTTATGTAAGTATTTAAACGTTATTTTTTTTATCTATTAGAGTAATTAAATCACAATTTTAGCTAGAATAATTTTATGGAGTCGAAATGTAACCAATATTAATAGGATAATTGATTATTGTTAGGATCGTTTTATTATTAATTCGTGTAACATAGTTTATTTAGATGAACGGTAATCGATGAAAAAAATTATGTACGTTATAGAATTTGGACTCCGGATCACTAGAACTGCACGCTACAAGCAAACAGAATTTACAAGCAATGATTAGTCATTGTAAGGCTGAAATGACTAAAAATCCATCGACACAACTATCACTAACACCAGACGATCTATCAGATAGTGATGAAGTGAACAATATAACAAGCAATAACCAGAAATGGCAAAACAATTCATCTAATTCGCATTCGTTAACTTCCAACATGCATAAAGAAAAATCATCCGCGAATATCAGCTCGACTACACACAAAGTCGAGGACAACCATGTAAAAAAGGTTAGATCTTATGCAGCTGATCGTCTCTGCCTCTATATATCTTCAGTTTCTGTTTCGTACGAGTCAATGATCGAATTTATTACGTTTATTACACTAATACAGCATATCTATTTCTCTTCTTATTTATATATTTCGATTCTTTATATCTTGATATATTCAATGCATTATTTTATGCCGTTAAATAGTTAAAAATATTATAAAAAAATAAATTGAAGTGACTAATAGTAACTATTTAATTTTAGCGGGATGAAGTAAATTTCCCATGGGGACGATTATTATGCTGGCCACCTCAACAGGCTTTAGTGGTAGAAAAAATGCATTCAGGAGCTCGACGATTTATTGTTTTGGATTTTGGAGCTCCCATTCTACTTACTGATTTAATGATTCCATCATGCAATGATTTGGTATCATTGTCAATCGACATTTGGACGAAAAGTGAAGAAGAAGATGGAATTCGATTGGTTGTTGCTAGTGATATTGGAACAAAACCACTTGTTGTTAATGATCTTCAACCACCGCCAGTATGCAGATATCTAAAAATAACAACTATTGGTCGATATGGAATGACTCCAGCAAGATGCAAAATACCTTTGGGAATGTTTTATGGACATATGGTAGTATTACCAGGTGAAGGTTACTCAGAGATGTCAGATGGACGAAGTGATGATTCCAGTCAGACAGATAACAATTTATTGTCAACCATTGATTCCCAATGTAGCATTTTATCAGCTTTAGCTGAAGATGTTCAGTGTCGCTTTAGTTTAGCGACTGAAAGACTGAAAAATCTACTTGATCCATTGCTTTCCACTGAAACACCTAATGTTATGCATATGCAACATTATTTATGTCGAGGAAAGAGTGTACTCGATAGTAAAGAACAACCATCAGCTAAGATCTTATCGACATACCAGGAATGTATTACATTCCAACATCAGCTGAATGTAGTTCGGTGTGTGTGGCGTCGATTAGAAGCTTGGAAAGGGGTTGAAGTGACTCCAACAGTTCAATTGTCTAGTATTCCAAGTGATAAACTAAGAATTCTTGGAGAAACTCTTTCAGATATTCTTCTTTATACTATTTATGAGATCGGACCTGTACCACCAGTTTCATCATCTTTATATGATATTTTCACCCCTACAATTTGCGAAAGATTCTTCCATTCAGTTTGTGTGGTAACTCCTGCTCCACGACTTCAACTTCATGCTGCTGCACTTTTGGCTCGAATGGCTGGACATCAGCCATGGTGGGGTAATTTCTTAGCTAATACGTTAGTTAATCTGTATTCTACATCTTCAACACACATTTTTCCACAAGATAGGTATGTAAAAATAAAATGATAAAATCGAATTTAAATAATTACGAATATTATGGATATATTCTAAATTTATGATTGTGTTAATAATTTTCAGAGTCTTTATTTTATTGACATTCCTTGGCCGTAAATCCTTGATTGCTGGAGCGAATAAATCCTCTGTAATTGATTCAATGGTTCGTACATTGGGAAAACTATTGGTTCCATTATCTAGTGATCAACCTTTTAATGTCGCTCGTCTTGATACAACTCTTATTGGTTGGGTGCTACTATTTCTATCAGTGTGTTTAGATACTACTGCCAATCATGGTAGTGGTTCCGAGGATAATGATAAAAATAAAGATCAAGGTATTTCATGAGAATACAATAAGATCATGCTAACTTATTATGCTTTGAATTGATAACTAATATCAATTTTTTTATTTTTATGTTCAGGCATATCTTCACGTTGGGAATTTTTACAAGGTGAGTCAGCAATGCAGCGAAAATATGTCAATGCCAATCGATCGAGTGATTCAAAAAATTTCCGGCGATCCTTAGTAAAGAGATATATGCATCGAAAACCACAATTACATGAAATTCAACTCGGAAAGAAATTTATTCAAGTTTCATCGGCACCAGTATTTGGAGCATGGGTATCAACACCATCAATGACTTCAGGGTTGTCGAATAAATTAGAAGCTCTCAAAAATCATGAAAAGCATTTGAAGAAAACCCTCAAACAACATTCGGCATTTAGATTTTTTAAAGACATGATGAAACGCAATGATCCTCAACATATACCTTGTGCAAATCGCAGTAGCTGTTCCTCATTACCACCTAAATCAGATCTTCCTGAAATTGATGTTGACGGAATTATTAATTTATCACATCAATATGTGTTGCCTGTTGCACGAGGGCTCATTTCTCTTATTTTAAATAATGCAGCGAATGTAGATATGTTTTTATTGGCGTGTAAGGTAGTTGCTAGATTAGTTGTATCTACAAGACCTGTGATAAGTTTAGGAGAATTAATGACTGAAGAACAACTTTCCAAGTTGATCAAATTGGCAACAGGTAACTCAGATACTGCTTGGACATCTCATGCTATTTCTTGTTTGCTTCAAGATTTACTTGAAGGAGCAAGACTGTTTCCGAAACCTCCGTCAAGTCAAGGTAGTAGCCCATCAGAAGAAAGTTTTGAGACTGCTTCAAATGAAGGCCAGACCAGAAGTAATGATTTGGGAGAAATTTCTGAATCAAGCAGATCAGGATCGAATTTGACCAATGAGGGAATCTTTACTGAAGGCGAAGGAGATGAAGATACACAAAGTAGTATTACAGCAGTGCCACCAACGCCATCGACTTCTAAATCCAATGGATTTGACTTATTACCTTCTTTGTTAGAATCTGATGATAGTGAGTTAGATGATTTCTTGGATGACATTTTAGAAAGAGGTAAAAATATGTTAAAGAAGGGAAATGCTATATCTAAAATACCGCCTCTAGCAAATTCAGGAATATCTTTGGCCTTAGACTCTCGACTCGAGTATGGAGTTGAAATGGGAGTGGAAATAGCTTTGAGACGTTATTCCACCCTTGGAGCCTACAACTTATTATTAAGTATTAATGCTTCAATACAATCACCATCAGAAACGAATCGTTCACAGCAGTCTTCTTCAAGAAACAACACGACTAATACCAGAAATCAAGACATAAGAGTATCAACAGATCCACCACCTTGTAGTTTAACGATGTTGACTCGATGTTTTGATAAAATATTTTCTGATTTGTCTCTTCAGACATGTGGTACAAATTTAGAATTAGTGCTTCAACTATGGTTAACATTAAACTTGGATGCATCAAAAGATTCATCAACTACACCACCTAATCAATTCGATCCATCATTGACGCCAGTTATTCCTTTAAGCTCTACAGCTATTTCTGGACTTATATCAGCACTTCTTTGGCATCCTGGAGTATCATTACGTGCATGGTGTTTAGCTTTGCAAACATTAACCCTTGCCAGTAATGAACCAATGCTTAGTGATTATATGAATCCAAACATAAGTGCACCTTTGGATGGATTACTAGGTGGAATGGCCAGTTGTATAGTTAAAGATCGTAATATGGGTCCAATGCTTTTGAGATTACTCTCTGGAAATGGACTAAATGTTGAATTACGTGACAAGCAATATATGATTGCTGGTCCTAAAGTAGGACTTGCTTTACAAGACTTTTTAGTTCGACTTGAAATGCGCTGTGATGTGATAACACCAGAAAGTGCTCTTGGAAATACCTTAAAAGAATTATTATTATGGGTTGTATATCAATTAGTACAACCAGGAGGTGCTCTTGTTGCTCGTCGTGGTCCTTTAGATGCTCAGTGCATCCTTATTACATCATTAATCAACTTAAACTTTATTAATACAGATTTGGGTACTGCAATGAGCATAACTGAATGTGTTGGTGTATTAGTATCAAGATATGTCCGTTCTACACGTGTTGGTGCTCAATGCCGAGGCAATGAAGACTCAACTAATCATTCAGGTGGATTTGACGGCCTTTTTGCTTGCGTACTTGGTGGTGGTAGTAAACAAGGTCGTCCTACATCTTGGGATGCTCTGGTTGTAGCTTTAGTTAAATTAGTATGTAAACTCGTCCAGACGCCATTACCGAACGCACGGTTACCCCGAACTGACAATTCAGTAGATATGGAAATAGGAGATTTATCTCAAAGATCAGGAATGAGAGATATAGATCAACAAGAAAAGTTAGATATATCTCAAACAGATGAAAGCAAAGTTGCTGAACAACAACAACAGCCATCGATGAGAATGAATCAAGGAGCTACGCCTAAACCTAAATATCCTTGCATGGCAGATACAGTTTTGCAGCATGAACCGACAATGATGAGATTACTTGGAGCTTTAGGATATAGTACAGGTTCATCATTAGCAATGTTGTTTGGAGAAGAGTCCACAACAAGTACTGTATCAGATCTTGGAGATGCAACTTCTATTCCCGATGCTACTTTTATTCTTTTAATGGCTTTAATGAAGAAGGCTACAAGTCCAACTTTAGTGTTAAATCCATTATATCGTTATTTGTCATCATCTGAGGAACAAATAGGTACAGATCGTCATGTTGAAGCAATGCAACTATCAGAGCCACTACTTTGGTACATTTTAAAAGTTTTAGATAACGAATCCTCTTTAGCAATTTTTACGGAAATGGGCGGTGTAAAAGTACTCTGTCAGAATATGGTTAAATCTAGTTGTGAAACCTTTGATAATGGAAATGCTAGCACATCAACGCCTGGTGTTATTGCTCTTGTAATGCAGCATCTTTCAAACGCACCTAATTTGGCAGTTACAGCATCGAGCAGTAAAAAATCAGGATCTATAGAAACCTATGAAAATGGGTTATTGAACTTTGCTCCATTAGGAACCATATCTTGGGTAAAACCAATGGTTGAATCAGCTGATGCATTAATTCAAAATGTTGCTCCTCACAGGAGAGCAAGAACTGCTGCTTGGTCTTATCATTTCTTTCCAGGTGAAGCTTGGGTTGATTTAACGATTACACTTCCTTGTGCTATTCTCTTGAGAGAAGTCGAACTGCATCCTCATCCTGCTGCACTAGTCACTTGTCCATCAGCTGTAGCACTCGAAATTTCCCGAGAGGGTAATTCTGATCTTACACCAGTTTGCCCGCCAATGCTTACGGCAGGATTGATGTCTATTCGGCTTACTTTAGCCCAACCTGAAGTTGCTACATCTGTATTAGTACGTCTGTATAAACCTCGAGATTCTTCAAATTTAAGTTTGAGTCAAATTAGAATATTAGGAACTACAGCCTTTGGAGAAATTAAAACTCGTAATGAAACAATCGATGAAGAGCAACTTACAAAGACAAGTTTAGGATGGCTCAGACTTATTCATCAATGTTTATCCGTGAGTGCATTATCGTCAACATTATCTCGAGAGGTGCTTAACTCTGCAGCATCAGTACCAGGACTGGTTGGAGCCTGCTGTAGTCTTCTTTTGCTTCCAGCTCCTTCACTCTTTACTCCTAATTTAGAGAAAGTTCTTTTACAACTTGGATTACACTCTCGAGAACTAGGACTTCAACTGATTAGTTTATTACTGAATAACAGATGTGCACCATTGTTTCAAGTAACCCCATCATCGCAAAAGACGTCGACGGTACAGTTGGTTGTCGAGCTTCTTCAACAGTTATGTACAGCTCAAGATCCCGGTACTGAAAGTCGAATATTTGCAGTACTCACCTGGCTTCATACGTCTGCTATGACTATAGTCTCAAGAGTTCTACGCAATAATCCAAATGTTGTTAGTCCACCTGCAATTTACATTCACTGTATATCAACAATAATTTGGAAGACACATGAAGTAGATGATCGTGCTTACAATCTGGAAAATATGTTAACAGATGATCTTTTCAATTATCTTTACCAGTGGACTTTGTCATTGAAACCACATTCGGTATTAAAACAAGCAATTGATGCCACTCTATGCGCTTTTTGTTATGTGAAACCATCGCTTTTCCTTACACTTCTTCAGAAAGTTAAAATTCTTGTTCCGAATTTACCTACCGATCAATTTGCATCAGTGTCAGATGATCGTAAAGAAAGTGAAGGACAAACTGATGATAGAAAAAGTGAAGCCGATTCAGAAGAGTGGTATTGTCGTTTACATTTATCGGAAGGTAATCATTTACAGCTAACTGAAGGACAACTATTGACAGTAGCAGCTGCAGCACGATCTCCTCCTGGAATTCAACAACTTATTGATTCGGGACTTCCGGCTCTATTGGTTGCCATTATAACTGACTTTTGCAAGTTAGAGAAGTCAAAGCAACAAAATGGTACATCCGAAGACGACAAGAGCCAGAATATTAATGTGATGAATAGTGGCTTGACTGATAGTGACAAAGCTGAAGAAGCCGCTTACCAAAGTTCTAATAATTCAAGCGGTTTAAATATGATGGAACCGGACAGTATTGCAGCAGTATTGGAGTTTTTGACACTTGTTTGTTCTGAAGGAAAAATGCGTGATTGGCTTGGTCGAGAAGGACGTGGTTTTTGGTTGCCTCTCGCTTCATTACTCAGTAATAGACCTGTTGAAAACCCGTCGATTACATTTGCTAGGTAAATATTTTCTTTAAAAAGCTCTAAGTAATTGTTTAGAACAATTATATAGTCATTATAGTTATTAAATTTCTCTTGGAATTTGAGCGTTTATTTTTTTAAGTAAATGCATTTTTCAGATTAATTTTTTTCCAACTCTTAATTTTATTTATCTGAATATGTCAGCTATGCGTTATCATAATTTTTTTTAGTTTTATAGTATATGAAAAGTTATTTTGACCTATATTTCATTTTTATACTGTTGTTGAAAAACCTTGACACAAAACGTGAAAAATAAAAGGAAGAAATATTTTACTGCAGCTTTTATATAAGAAAAAGAAATGAAAATGTCCGCTTAACTATTTTAATTAGAGTTCCGTAAGCATTAAACTAATGAAAGTTAGAAAGAAATTTAACTTAAACTCAAATATTTTTTATAAGACATTATAATCATGGTAAAGATAATCATTAACAGTTATAAAATAAATATTTAATGAATATCTATGCTGAAGAAACAATATAAAAATACTTAAATATTAAAATGTTGATGAAAAAATATTAAACTTTATTCTGAAGTCATAAATAAGAATACAAAAATGAAATAGCATTATTATTTTTTTTCTCAGAATTAATGTATCTTACACGAAGTTGGAGAGCTCAATGATAAAGTTCCTCTCCAAGTGCTGTTGGTGTCACCCTTATAATCAAAAGTTACTTGCTGAATTGTTGACTGATGTCATCCTCCAACAACGTGTTTCACCCAGTGAGTAGCTTTTAATAATCATCAATAGTTAGATAGTTTTATGAATAAATTTCAGTATAAAATACTTATAATTGTTCTTCGCTTTGATAATAGATGTGAAGTATTTCCATGGAATTTCTGGATTTACTAGACGATTGATTCTTCAATTACTATTGGAAGGAGAGAAAGTATTAGTATCAGTAACCTCTGAAATTCCAATGACAATATCGAATTCAACTACGAATCAATCTGTTCCTTCAATGCCACCACATCCAGCTCATCCTTTGGGACATTACCATCAATTATTGTATATTTCAACACAATCAACAGTAGCAGATATATTACAACAAGTCTCTGGTGAGTAAATTTTATTTCTACAAATGTTGATACTTTTTTAGAATGATCTAACTTGATATTTGTCTTTGTATTGTTTTTCACCCTGAGAATGTGTCCCTAGAGCATTTGTACTTGATATAAATGAAAAAAAAATGTTTAAAGGATCGACAAATTCTTTGTTCTAATCGATTTAAAGACTTTTTGAAATATAAAAAATTACCTCCGTGGTAATACAGGTACTTGGCTTACTTTACTACTATCCAATACCTATAAGGACAATGAAACTAATACAAGTGGAACAAATCGTTCTCGAGAGCTTTGGGAATCGGGTATGGCGTTTGTGGTGGATACCTTGAGCGTAGCAGCAGGAAATACAGCCAAGGATAAAAGAGCTAAGGAAGCTTCAAATAGATCTCAAGCTCGTGGACCCATCATAAGAAAATCCCGTTTAAGCTCGGGTATGACTCCATAATTACGCTCAAATTTTCTCTTATGTATCCCTTATGTTTTTCGTTTACCCTGAGGACAAAATAGTTGTCGGTCTCTTTCCCGATCCCGTTGTTATGTCCGACCTAATTTCTTTACATTTATGTACATCAATTCGTGATTATAATAAATATTAATCAATATTTTAATGAGATGGTTTTTATTTTTTAGATGGGCCATCATCATCTTCTAAGGCTACAAGTACAAGTACTCAAGGAAGTTCAGTAAATTCGTCAACTCAACAGTACTTGACACACTCATCTCGACCGAATGTACCATTACCATCACAATTATGCATCGCTCAACTTCTAGCAATTGCTGAAGACAGTGGATTATCTTTATCAGACCCTTGTCTGCATTTAGTTCTTCGACAACGTAATAAAGATACAAAAGATGATGCAGCTAAATTTGATGACAATGAGTTGTTAAATCATCGTTGTATCGAAAGTGCGCTAGGAGTATTTAGTGCAGGAGGCGGCTTGGCAGTATTGGCGAAGCATCTTCCTCTTATTTATCCTGACTCTGGTCGACCTCCGGCATTTGTTGAAAAATCTCCGTCGCCTGAACAAACTGATACCGAATGGGTAAAAGTTGAAGCTAGTGAAGATATTTATGAAGAATTAGAAGAAGCTGGAAATTCAAATTCTCCTCGTTCAGCTCCTCCGGTTCCTCACGTGCCACTACATTCCTTAGCAGCATTCGGTCTATTTCTCAGACTTCCGGGTTATGCAGAAGTCTTACTAAAAGATAGAAAGCAAGCTCAGTGTCTTTTGAGATTAGCTTTGGGTGTGACAGATGATGGAGAAGGTGGTGACATTCTCAGTTCTTCAATTGCTTCTTCTTTACCAACATTACCATTTCAAGTATTGAAACAATTGTTGGAAGCGACACCACCTACTACAGATGATGGATTATTACTTCGAAGAACAATGGTTGAAGTAGGTGCTGTTCTTTTACTGCTTAATTGTTTGGCAGTGTTCACTCATCAAACTGGACAAAATGAGCCGTCAGATCAAAGAATTGGCCAAACTGGCAACAGAAGTGACGATAAATCTCATTTATATTGGGCAAAAGGAACTGGTTTTGGCACTGGATCAACAATGCAATCTTGGAATGTAGAACAGGCACTTCTTCGACAAAGATTTGAAGAGGAGCATGTGACCATACTCTTACGAGTATTAGCCAGTTATGTAGGTTCAGGAAGTCAGCCTCAACGTGAACTTCCTGCAACATTTGCTGAGCTCATTTCTCGATCGTGCCTTCTCTCAGCATTATCTTCATATTTGAGAAATGATTCTGTTTTAGATATGGCAAGACACATCCCTCTATATCGCGCAGTTCTACAACTATTAAGATCGATGGCTTTATCATCACAGTTAGCTCCACTTTTACTTCCTAGATCAGGAAGATCAACCGATCCTTCTATCGTTTCATTACTATCAAGTATGAGAGTTTGTGTTAATACTTATGTTCATAAGATTAATCGTACACGTGGTAATAAATCTAAAAATTCTACTAAGTATCCTGATGATACTGAACAAGATGAAGGATTGGCAACATTAATACCAGATATTCAAGAGAGTGCAACAATAGTACAGAATGCAACTTCTAGACTGACTGTAGTTGGTGAAGAGCTTGCAGGTCCAAGTCCTACAGCTCCAGAATTACCATTAAAATCTATAGAACAACGATATCTTGAAGTGATGAAGAATCTTCAATTTGATACATATGAAATGATTTCTGAGAATCCAGATGGTGGAGGATATCGATTTGCGGTATCTTATCACTTTGAATCAAATATGAAAGCAGCTGGTGATAGAAGCCATCCAACAAGAGTCAAAAGATTAGCGCAGGAAGCGGTAACACTGTCTACAGCATTACCATTGTCATATAGTAGCAGTGTATTTGTCCGTTGTGATTCTGATCGTCTAGATATTATGAAAGTCTTGATAACTGGACCAGCAGAAACGCCATACGCCAATGGCTGCTTTGAATTTGATGTCTATTTTCCCCCTGACTATCCTAATAGTCCTATGCTGATAAATCTGGAGACAACTGGACGCCATACTGTGCGATTTAATCCTAATTTGTATAATGACGGTAAAGTTTGTCTCAGTGTTCTCAATACTTGGCACGGAAGACCGGAGGAGAAGTGGAACGCTCATACTAGTAGTTTTCTACAGGTAAAGTGTAGAGTTATATGGTTCGATACTTGAACTGTATTAATTAAATTACGTCTAACAAGCTTTTTTTCAACAGGTTTTGGTGTCAATTCAGTCGTTAATATTAGTACCAGAACCTTACTTTAATGAGCCAGGGTACGAGAGGTCGAGAGGTACAACTAGTGGTGCTCAATCTAGTCAAGAGTACAATGCTAATATTTGTCTGGCAACTGTAAAATGGGCAATGCTTAACCAAATTAAAAATCCGTGCCCTTGTTTCAAAGAAGTAAGTATCATTATGCAATACAATTATTAAATAAATGTGCTCTAATAAACTTTATTCGTCATTTCAGGTTATTCACACACATTTCTGGATAAAGAGACATGAAATTGTAGCTCAATTAGAAGGCTGGATTATGGATATGGAAATGCATGGATCTGATAGACGGTCTGCTCGGACTATTTCTTTGAATGCTCTTGCTTTGAGGGTAAGTCATTTTATATATTTCTTTTTGATGTTTAAGTAGTTTAAGAATTGAGAAATATGCAAATAATTTTCTTTTTTAAGTTACGTCTTTTAGTATTTTTCACAAGTATTTCTGAAAGAAAGTAAAAATTCCTTGATGTTTTTATTGACGAATAAAATATTTCATAGTTGATATAATGAATGAATAGGTTTTGCTTTAAATTTTGTTTATTTAATAAATAAATTACTGAGAAATTATACTAATATAATTAAGTATCGTCTATACATTTCGTTCTATACAATACAATCACTTGATATATTTAAAATTTTTGTGAGAAAATACTGTTCTTGCTCTTAATGCAATTGGGTTTAATTATTATCTTGTATCAATTAAATTAGTCAATTTCATCCAATTATATTCAACTGGTCTCAAATTTATTCATTTGATTGATTGCACTTGAAATTGTATTTTCTCAGAGGCACTACAGACTTCTGCGAGAAGCGCTTAATAAACTGCCAACTCCTGAGGGACTTGAAGACCTTGTGGAGCCTTTACAGTCTCCGGGCTCTCCTTTGGAAATGTCAGAAACACCAGGAACTCCGAATACGCCACCCACAAGTACAACGTCAACGGCTATGTCATTGAATAATTCCGTTACCCCATTAACAAATGCAAGTGGCAGTAATCACGTTCATCACGAAATCGATACCGACGTAGAAATGGAAAAGATGGTGTCGAAAGTTTGTGAATAGCTAATGCGTGTATTAATAGAGATTGTTGGACCTTTTGAAAAGTCTATTGACAGTGTTATAAACAATATCATCAATAGTAATGAAATTGAAAAAACAGCGAAACAAAATATCACTACTTGACTACAACTCAATTTACTCGAATTCAATGCCTCCATCGATAAGGAGCACTATTGAGTAATAAGGAGCCACAAAATAAATATTGCAAAATGAATACAATGGTATTAAAAAAATTTTTTTTTACTTATTTCATTTCATAATCGTTCATTTTTATTATCAGCCGCGAGAAAATTAAAAAAAAATTTGGTTTAACTATGACTGAGTGAATAAGGGACTTTTTTTCATAAGTAGGTAGAGAATTGTTTTTACTATTATTAATGTCAAACTTTGTCATCAAGAGAGTACCCGAGGAAACGTATGAATGGGATTGAAAAAAAAAAGAGAATAAAAAAAAATCCACATGTCTGCTACAACTACTATATGTACACTGCTAAACTTTTATTCTGAACTACTTGTAAGTCCCAAGTGTAATAGATATAATATTTATTATACGTGTTCCTCACTTACGTAGTCAACTTCGTGATTGAAAAAAAAAAAAAAATAATAATAAATATATTTAAATGAGTCACGTTTAATAAATGAAGCGGCAACTCCATTGTGTAGCACATAAAAGAAAAAACAAAGATACATTGTAAATAATTTGCCAATAAGTTTACTTAGTATATGACTATTGACGCATATGTGTTTCTATTTTTAAGAGTAACTACATAAAAAAAATAAAACAATACAAACGTTAAAAAAAAAAAAAAAATAAACTCGCTATACCACGAAGAGCCGCGTACGATTCGCAGCTCCATTTCTGAATAATTGAGTCGAAAAGTGCATGAGATCAGGAGAGTGTGTTGATAGTTATTTATAATAAACGAGTATTACCATTTATATTCGTTTACTTTCATTATAAGTTATTATATTATTTAAATAACTATGGTCCTTTTCATTAAATTTGTTTATTTGTCGTCTTAGAGTTTTAAACAAGAATTAACTATTCGTAGTTGGATAAGTCAATCCAAAGCAAATTAGAGAAGAGGATAGACGGCGTCATGGAAACATGTTAGAAGCTTCATCAAAGTTGATGCGAATTCTAAGTAGGAAGTTCACCCAGACCATTATACAGACTCTGGTATTCTCTGGTTCATTTATACTCTTATCTACACTAGGGTGTATTGAGATCTGTGGTCCGTCCATGGCTATATTTTGGCAGAGAAATACGTAGCTATACTATATATATGTATATATATATATATATATATATATGTATACATAGTATACATTGCTACTGAGATCTTGCCCACAGCTACTTAGTGGATCGTTTGCTCCTTCAAATCAATAAGTGTGTTAGTGTTTCAATAGATTATTGTTACAGGTACATTCTCTTGATTATCATGGATATTCTCTCGTTAGAGAACTAATAGAATTCCATCAGTCTACATGTTAACAAAAACCGAAATAGTATAACAATGGAAGGTTGACTCGAATGAATACATCTGTGGACCGTAGTAGCTCTTCAGCTAATGATGCTTGAATTTCTGAATCAAGTTACGTTAAATTAATAGAACATATATATATATCTCATCCATGAGTATCACATCATACTTCTTATAGTTGTAAAATTTAAATTTTTCAAATGAATTTTATATTTTTCATATTTTTAAAACAGTATAGCTTTTAAAACAATAACTCTTTTTTAATATAAGAAAAAAATTTTTTTATTATTATTCTAGATAATACTGAACAACTTTAAAAATTGCTCCTCAATTTGAAAGGATTCGATTCTTAAGCTTTTTCAGAATTATCTAAAGCTTGATACAAATGTAAGATCTTTCCGAGTCTTGTTTCAGAGATAGTAGATATTCTTAAAGGATAAGAATATGTACAGATCAAAAGCTTAAAAAGTCATGGGAAATCTTCTTTCTAGTTTGTTGGATTGAATGATATGAGCTTGACAATATTTTATAAAAATTTACTCTCAAGAATAATTTTCTTACAAGAAATATCATTATAAATTCAAATAATAATTTTTTATATGAATTATAAGTCATATTAATTTTTTTATGGACATAAATTTCTTTTAAATTTAATTGAGCAAATAAAAAGTAATTTTATTGGGAAAATACACAGAAAGCTAAAAATATTTTTAAAAAGAGATTAGTAATTCTTTATTGGGTTAGTTATTCTAAAAGTTGTGTCTTTAAGTAAAAACAATTATTTTTTTTATAGAATAAATTTGAATATTTTTACTGCGTTTATCTTTATTTTTAGGAGATTAGTTAAAGTAGTACCATTGAAAAGTTTTTGTGGAGTTTTCAGACTGTTAATACAGTTTCCATGCTCTGTGCTCTCTTTTAGCTTCCATTTGAAAAACCGTAGTCATGTAGAAAGAAGTGTATTTTAGTGACGTTGCACTTGAAATAAGTGAATCTCAAGAATATTTTTGGTCCACCGGAGAACTCTGTCGTGTTTCTCGAAACGAAAGTTTATGAAATTCTTTCATGCGAATCTCAGAAAATGTATTGGACTCATCTATATTTCTTTGCATTTTTATTCATGTCTTCTATCATTTTTTCTTTGCTTTTTTTTTTTTAACTTTTGAATATTTAGAATAATTTTTATTTATTGAGTAAGGTGTATCAATATGGAATAAGTTTGTAACATAAAATACCATGCAGAAAACTAAAAACTGCACTCTATTTATACATAACAAAATTTTTGTCAAAATTTAATAAACAAAAATAAATAGTACAACTTTAATTAGAACATGTATGGAAATTTTTCTCTACCAATATAAAATCAGTGACAAATATTTTTAATGGAAGTTGAGTTTATTTTTAGTAAAATTTTAAATATTAATTTTTTTTCATTTCATTTTTCGAATTTTATACCATACGAGAGTTAGATATTTTTCCAAAGCGGCCAAGCTTGAATAATCGTGATATGAAAGCTCTCTAAAATTTATTGGAGAATTTTTTCGAAAAGTTGCACTATCTCAGAGAATTCTAGAAATTTCTAGAATAATCTGATGCTCGAAATGGACTTATATTAATCTTTTTTCAAACAATTGTTTTCTGAATATAATACCAAATATAAAGAACGACAGGCAAATAATAGACCTTAAAAGACAAGCAATAATTCTCTATATTTCAAATAAAAAAAACCAAGTAAGCTTTTGATCAACGGTATGTTGATATAAAGGATACTTTATTAAGACAGGTATTGGGTTCATGAACGATTCTGTCTTTCGACATTCACTGAAATAACATTGCGTTTCAGCAGTTCAATGTGTGTATGCTCACAAAATATAAACTCGGTAGGTATTTATTCAGAGAGGAAGTACTTCTGTGGTATTGGATCTACTACTTGCTGGTTTAGAAGGGTAAACAGAAATGGACATGCCTACTACAAAGAGAATAACACCCAATGATTCTGTTTTCTCTTTAGCTTTACCCATTTTTACATATACAAATTTTAGATTTTAACTAATATTAATTTTATTTTATCTCATTTTTATTGGAATGAGTTAGTCACAGGATTTATTTTGATTTAATTTTATAAAGATTAATAAAAAGTAGAAAAAAATTCTCTGTGTTTTCAATATTCATCATTTTGAGAATGTCGGCACAAAATTAGATTTTACTACTGAAAACTATTTTTTATTGGTTTTTTAAATATTTTATTCAACGTTAATATCAATAAATTCATTTATTCATCAAAAATATGAAAAAATCTTATATTTCAAAATTATCTAGAATATTTAAAGAATTTATTTCTCAAAATCAATTCAACTTTATTATTTTTGTAACAAATAAATTGATAAATTTTCGTCTCTAGTATTCACAAAATTTGCGGTGCAATCTTTTTAATATTTTCTGTTAGTTTATGATTATTATTTAAAGTGAATGAAACTTTATAGATATTGTGTTCAATATCTATATAAAAATATATATATTCTCTAAATTTTTATTTATTTGATTACTTGTTTGTATGAGCATCAGCTGAAAATGGCAGAATCGATTTTGATAAAGTGCGGTTTGCTATTTAATGGAACTTTTAAATATAAAACATGTGATATGTAGTATTCAATTCTATTCAGATAATAACATCATGCCAAATGTTGTTCATTGATATTTGTTTGTGTTATATAATTTCTATTGAATTTATATATTCAACACAGTGACATATTAAGAAATGGATTTATCTTTTTTCGATTATTTTTTATAAGAATACACATTAAAAGACAATAAAAAATAATAATAAATCGTTTAAAGGCTTTTAGGTTCAATGCAATTTTAATGAGATTAATATTTAAACTTTTCTTGTGATGCATATTTTGGACTGTCATAAATTAATTTTCATCACGAGTAATAACCTCGCGTGAATGTAAAATTAAATATGAAGTTGAAAAGTTTTGAACTTTGCAAAAATTAAACGTGGATGTGAACTTGGCACCCATTTCAACGAAGTCACCAGCAAAAAGTAGCGTAAAATCATGCAATAATAGTCAACAAGCGACTAATAGCACAAATTTGATGTACTCATTAAAAAATTAAAATTGTAAAAATGAAAAATATCTTTCTTGTATTTTTTACAATTATAAATATATATTATATGTATGTATAAAAATAAATACCCCCTAAAAATTAATATAAATTCTATACAACCACCGGTTTTTTCTTTCAAATATAGATGAGACTGTATGATTAATCGATAAGCAGACGACTATGTTAAAGGTATAAAATTTCAATTTTTTGTTTAGGCTATGATGTTATAATAAATGGAGGTGTCATCATGATTTTGCTTCTATTCATGAAACTAATATATCATAACTTTGACTTGGCGACGTTTAGTTCCGGTTCTTTGGCTTTATAGTTTTTTCCTGGAGGGAAAACAAAGAAAAAAATTAACAATTATATAATTCAAGAGCATGACATGGTGATATTTACTCATTGAATCGTGAATTCATTTATGTAGTTATTTTATTACCTGTCTGAGTTTTTTGAATTTCATGTATCAGTTGCTGTTTTTCTGATCTTAATTTTGCAAGTTCTTCTTTCAGGGCAATATTTTCCTTCTCTAAATTGTACATACCGTACTTGCCATGTTCTACATCACTTTTAAGAGATTCAATATCATGTTTTATTCTAACCAATTCACTTTTTACCGCAAATAATTCTTTCTCTGTTTCGTGTAAATTTCTTTTCAATGTCTTCTCATAATTACTTACTAATTTATTATTTTTCTTCTTTTCCACTTCTTCATTAACTTTTTTTTTTGAATTTTCCATCAATTGATTATTTTCATCTTTAGAAATTTTTTTCTTATCCTTCAGACCGGATGATTGTGAATTTTTATTAATACTTTTTTCATTCTCGACCTTATTTAACTGACTTTTTAAAGTATTTTTCTCAATATTGCTTGTTAAAAGTTCAGCCGTTAATTTTTCATTTTCAGCCTTTGAAATGTTAATTGTGTCCTTCATTTGTTCATTTTCCAATTGTAAAGCTGATATTTTTCGAGTCATCGTCTCAATTTGTGATTTTAAATCTCGTATTTCATTATCAGCGACACTTATTCTGCTCGTTAAGTCGTCTATTTCGATTGAATTTTTTGTAATCGTTTCCTTCAACTTATCGTTATTCGTATTCATTTCTGCTGACAATTCTTGTAAATATAAATATTCTTCTTGCTGTCTTTCCAAGTTTTCATCAGCATTTTTAAGTTTAATACACAAATTATCACGATCATTTACTAATTCATCAATCGTCTTTTTTAATTGCTTTACATCTTCTTCAAGCTTTGTATTTTTCTCAATTTGTTGTTGTAAACTTTCTGCAGTTTGATCTGAATTTTTAAGTAAAAATTCAATCTGCATTTGAAAGTTGTTATTTTTCTCTTTCAACTCATTAATAATTTCTTCACTTTGGCGATTCTTAACGTTCATTTTTTTCAAATCACCTTCCAGTTTATTGGTTCTAAGCTTCATACTTTTAATTCTCATCTGCAGTGATTCTCGTTCTTTAACACCTTCTTCACCTAGTACCACACTCTTCTTCTTGTAAGTCATTCTGGAATTTTTTAATTCACTATTTTCTAATTTTAACTTGGCTATTTCTCTTTGTAAAGTAGCTCGATCTAGTTTAATGTCCTCTAATTCCGCTTCGAGTCGCTCAATTTCTTTAGTAGAACGTTCAAATTGTTTTAAAGCTTCTTTAGCTGTTGTTTGTTCAATAATTAATTGACTTGTTATATCGTTATTACAGTTTTTAAGCATTAATAATTCTGTTTCAAGTTGTTCTTGATTATTATTATTATTCCACTTTTTTTCCAAACGAACTAATTTATCATTTGTTGTTTTCAATTGTTCTTTGGTAACTTCCAGCAATGATTGAAGCCTTTGTACTTCTTCTTCAGTTTGAGTTGCGAAATCTGTTTGTGTAGAATTTAATTTTGTGTTGAACTCACATGCTAATGTTTTTATTTTTTCATCAAGTTTTTTATTTTTCATTAAAGCTATTGTTAACTTTGTTTTTGCGGTTGAAACACTACGTTTCAATGCTCTTTCTTTTAGTAAATTTTTTTTTAATAATATTCGTTTATCATTTTCAAGTTTTTGAATTTGTCCTTTCATTTCTCGTAAATAATAATTTTCATGTAATTTTTCATGCCCTCCACCTTCAAAATTAATATCACGAAGCTCTTGTTCTTCAGTACAACTCATGTATTCTAATTTTTCACTGTCATTATCATCATTATCATCAACTGGTTCATCTGAACGATTACCAAGAATTTCCAAGTCAATATTATTATCATTTTTACGGATTATTTGATTAGTTTCTATTAATTTATTTGATAAACTATTAATAATATCAATTACTTTTGCCAATAAATTACTGAATAATTTGTCTAAAACTGTATCGACTTTAATAAAAGCACTGAGTTCGATTTTAAACTGTTGCAATTTAGTACTCGAATCGTTATTTTCAATTTTCATTCTTAAATTATTGATTTCTCTAATCAATTGTTGTCTCTCTTGTTCAATACGAGCATTGATTTCTACCATTTGATTTTGAACTTTTTCATGAACAGTCAATGAAAATGTTTGTTTCGTATGTAAAAGTGCATCATTTAAATTTTGGATTTGAGTTTTCATTTTTTCATTTATTGACTCCAAACGACGAATTTCTTCAGTCTGATATTTTACAAATGGATCTTGGGATAATAAAATACTCGATGCATCTTTTCCTACGCTGTGAAGAGCCACTTGCAGTTTGTAAATATCACTCTGTAAAGTAGCACGTTCATGAGTCCATTTTTTCATCGCATTTATTGTGCTATTTAATCTCTTCAAAGAGACCATTGCTGCTTCAACAAGATTCCCCTTATCCAAGTCGAGATCGGACTCTTCCAGCTCCATAATAAATTTTCACTTGTTAATCTTTGCATAATCGTTAACAAAAAATTGTTACGAAACTAATTTTTAATTACTTATTCTGAAATTTAATAATTTTTTAAGATGTCTCTTTCACTGCCACATTGTTATTTTATCAACAAATTATAAGGTTAAACTGTCTTGAATGATTAGTGATGACAATTGAAGAAATTTCATGAGGTATTATGTAACCTAAAAATAAAGGAAATTTTCTAGTTTTATCTTAAAAACAGCATGACTTAAATTACTCGTTATTTTTATTAAATTAACATGTAACATATTACAAATTATGGAGGAAAGTATGATAAAATGTTTTTGTAAATGTATTGATGAATTTCCGGAAATCTGTTTTAATTCTGCAATAATACCTTTGAAACTTTCAAAAACTTCATCATGTGAATGTGATGACACAAATGGTAATGAAATCTATTATCATCGTAGATTATTTATAATTGCCAAGTATCAAGAAATAAGGGTGTATATAAAAAAATTACGTATAGAACGACATCGATTAAAAATTGAGAATGAGAGATTAAAATCTGTATTAAAAAAACTAGGTAATATTTTTTTCATTATTGAATTAAATTCTGTATTTAAATAATTATTGTGACATTTTTCTACATAGGAATAAATTTAAACGATGTATTGCTTACTGATCGAGTCATAAATTATGGTTGTCGAAAAAATAGTAATCGATTAGAACAAAACGAAGGAAAAATTAACAAACAGATCAAAGATCTGGAAGATAAATTAGAGAAATGTGATACGTATGAGCGTATTGAAAAGTAAGAAAATATCGCGTAAAAAAAAATAATAAATTAGTCTTTTAAACTTAATATGTACTTTGATTTATTTGAAAATTAAGGGATATCGGAGACGATCAGAGAACTGAGTTCACTGAGGTTGAAAACAAATCATCATATGCGGGTGTGAATCGTTTGAGAGCACAGATAAGAGAACTGAAAAAAAATGAAAAAGCAGTTGCGGATCAAAATCATCCGGTGACAATTGCACAGAGGCCAATTGAAACAGGAACTATACTTTCAAAGACTGACGATAATTCTGGGATAGAAAAAGAAGCTGTACATCATTCCTTGATTGCTACAAAGAGTAGCAAAGAATTCACTCAAGAATTGGTTGTAGAAGGAAAAAAACTACTAAAACCTGAACTAATAACCGAGGAGTTACAAGAAAATTTGAAAGCAACAAGACATGAAAAGAAGAAAGAAAATATTGAGAATATAACAAGTCTAACAAACTGTCGAGAAGAATTGGCCAAATTACCGAGCGATAATTTAAAGCTTGAGGATGATCTTCAAAGACTTAAAAAACAGAATGTAGCCTATGAAGACGAATTATTTAGTCTTTCTAGACAGACAGAATTGATAGGTACTCCACAAAAGACCGTTCAATTGAGTGAGAAAGATTCAACATCACAACAATTTCATCAGCAAGATACTGAACAAGAGAATATTAAACTAAAACAGCAGTTAGAAAAGTTCCAAAAAAAAATATTTGAGTTGAATGCAGAGAATTTACAGTTGAAAAATGATCTTAAGAATTTAAGAGAAAACAATGGAAATGTGGAAGGGAAATTAAATTTACTTGAAGCTGTAAGTGGTGAAGAAGATAGTTTCAAGTTTAAGTTTGAAAAGTGTCTAGAGGAAGTGAATAAATTAAAAGTCGAAAAATTAAAGTTGACGAATGATTTTGAAGATTTACAAAAATTGACTGGGGTAAAAAAAAATTTCAAAAGTCCAGAAGTAACATCTGGTGATGAAGAAATTAAACAACTTAGATTAGATCTAGAAAATTGTCAAAGAGAAGTTCATCAACTGAGAAGTGAAAATTCAAATTTGAATGATAGTCTTCGAAATCTGATACAGGAGAAAAAAAACATAGAAAATATAATTAATTTTCCAGAAAATTTAAGTGACATTTCAGAAGAAAGATCTGATATGTATGGTGAGATAGAACATATATTAGCTGATGATAATGATGAAATGGAATATCGATTTGATCAACTTAAAAAAACAAACGAGAGTTTGAATAAGGAAGTAGATGAATGGAAAGAGAAATACAACAAATTGAGTGAAGACATGGATATAAAATTGAATGCTTCGGAAGCCTTAATTAGAAAGTTAAGAAGGCAGTCAGAATTATCTGAAGAATCAGAAAAATTATTGGGTCTAGAACGTGCAAACATTGATGACAATTTAAATCAATTGATTACAGAAAATAAAAAATTACAAGGAGAAAATGATGAGTGGAAAAGGAAATATAAAAATTTAGATGAAGAATTGAAGGAACTGGAAAAAACTTATCGAGATAACGAAACAGAAAATAAGAATAATTTAGAAGCTTTGAAAATTTTGGAAACCAAGTATAAAAACTTAGAAGAAGAATTAGTAAGAAAGAAAAGGGAAAGTTCTATGCTTGAAACTGAAAGGAATAAATATTCAGACGAGAAGAATGAATTATTGGAGAAAGAGAAAAAAGAAAAGAGTACAAGTGATAATTTAAAAGAATATTCAATGACACTTGAAGGACAATTACAAAAATTAAAGGAACATGGAGAATCTCTACAGAATGAGCTTGAACAAATGAGTAAATCCTTGGAAAGTACTACAACAAATGAAGAAATATTGAAGGAGAAGCTTGAAGAATCAATGTTGAATAATAAAAATTTAGAAGAGTCCTTAATACAACGAGAAAAAGAATTAAAAAGTATTAAAGATGATATTGATAAGATGAAATTAGTTAATGAAGAATTGAAAGAAAAATTAAAACGAGCTCACATCGAAAAGGATTCATTGCAAAAAATGCTCCACGATGTACAAAAAGATTATGATGAAACCAAGGAATCATCAGAAAGTATATCATTCGAATGTGTAAATTTAAAGAAGGAAAAAAATGAATTGAACTCAAAAATTAACGAATTACAAGCAGATTTGCAAGATTCCTATGATAGAATAAAAGAGCTCAGTAGTAAATTAGATGAAGAAATAAAAAAAGTGAAGGGATTGACGCAAGATATTAGTGACGCTAAAGATCAAGTAAAATTAATGGAAAGTAAATATTCCGACTGGGAAAACTTGAAAAAGCAGTTGGAGAACGATCTGGATTTAGTTAAAAAAGAAGAAGAAAATACGAGAAATCAATTATCTTCTGAAAAAGAAGCAAAAGAAGCAGTCCAAAACGAATTGTTAACACTAAAGAAAGATCTAAAGGATTTAATTTCCGAATTAGACAATATGAAATTAGATAATGATAGGCTAAACAAAGAACGAGATGATTTGAAGCAACAATTAATAAGTAAAGAAGATCATTTGTTTAACATTGAAGCTGAAAATAATGATTTGAGGACAAAGAAAGAAGATTATGAGCAACAATATATTGTATTAAATTCAGACAATACAAGTTTAAGACAAAAAATTGGTGATTTAGAAGGAGAATTAGAAAGTTGCAGATCAGAAATTTCTCAAAGGAATCAGGAAATAAATAAATTAAGTTCAGAATTAAAAACTGAAGTGAATAAAGTTGATAAATTAGAAAATGAATTGTTAAAATATCAAAATATTGAAAATAAATTAAATGATGTAGAGAAAACATTGACTGATGTAACTCGTGTTAAAGATGATGCTTTAATGGAAATTAACGAATTGCATGAAGAGTTAAAATTGTTAAAAAAAGAGTTAACTAAATGTCGTGACCAGAATGAAAAATTACAAGAAGAGATAGAAGATTCAAAGAAGCAACAGTCGATTCTCAGAAAAAATTCTAATGATTTAAAGGAAGAAATTTCGGCTCTAAAAAGTGCTCGAGAAAAACTTCAAAATGATTATAATGAATCCTTAAATAAGTCTTTAGGTTTTGAAGATAATCTTCAGAAGCTGATGAATGAAGTGATGACATTAAAAAAAGAAAATGATAATTTAAAAATTGAGAGTACAGATGCTCAGAAAAATGTCGAAGAATTAAACAAGACAAATACAAATCTCTTGTCAGATTTAGAAGGAGCTAAGACTGATCTTAATGCATGTCATATTTTGAATGAACAATTGAAGCACAAATTAGAGAAGCTTGAAGGAGAATGTAGTGATAGTAAAGCTAAGATTGATGCTTTAAAAGAAGACTTACAAACATCAAGAATAAGTCTTTCCAAAGAAAAAACGCAAGTAAATACTTTAGAATCGAGCTTAGCAGATTTGAGGATAGAGAAAGCGAGTTTAGTAGACGAATTGAATCGCTTGAGAATCAAAATTGAGACATTGCAAAAAAATCTTGTAAGTAAAGAAAATCAATTGACGGCAGCGAAAGCTGATCTAGTTGAGTTTAATGCTCTTAAAGATGAATTGAATAAATGTCGTCAGCATCGAGATGAACTTCTCAGTAAATCTGATACCATGAAAAAACAAATGGAGACATTAAAGGAAGGTGGTAAAAGGGTCAGTGATGAGCTGGATGCTGTAAAACCAGAACTATACGTTTTGAAGACGGAAAAAGAGGAGTTGAATTCACAAATAAAAACCTTGGAAATGGAGTTGAAAGATTTGAAGATTGAGAGTGAAAAGAAAAAAGCGTTGGAGAAGGTTAAAGAAGAATTAGAAAAACGTTTAATGGATTCAGAAACAGCGCGTAATAAATTAAAGAAAGAAATAGAAAATTTAAGACAAAATTTAAATGTAGCTAAAGAGAATGCTGCAATGAAAGATGCAATACAAGAGGAACTAGATGCTTTAAAGGGAACACTGGCAAATTTGAGGCAAAGTATTGAAATACGTGATATTGAAAATGATAAACTCAAGACAGAACTCGGAGAAGCAAAAAGCGAAGTTGATAAACTAAAACTTGAGTCAAATGAAATACAAAATAAAAATAAAAATCTTGATGCTCAAGTAAAGAATTTAAATAATGAGATAACTCGTTTGGATAATGAAGTAAATCAGTTGAATAATCAAAAAGGTCAGTTGGAGAAAAACATTGGAAAAAAATCATCTGAAGTAGAACAGATGAAGGAAAGATTGAAAAGTGTGTCATTAGAACGTGATAGCTTAAAGGTTGATGCTGAAAAGATGAAGCTTGATCGGGACAAACTCTCTCATGATTTGGATGAAAAAGAGAAAAGAATGAATGATGTTTCAAAAGGTATGGATAAGTGGATGGTTGAGACAGAAAAATTGGAGATGGAAAATAACAGATTAAGAAGAGAATTAGATGAGTTAAAGAACAATTCAATTGATATGAAAGTAGATATGGGCGATGAAATTAAAATTGCAAAAGTGTCAGAGGATTTAAGTAATCTACGGCAAGAATTACAACGAGTCAAAAGGGAAAATGATGAATTAAAGATTAATTGGGAAAAATCAAAGCGTGATCTTGATAAATGTGAACAAGAAAATGAGAAGTTGAAAAGTGAACTTGGAGGAATAATGAAGAGTGTAAGTGAAACAAAGGATGGCATTCAAAGAGCTCCTGTTGTACCAAGTAAAGATGAAAATGACGAATCCAAAGAACTGCTGCAGTCTAAAGATTCAGAAATACTGAAAATGGAAATAGAACGACTACAGACGAAAAATAATGTGCTGGAAAATAGTTTGAATGACTTGAAAAATGTTCTTATAAATTATAAAACTGAAAATAATATTCTGAAGTCGGGTATTGATGAAACATCAAAGTTAAATGAGATTCTTACCGAAATGGAATCATTAAGAATGAGAGTTCGAGATTTAGAAAAAGAGAATAAAAAATTAATTGATATCAAGAAAGAGCTAGAGAAAAACTTAGATATAAAAAATACTGATATTCAAGGTATTAATTTATTACGAGAAAACTTACAAAAAGATGTAAATTTATCACCAAAATTACAATCTGAAGATCTAAAGAAGTGCAAAGATGAAATTAAACGACTTAAAAACGAATTGAATACGGCAAAGTTTGAGAATAAAATTTTAAAAAGTAGTGAAGATGATACTTCGGAAATGAATAAATTATTAAATGAATTAAATAAGTGGAGAGAAAATTCGGACATATTAGAAGAAGAAAATAAATTATTAAAAAGTCGTATTAATAGTGTTGAAGATGTAGTCCTTATTGATCGACCATCTAATGACTTAATAAAAGCCATTGATTTTCTTGGCTTACAAATGGAAAGACAGACGGAAGGTAAGAATTCACTTGATAAAATTTACAAGCATAATTGAATCTATCTATAATTCTATCAATGACCAGCAATTGAATTTCTTATCATTGAATAATTATAAGATATATTAGTGCCAAGACTTGTATAATATTTTTCCCTATTGAATTATTTATAAGAGCTTTAAAAAATTAAATTTATTTAACAGGTATTTATCGTATTCGTGAGAATATGGGTCATCTGAAGAATACAGTTTGGCACAGGTTTCCGGAGCCGTTGAGGTCAGATGAAGAAACTGTATTTAATTCACAGGATCCCTTGCTGAGAAATATTTTCCAACAATCTAAAAATCTTTCTACTAATGTTACAAGCGCTGAAAAAGAGTTGGTGGATCTTGGAAAGGTGTGGAAAAGTTGTTGGGAAGAGAATCAGAAACTAAGAAAGTTAGTCGAGGTAATTTAGCGGGTGTTTATCTCACTTCCTAGAAAACTTGTGGCTGTAATGAAATGAGTTGTTGAATTTCTCTGTAGGACCTGGGTGCCGCCAATGTTCTCGACACGACAAAGTTGCCTGGAGAGAATATAGAAGGTGTTTTTGACCCCAAGAGTTGGTTGGAAGTAAGACATCTCTTTTATTTTTCGTATTTATTTGCTTTGTTTTTAGTCATCGTTTTGATAAAAATTATTTTTATAGTCATTAACGTTTACCGAGTTGGCTGATCTTCATGATCAAATTTGTGGTATAACATCTAGCTTTGTTACTGAAGACGATGGTCCTGACACACTTCAAGAATCTTATGAATTTTCAATTCCTAAAAGAGATGATGATTATCTTCAACGAAACTACAATATGCTTAATAAAAGGATAGCTGCTCTACAAAGACAAATTTCTGAGAAACAGACAGACACAGGAACAAAAATGATGAAGCTTCGGAGAACGCTACAGAGAACACAAACAGAGTTTATGAAAATTTCTGGTCTTATGAATCAAGAAGAGTGTCGTAATTCTGAGCTTTATCGTATTATGGAAGAATCACCTTGCTGGGTGAATAAATGTACAGCTAAATGTGCGGAATATATTGAATTTATTCCTAAAGTAATATATTGCAAAAAAAATGAAATTTAATACTTCACTATTTTCTAATTTATTTATTTACATTTTTATTATTTTCTTTTAATTTATTATTATTTTAATATAAAAAAAAAATCACTCGGAAGTAATGTCAGGTCTGAGAAAACCATATGTAAGCATTGTAACCAAAATCGTGAGAAGTAAAACAAACTGGAAATATATTTCCGGTTAAATTATTTGTCGTAGCTGCACATTATCATAATGATTATTTACAACAGAGTTTACAACTAGTTATTATTATTAGATATATTGATAACTGATACAACATCCTATTGTTTTTTTATCCCACGAGTTAGTATATAAAATTTATCCAAAAAATTTTTCAACTCATTTGAAGTATTCCAAGTTAAATAGTAATAAGTTATTGCTGTTTTAAAGAATTCAGTAACAAATTTTTATAATATGCGCAATTTGATATTCATTGTTGTTGGACTTTGGCTTGTTCATTTATGTTGTGTTCAGGTATTTATTCCACAATTGTCTACTCTATTGTATGTACTGAATAACTAGCATTTCAAATATCCTATTACAGCAGAAAGTGAATACACATATTTTTTAATTTGTTTGATAGATCAATGATAAATGAAAAACATCAATATTAAATACAATATAAAAAATGAATATATTTTGCATTAAAATTCTGTCATTACTATAAAAAATTGTAATTAAAAATCATAATTAAGAGTTTAGGAAAACAAATGTTTCATCATAATTAATATGCTTGAGCTTCTGATATGACAGAATCACATATTAAATAAATATTTATTTTATTCTATTAGTATGAGGAAGTGCAATTTATATAATTTAAATTAATTAAAAAAACTAAGATAAGCTAGAATAAATGAGAATTCCCTCATTAATGAAGAAAAATCGGTGTTTATATTTTTATCTTACTTGAATTCATTTTGTTTTTTCCATGATATCAACTATTTTTCTTTGTCTTATGAATATAATTATTTATTCTCATTTAGTCGTTAGTACACGGTCAGCATTAATTTTTAACTTAATATTAAGTTTCTTGATCTACTCCAATTTCAATCTGAGCTTCTCTGGTTATTTTTTAAAATTTTTTTTAGGCAGAACTAAATATTGTACTCCTAGATATAGATGCACCTGTTCAAAATCCGGAATATATTACTGATTTTGAAGGATACATGTCTGATGATGAAGACCCACAAGTTATTTGTAATTTTACGATTATAAAAGAATTGCCACAAGGATGTAAGGTAAATGTTTGATAGGAAATAATTTTAAACTAATCTATTAAAGATGAGGAACTTTTTAAGATGAAAAATTAAAATTTAGGGGCATTTAATTTTGAAAGGAGCATCAATGGGAGAGTTTGTTATTTCTACAGGTATAGATTACGAGATGGACTTTTGCGAAATGTTTGATGAACCAATTATAATGGGTCGACTTCTTAGAATGCTTGGATTTAAGAAAGAAAATTGTCCCCCTATACCGGTACAAATTGTTCGTGAGTAAGTTATTGATAAGAACTCTTTCATTTTCATTCATGTTTTTCAGGGAGTCTATGGAAGTGAAGGTTTTCAATTGGATACAGACACTCTGCCAGATGAATTTCCCTCAAATAATTACCTTGCGATATTCGAAATTGTTGACGAAAACGATGAAGAACTTATGGTGATGCACTTGTACCTTCGAATATATTAAAATTTAATTCAATGATGCTCTTTATATGTTTTCCTGAAATAAATTATATTATGTATTGATAAGAATTCAGTTAATATATTTCGACAAGTGGTATCGTGATGAAACTATTGACGAAATTTAATTATTAATTAATCAGTAATAATAGATTACATCAATACTATTAATTATACAGTATTTATTTAACAATTAATTTTTAAAAAATAATAACATGAAATTGCTTATAATAAATGGTAAATTTTTTTTTATTAAATAAGTTGTAAATAAACTATTTGAAGACAAATGATGTATTTAATAAAAAATTCTATTTAAAATAATTTTAAACAAAAAACAATTTATGTCCTTAAAAAATTTTAAATCTATTCTTTGATAGATTTTTCTCTTAAAAAAAGGAATGTTAGATAACAATAATTATTTTCTATAAACAAAGAGAATGAATATAAAATTTATCAGCGAAAAAAATCTGCATTTAAAACTGATGAAAAAAATTCCAGTATTAAATTGATTTTTTCCATTAAACAAATAATTTTTTTTTTATATATAAAACCGTGGGAGCTAATTCATTACAGGATGTTCTGTGACAACTACTAGATATAGCCTGGATAAGATGAAAAAAATCAAAAGTAAAAAATTCCATTGTAAATATTGCATGTAGAGGAAAATATTAAATGTCTAAAGTCAAATTATGATCAACGATGAATTAATTCATTAGGATTTCCTGTTCTTTTCGTGATCGGCAAATTGGTTATTCTAGATTATTCACTGATAAGTTAAAATTATTTTGCACACTCATAAAAATTGCTGCACACTGTGTTTTTTAAAATTAATATATAATAGAACTACCGACAACTCTTACCATTTTCTTCAAATCATCCAAGTAGAATAAAATTGAATATATTCTTCACAATATAGAAGTAGATGAAAATGCAAATATTTTTATTACTTATTGGTGGAATTTTATTCAGCGAATTTTGCAATGTTAAGGTATTCACAAGTGGATTGAAAAAAACAACAAAAATATTTATGGATTTTGTTAAACATTTTTAGGGGGAACTTAGTTTATTTTTCCAAGACTTATTTCCAGGTAAAATAAATTCAGAATATGTTACTGATTTTGAAGGATTCGTTCATGATAATGAAGAAGATGGTTTATTTGTTAATTTCACAATTGTTAAACAATTTCCTGCTGGTTCAAAGGTAATGAATTTATATTCATATTGACAAGCATCATGAGATTTTAATTAATGAACTATCGATTTTAGGGACGTTTCCTTCTGAAAGCAGCATCAATGGGTGAATATGTTGTAGCAACTGGTATTGATTACACGATGGATTTATGTGAAATGATAGAAGAACCAATCATTATGGGTCGTACTTTACGTTGTTTTGGATTCCGTGAAGATGATTGTCCACCTTCACCAGTAAAATATTTCAAGATTTATTTTTTATGGCAACGTATTTATGATTAATTCATAAGTATATACTTTCTTGTGATTTCCAGGGAGTTTATGGGACTGAAAGTTATATCTTAGACTTATCAACACTTCCTGATGAGTTTCCATCAAACAATTATATGCTGTATTTCTATATTATACAAGAAGATGGTGAAATTATTTTATCAATTCACGTTCAAGTGCGAGTCTTTTGAAATCAACAATGAATTTTGTTTTTAAAAAAGGTCCAAAAACATTATTATTACATGCTGCAAGAAAATTCTATATTTAGATGGATCGTGTAAGGTGACAGAGTAACGGAAGTGATTAAGTGATAAATCAATTGATTAAGATTAGGGAAGTTGAGTCATCAAAGCTATGTAAATATTTTATTAGATCTTGTCACGAATCCGAATAAAATATTTTCAAACAGTTTCAGAAAAGATATTATTGTGTTCAGACCAACTTTTGCAGACTTTAAAAAGTTTTTCATTATTCTCAGAACAGTTGGAATAATTCTTTTTGTTGGATTTAGTCTCATGCCTCATCTACAAGGATATTTAGTGATAATGAGTAAGAAGCTTTAACGTTGTTTCCTATAATTTAACAAGTCGACTGCCAGTTAGACTGAAGAAAGGTCTGCCTTAAGGGTTGTTTCAAAATACTTTATTAAAAATGTGTATTTTGGTATGAGAAATTTTCCTTCTCTGCTTCAAACGTACTTTAAATGTTTTCTACTAGCGAAAACAATATGCGTAATGAAATTAATGGAATAACGATCTATTGGCGAAAGACTGTAAAATATAAAAATGTGCATAACTTCTGTGGTAATGATGCTAGGTGGTTGATCTAGGGCTCAAATAAAAAATCTAGACGAAAGGAAGAAAGTCAATATAGTGAAAGTCATAATTAGAAAATAATTTTTGCAAAAATTAAAGCGAGTTCCCATTTTACCCCATTTTAGGGGTGAAATAATTAATTTTTCATATGTTTGACTTGATTCCGCATTTCCACACATCAAGAGGAAGAGAATGAGAGGTCAAACTTGGAAATCGGACAACTTTGATTTTTCGACCCTAAAAAATGGCAAGTGGTACCCCTTTCCATTTTTTTTGGCCAAAAAATAAAGGTACTCCGATTTTGATGATTGAGGGCTCATTCTCTTCGTCTTAATGCGTAGAAATGCGGAATCGGGGCACCGGTCAAGAAAATTCACTTTAACACCCTTAAAAACGGGTTACACTAAATACAAATTACGAATTATCATCCCCTTGACTTTAAACCCTTATAACTCATGAACGGACGGTCCAATAACCGTTTTTAGGGACGTTTTAGAAACTTAGAAATTTAAGCTAAACATGAATATCCATGGAAAGTGTTTAAAAAATTTCTTTCACCCTTAAAATTGCTAAAATATGAAAAAAAATCACATTTTTTTTGGAAGTTGCCAACTATTTTAGCAATTTTAAGGGTGAAAGAAATTTTTTAAACACTTTCCATGGATATTCATGTTTAGCTTAAATTTCTAAGTTTCTAAAACGTCCCTAAAAACGGTTATTGGACCGTCCGTTCATGAGTTATAAGGGTTTAAAGTCAAGGGGATGATAATTCGTAATTTGTATTTAGTGTAACCCGTTTTTAAGGGTGTTAAAGTGAATTTTCTTGACCGGTGCCCCGATTCCGCATTTCTACGCATTAAGACGAAGAGAATGAGCCCTCAATCATCAAAATCGGAGTACCTTTATTTTTTGGCCAAAAAAAATGGAAAGGGGTACCACTTGCCATTTTTTGGGGTCGAAAAATCAAAGTTGTCCGATTTCCAAGTTTGACCTCTCATTCTCTTCGTCTTGATGCGTGGAAATGCGGAATCAAGTCAAACATATGAAAAATTAATTATTTCACCCCTAAAATGGGGTAAAATAGGAACTTGCTTTAATTTTTGCAAAAATTATTCTCTAATTATGATTTTCACTATAACGACTTTCTTCCTTTCGTCTAGATCTTTCATTTGAGTCCTCGATCAACCTCCTAGCATCATTACCACAAAAGTTATGCACATTTTCATATTTTACAATTTTTCGCCAATAGATCATTATTCCATTAATTTCATTACGCATATTGTTTTCCCTAGTAGAAAACATTTAAAGTACGTTTGAAGCAGAGAGGAAAAACCTTCAAAAATACAAAAAATTTTGTTTCCCAAATGTTTCCCATAACCCCACAAGGGGAACGTCGGGTAACTCCCCCACTGGAGAACGTTCTAGGAACCTTTGAAGAACAAATTTTTCTATACGAGTTTATGACATAGTTTAATGTGCAGTACAAATTCAATTATAATAATCCTGAAATCGGGAAAAAGATGTTAATGTGGTAATCAAACTTTATTTAATATTTTTACTTTTGAAAAATGGTTGATTTCAATAATTTAGAACAGAAAAAGTTAAGTATAGTTAGTAAAAGTTGGAAATTTCCTCAAGTGATAAAGGAACATTTAATGCTGTACTAGATAGTAGTTCCTAAATTGGACATATGCAATAAATTAAGTTATAAAATGTTTTACTACATTAGCCTCATCTAATTTGCTAGTCAGAAAATTTCCAGTCTAGTTTCAAGGGAATTGACAACTGTTAATATATAATATGAGATATTCTTGTTCTTTACATTTAGACATTTATTTTTTCGTTAATTGACAGCAAGATAATTAATGAATAAAATGAAGGAAAAATCTAGCAGAAAATTTTTAATGTTTCATCATGAAGAATCGTTATATTTATTTCTTATAAATAAATCATTTTTACAAAGCAGTTTACCATTTAAAATACGGATGTGTCAGAAATTTAAACGTTTATTTTTGGCCATAAAGAAAGTAATTTGTGAAGAGACTACAAAGTGTGATTTATAGATTTAGTGGACTGCTAGATTGTGCTGGAACGACGTCTTGGCATCAAAATTTAACATAATAATGAATAAACATGAAAACGTTTAAAGGACAAAATATACTGTATGTGCTGGTGGTGCTAGAATACAGCATTGGATATTGCGTGATGGGAGAGCTAGCTTTTGGCAAAGAACAAATTTTATCTTGTTGTAAATTCAATGAATTAAAATCGATGAAAACTTTTTATACTAAAGTACGAAGGTAAGTTTAAAGAAAAAGCATTGTTGCTTCCTCTAAGGCTGAAGAGTATAGAAATTCAAGTATCAAGGAAGGACTGTAGTTGTAGTGAAAAATCAATTGAAAACTTTAAATTTTTAGAAAGCAGTTTCTCGTGTACTAAATAAAATAAAGAATCAATAAATACTGACAGTACGTAAATGAATTTTGAGATTGACAGGTTGGAAAAAAAAATGAAATAAATATTGACAGAATAAAAAATGATTAAAGAAAAATAAAAATAAAAAAATTTCTAAAAGTAGTAGACTATTGAAAAAATCTTAACAAGAAGTTCAAATTTAATTAAAGACAATATTTATTTAATATAAATCCTTGATAATAATCAGTTAAATATAGATTCGTGTCGATAAATTTAACAATTTATCAAAATGAATAGAATTTATTAAAATAGTTCTCTTCAATTTCGAGAAAATTATTATATTTTGAAGTTTCAGATGATAAAAAACATCCAAAGAAGTTTGAACAAATACTGTAATCGTCTTAAGCTTAACTATAAAAGGAAAGGAATGACAATAAATCAATGATATCTCCTGAGAGACGCCTGATATGATTATAAAAATACGATTTAACTATTAAATCATGAGATTTGATCTATGACATGACAGTAAATTATTCAAACAATTGAAGTTGTGATGCGTGAGACAATAATGAGGAAATAACAACGTTTTAATTGTATTTGTAATTATGTATCCAATATTCTCACAGGATATCACATATTATGTATTAATATCTTGAGGGATAATTAACAGTGATATTTAACTGGAATGAACAAAAACTTCAATTAATTAGTTTATTTCTAATTAATGACATGTAAAGTTAATTATTGACTATTTAAACATGGTGTTGTATAAAATCTTTATTGTATTCATCAAAATAAGTCAAACAATGTAAAAAAAAATTCCTTAGATGTGAAAGGAATTTTTTAAAGACATTCTGACATGTTTGAAGTATTTTTTTACGTCTCATTAGCTATTTAATGATCATATATCAACATTTATTTTAGGAAAGAGTATTTTTTACTAGTTTTTAGTAGACAATATTTACCGTAACAAGTTTATGTAGCAAGTTAAAGGTTTTACTAATCTAGTATTATTAATTCTCTTTGTACACCATGTTCTGTTACTTAGCCTTTGTAATCGTAAATTTATCGAAAATCCTGCTATATTTTTCACTAAATACAAAGTTCTACAAATAATTAACAGATTTGATTGTTAAAAAAATATTTAAGAATTCCTCTAAAACTTAATTAATTATTTTTCAATGAATTTTTGTGAAATTATTGCATAAAATCTTTTTAATGAATAAAAAGTATTTTTTACTAAGTTATAGAGTTATCAATTTTGCCTATTTTCACTAATGAATTTCTCCTGGATAATTAATCATAAATAGATATTGATGAGATATGAAACATGTGATCGAGTGAAATTTTAATAAATTCCCCTTAATTATTTAATACTGTTGGAGGGGAATAAATGACCAGTCTTATGGTAGAGTAGATTAAATAGGATTAAAGATAATAAATCAAACAGGATTTGTTTCATTCATTTTCGTGAAGTACACAATTATTAATGATATCTCTCTAATTTAATGCTATAAATACCACCATTTTTAGGTATTCAGATTATTTGTATTTCATTAAATAGTTTAAATTATTTTTTTGACTTACAATTAATATGAAAGTACTTAAGAACATTGTGACAGAACAGCAATAGTTATTTCTTGAGAACATTCTTTAAGTTGATGTAGCTTATCTATCTTATCTCTAGAGCCATTGGGATAAATGTCTCAATTAGCAACCCCATGAGATTTTGATCTATCGTAGATATCATGAAGACTATCAAGAAGTTAATTGCAATAAATTATGAATTTATTATAAATGAGTTTAATTTATATAAAACATCAAGTTATTTTATTTGATATTTTATAAAATAAAAGTTTGCAAGAACTTTTGAAATTCTCATTTATTGTTAGTAAATTGAATTTATTGTGAGAGCTTTAGAGAAAAAAAAAAAAAAATGGTATTTTTTTTATTTGAAAAAATCGTAAAAGTGTTACAAAGTTTTCACAACAAAATGATTGATAAAGATTCATTTTCAACGCTAACAAGGATTTACAAGATCTTATTATAGACTTATAACAAATCATGGTGAGAAAAGAAGGTAACAAAAAATAATGGAAAATGAAAGAGTGTGCGAATTTTATATAGGGCAATGGTAGAAATTTTTTTCTTCAGTTGGTCGGTGTTTTATATCATCGAAAGAATTCGGTGGAACTGGATGAGGGAAATGCTATCGAGTCTCTAGGATACGCACGAATAGGGGTGAATAAAGAAGGGGTCGTGGGATATCACGGGTATCCGAGGAATATCAGCGACGGCGCATCGAACACGATTGTGGCGCTACTGAGACTCACATCTTCTGTTCATACGTCAGTAGACTTGCCGCAACGCAGTAGCAAGTGTGCTTCTCTTTTTCATCCCCTTGTTTCGCGCTACTCTCACAACTCGAATTATTCAAATGGAATTTCACGGTGTTTAACGAATAAATTTTGCAGTAAAATAAACATGTAAAACCCTCATTTGAATTGCGTTTGAGAGAAAGATGAAAAAATGTGAACATGTTATGTTAGAAAAATGGCATTGGTGGATAATTAAGTGAGTTGATAATTATTTCTTAATGTTTGTGAATGTTTATTGAAATAAATGCAACCTAAGGAACGCAAGTTGGCGAAAAATATTGTAATAAATCTGATTATAGAATGATTTTATTGAGTTATAATGAGGAAATTTAGAGTATCAATGAAAGAATTGAAGTGGGAAACGTTTCTAAGATGATTTTCTGGTAGAGTTCGATGTTACTCGCGTGACTAGATTCTACTATTGTGGTTCTGTTGAGTGGTGAACAAAAAATAAAAACTACTATAATTCATAAAGTTGCTTGAACTTGGATAGCTTCGTCAAGCTTTTATCTGTGAGTGTTAGTATAGTGTTTTCCAGCACAGTCATTAATTAACCAACATCATTTTTTTGTTATCTTCTTTCTCTTTGGTTATTTTATTTATAATAATTATTTTTGGTACTGAGTCCAGAAATCTACGATAGATAACAAGACTTCTCAAGTACGAGAGGTGGGAAGAATGAAGATGTTGCTGATAATGAGCGTTCTTGCACTCGTTGATGCAGAAAATATCATCGGCAACGTTGATGAACCTAGTAAGTGATTGATATCATTTGTATCCTCGATCGATATATACATGAATAAATATTATCTTTTCCAGGTTTACATTTTATTCGTACTAGTTTTTAAATCATTAATTATCAACATAACAAAATATTATGTGTCATTAATTTTATTATTATATAATCATTAATGAATAATTTAAAATATAAATTAAAACTTCAAACTCTGATGCTTGTATTTAATTTTTTAATTAAACTCATTAGCTTAGAATTTAATTTTAATATATTCTTTTAATATTAATTAAATGCTTACATTCAATAATCACCATTATTATTTCTGAAATAACTAACATGTTAAACTTTTAATCATTGCTTTTGAAGCTTTTTTTATGATAATGTAGTACATTTTTGTGAAATTAAAAAGTATGTGATCAACCTGATTTAATTAATAAAATTGAAAAATAATTCTTGCTCTACATATGAAACGTTTGAAATATTGAAAAATTTTCTCTACCATCCATAGAAAGAATGGAACATAAATTCTATTAACGTAGTGATAAAACAGTGAAACAAACAGGTTATAGAAGCATCAATTATTGGGATAGCCGATACTACAGAGAACAATTCTGCAATTTGTAGCATGAAATATTTCTTGGAAATTTATAAATAAAAATATAATGGTCAATGGCTACAAGAGTTTTAATTTTTATTACGTATAACAATCGAATGATTGAATATTGGTTTTATTAATTGAACTTGAAAGATTATTAACCAGATTCTTAAGTTTTTTTTTATTTATATTTTACTTAATTGAACTTAATTAAAGTTTAAAGCAAGTCCGATATTGATTGAAACTTTCGTCACATTCTGTTACTTAATAAATTTCTAATTAGTGTCTGCTCAACTTTCTTTTAAGCTTTATTCATTGTTATTTTTAGTCATAAAAATTGATGTAAAATATTCGTTGTTTTGTCATTAATTCACATGTGTCCAGGGTTGGAATGAATTAAATTTATATTTATTTAATTGAATATTAATAGTTTTTAATACAAATTTGATATAATAAGTCATTCAATTGATATTACTAGCGAATTTTCTGCTACATCAAAAAAAGTAACAATTTTTTTTTTTTTACAATCCGGTGATAAAAATTTGAATATTTTTTTTGTAAAACTAATAAAGCCTGTGCGAATCTTCAAATTGATAGGTTTGGTGGTTTGCCTGTAATTTTGAAGATGGATAGATGAATTGGTGGTTGCATCCAACTCACACAATAAAGGTTTCCGATAAAGTGCTAGAAAAAAGTACATTCTAATGGGTAATATAAAAGTTTATATGGCGAGTATTATAGGAAAAAGTTTTTGAAATGTACGGGTTTTCAAATAGCATTGCAAGTTTTCTGCCGAAAAAAATAGATTTTAAAAATTGAATTTGATGATTCGAAAATGGTATCAATATTGGTTATTACTCAAACTCAATTTACAGATGTAAAAATATTGTTTAGTGTTGAAACTATGATGTTAAAATGTATTCATAATTGATCATCCTTTAAAAATTGTTTTTTTTTTTTTATTTATAATTTTTATAGAGAATTTTATTCAGATCATCATAATATAGATCGTGCTACTTTTTATCCATTTTAAAATTCAATTGATCCATGTTTTGGCGTAATGGGTTCGGTTCATACCTCTATTACATATTCTTATTGATAAAAGCTTCGTTTGAAAAATCAAATAGGTAAAATAAAAATGCAATTTTATACAAAACTAAAAGTTCTACATAAAAAATATATAAAATAGTTATAAGCAAAAAGAAAATTTACAAAGTTGTTTGGAATATTTTGAATAGATTATTTTTCTAGTTAAATCGAGTTGAAATTTTTTACAACTTGTAAACTCAATCAGAGCATGGTTTCTGGAGAAATATAGTTATTCCATGTTATTCTCAGATTCATAGGACAACATGTAACTGAAACATTTGGTGGTTTGGTCGCAACAAATGGTTGGACTATCGAGAATAAACTGCCACATCATCAATAACTTATAGAGTATATGAAGTATAGGGTGGATGTTCCAATAATCAACTAGGTATTAGTAATGGACTTGTAAATGGAAGATTCAAGTGAAATATTAGTCTATGTCAGATTGGTATTGTTAATAATTTCAGTCTTGATTGGTTAACAACAGCAATCATCTTATCAATCTTTGAGTGTCTGACCAAAACGGTATTATTTCACTAGTGATTGCAACTCTTGACAAAGTAAATTATTTTGTTATCTAAAAGCTTTGGAAACAACGGGGTTTAATTGAAGTTAATAAAATGGACTGTATTGTCGTATTTTTCTCTTTGTTTCTTCCAATGGTCATTTTATTCATAATTATTTTCTGAACAATTAAATGTTGTGATGAGTGAAGCAACACTTTTTCTAGCATTCTTTAGCTGTGTCAAAATGATTGGATTTAATAAAATTTTATTCATTTTTTGCGCGTTTGTTTCAATGAAGAATTTCAATTACGTCAAAGAACAGATAAAAGAGCATTTGAGGTGGAAGAAGAAAAATGAAGAAAAAGATGATGAAATCGAGTTGAGAATGAGTTTCACGCGACCCAGCACGTAATGCTGTCTGTTAGAAAACTTGAGGAAATTAAAAATTACCAAAGAAATATATATATATATATATATATCTGTACTGGTAAATATATATATACATACATTGAAAGCAGACAGCTGATTAATACTACTGGTATAAAAAAGAAGTAAAAGCCAATTTACAGCAGAAAAATTTTTATCCGTATTAAAATAGAATAATTGATTTTGTTGTTTAGATTTCCTGCATGTTGTATGTGAAAGCAAGATAATTTAATTAATTTAAAAAATTTTATCATAGCTTTTAAAAGATGACAATAAGAAAAAAAAGTTAATAAAATATATCCCAACAGCAAGTATTAATAAAGTAAATTTTTTATATTATCATTTCATTGCAACTGACAGTAAGCTTAATAAAAAAATGAATATGTACTGTATGTGTTAGATGGTTCTGGATTATATTTTATTATAAATTTTATTACTAAATTAAATTAATTATTGCTAAAATTTTGTGGATGTGACTGTGAATTTTTATGATGTGCATGAATAAAATAACAAGGTTTAAATAAAATATCAGTGCTCTTTAGTGGTTTGAGTGCGACCCGGAAGGCCCACACGACTAACTTTCCAGTGAAAAAGATAAAAGAATTTATTTTTTATTTTTAAAATAATTTATTATTATTATAATTATATTAATTATAATTATTATTAGGAGATTAAGTGAGGAAGTTTTTCCTAAATTGCAAAATGCAGTCAATTTACGATTTTTTTTAAATTTTTTGACTGTGTACAAACTTCCCAATGGGAAGCTAAAAAAGGATTAGAATATTTCAATGTAAAAGACCAGAATGGATAGAGTAGATGAAACATTCAGTAGTTCGTATCAGTTTTTCATGCGACGTCGATAAGCAATTGAAATAAATTGCATGTTAAAAATTGATTTAGTACATATTTAATATCATTATCTTAAACTATTTTTATTATTGATTGCAAATCATACTATATTTTAGTTTTATACAATTATAAATTGCAATATTTATTTCCTACTAATCATTAACGAGATACAATTAAAATTGGAGTAATTTATATTTAAATTCATATATATATGTATATATGTTTTTTAATAATTCATTAATATGATTATTTACTTGATAAAAATACCCATTTGATGAATTTTTTTTAATTCATGCTAGTAGTTGTATTGTGTAAAGAATAAAAAATTACTTGTCGATGGTCTATTTTATATCTAGGAATATATGCATCACTTTATGCTCGACCTATCGTACTTGATACGTTGGATGTTATACATATAGATTTCTCTTGTATTACACGGATCACTGGCGTGAAAGATTGAGATAAAAGTGAGCTCTCATGAGAGGTTCGACGGAATCAGAATTGGCAGACTGTCGAGACAGTATAGATCTTGACGATTTGTAATAAAAAAAAAAGAATTCATTCTTGATGGATAGTAATTTTTCAAATTCTGTCAAATTAAATGAAAAATATGTTACGACAACAAATTTGAATAAAATATAATTAATAATAAAAATAATAATAATATAAAATCATAATTTTATTGAACAAAAAATTTATTCTCACATGATTAAATCACGGATTGAATCACCACTTTATTTTCCACTTTATAAAATCTTATTAAAGCAATTACATTAAAATCAATTATCGAAGATTTAAAAATTTTTCTATTATCGAGTTTCTTGATAAATTCACAGATTAAAGCTTCTTGGAATTTTTTTTAATACAACTGTTATAACAGGAATATTTTAAAAAAAGAAGTAAAATGGAGATAGATAGGAGAGAAAAAGGAAATTTAAGAAGAAATGAATGATCAAAAAAGTAAGAAGTGGTTAGAAAAAGAAAAATGCGGTATAGAGTAATTTTCCCAAGAGATGTCATATAGGAATAGCATTTTAGAGTAGAGAGACTAGCAATATCATTGGTGGTTATACAGATACGACGGAAAAAAGTAAAAAGTTAAAGTAGCGGAAGCCATATTCTACGTCGACAGATTTAAATGACACTAAAACGTTTTCCCATTATTATTTGAACATTTAATATTTCTCTATTTAGATGGGTTTCATGTTTTCAAAGTTATACTAAATGAAGAATAAAGAATGAAATTTTAGTGAGAATTTTTGTCGATGAAATTTCATTTTTACAGCAAAAAGTTAATTAAAAATAATATGTTTGTGATTCAAAATGAGAACAAACTGTCATGGAAACTAGAGTGTTAATAAGAATTTTTATAATTCTTTTTCTTTTTAAAAAGTTATAACTAAAATTATAAAGGAATGTAATATCAGAATGTAGATTTCTAATAGAGAATCTTCAAAAAAATTCTTATTATTTTTTTCTTTGTTATAGAACAAAAGAACAATGCTCTAGCCAAATTTAAGTCTTGATAAAACTAACAATAGCTTTGTTAGTAA